TCACCTCAGCAGCTTCATATATTTCACCCTCTTCAAGCTCATAAGGAGTCTTTATACGGGCAGTAGTTATTGGTACAGTCGTGGTGACCGTGTCTTGTACCTAATGTAGCAAAAAAAGCCGCTTCAATAAATATGTGACTTCACACAACAATGAAGTATACGTTAATAACTACACAAAATCTCACTGACGCTCACCTCATCAGCCTCCAATATCTCACCCTCTTCTTCAGACACATCAGGAGACTTTATACGAGACAAAGTAGGCGACCGTGATACGTCACCCAGCACTTCACGATTTGCAAACCTCATTCGTGCAGATAGAGATGCATTCAAGCTCCCACCACTATAATTCAGCCCACCAGACAGTCCACCCAACACGTTTCGATCGTCATATGCATCGATATAGAACGACTTGTCTTCGTTACTACCATCAGTGCTCCTAAACGATAGATCAAGAGCACTTCTATAAGTGTATGGTGTATCTGTAGCTGGGGTATCCACTGCGCCATTGAAAAGATTGTTGACAGGGCGTGCTGGCGAAGTCTCGTTGCCAGTGACCTTATCATCCGACGAGACTCTGGATTGATTGGTATTGATCATAGCGGCTCCAGAATGTGCGGTAGAGCCACCTTCCAAGGTGTTTGGCATGTGCGTAAGGTGTGAAGCTTGTACGTCTTCGGTAGGTGACGCAGCGCCATTTACAAGGAGGGGATCTGGCATATGACGAGAGATATCGCTTTCATATTCTCCATTCAAAGCCCCCTCTACGTATTGCAAGTGTTTGCGGACTCGATGAGAGAGCTGGTCGAGATTGTCTTGTCTTGTTGACATGAGGTTGATTGATGCAGGGTTTATCTCGTAGGAGGCCGTAGAGCCCTCGTCTTGAATTATGGCATCCAGATTAGACCTGAAGCGGTCTTCATTTGCTTTTATCCAGCCTCTAGTCGCTTCTGGAAGCGAGATAGGCTTGTTCATGTTTCTATCTTTATAAGAGTTTTGCGTGTCATCTTTCGGTTCAAATGAATAGAGAACGAATGTGAACGTGTTCAAAATATAAGTACTTTACCTGAGCAGAGGATTGCCCTCTCTTCTCCTCAGCTGACTTTGTTGGTATTCAGCTATTGCTGGTTGATGTTCGGAGGTTTTAGTTACAAGCAGAGATCGTTCGCTATTGAAACAACAAAATACGCGATATTGGGGGACTATGGATGCATATATATTCTGTTGAGGATCTAGACAAGCTTGTACATAAGGTCTCTTTGCGATTTATACACTACGTTTTAATCTGCATTTTCTTGTTGCTACACTATTTCTTTTTCACACTATTTACAGCACCGTTTATGCACTGAGTCCTAAGCGTGCCCTTACCTTTTTCCTCTGATCTTCACTCAATCCCGCTGCATCACAAGAGGCGTTGAAGGAACCCTCGAGGTCTGCGTCAAATATTGATATCGAAAAGGCATAGTCACCATTCTTGACACGATATCGTTTACATCGTGGTATTGCTGTTAGTGCTACTGATGCTTCTTGTTGTTGTTGTTGCTGTGGTTGAGCTTGTTGGTTTGCATCTCCATTTTGCTGTTTGGGTGATGGCTTCATTGATGTATCATTGTTGGAGTCTTCAGCAGACGATGCGGCAGCAGGGATGATGGGCTTTGTTTTTACACTACTGTCAGTTTTATACATAGTACGACCATTACCAACAAGAGCAGATGGTAATGGAGGACATCCTCGATCCAATGGGAGTTGAAACCATGGATTGGCAGACATCCAGGCAACAAACTCTTCCATCCATTCAGAAGCAATCTTCTTAATAGCATCATCAGTATGATTATCATAATGCTCTTCACCATTGGTGTTTGTGGTTACGTTGTTGCTGTAGCTACAGTGGTCGAATTCTATGCCATCAACTGAAGGTAACTCGGGCGAGTTTTCAGCGGTCCAGTTGTTGTTTCGTTTCTGTATCATAGGAGTTGATAGCATTCCGTTTGATTTGCCCACCACTTCATCTTCCTCCCATTCAGTGTATTCATCATCAGCTAATGAAGAATTGGCTTGTGATGATGCCGCGACGATACTTTCTTGATTGTTGAATGATGCTATTGGCCATGGTGCTGTTATATTATGTTGTGGTGTAGGTGATGGTGAACTATATCGTACGGTTGGTGGCACTGGCACCGCTACTACATTGTTTTGCTGTGCAGGTGCTTGTGGTGGCTGATTGTTGTTGTTGGCAGCATTGCGACTCCTGTTTGCCAATCCTGTAATCTTGAATCGAGGCACCCCACCATTGACAGCTACCACAGGTGCAGTTATCAGTGGTACAGGTCTGGCCTTAACGACTTCTGCCTTTGGTTGCCTCATGGGCAAAGGAGTAGGTCTGACTTCATGTTCATCCTATTAAGCATTGGCTTGTGTGAGCGATATGTTACGACCGTTCGTTGCAGTCATGTTTCGGATGATACTTACATTGTCATACCAGTCGTCTACATAGTTTCCTGGTCTCCTGTCATGAGTTTCTTCATGTTCAGATAGCGGTTGCATACGAGGAGGTGGCCTTCGTGGGGCAGGAGGATTCCTATAGACTGGCTTGATAGTACCCTAATGCAAACAACTTTGAGTGAGACCAGAGAGCGACCTGCGAAATAATATTTGAAGCGTAATTTTACCCATCCACCACCAGGCGGGATGATCACTTCAGGTATCTTGAAGGGCGGTGGGTGATAGCTTGACATTCTTTACATTCCAAAAGACATATAACCTGGCAACACGTTTATCACAAGGTTTGGTTCAAGTTCCTAATAAAAGGTTGTATGATGAGCAATAATTTCATTAATACAGTATCGAATAACTTCATAAAAGCAGCAATCGAGTCATGCTCAAAGACTGAAAAACAATAGTCTGATGTTTTATGTCATCCAGCTTCAAATGTGGAGCTCTACAGTCTCAATAAGCTACAACAACGATGCATCTACATTGCATCCACATTTCTAAGCATTTCGAAAGATGATTCGTACTTTTTTGAATATCAGACAGTGAAGCGAATGGCAAAACCCAAACTGTCTGAAGTTTCAACCTCCAACCCAATCTCCAGCCAAAAGCAACACTCTCAAGCTTGCATCTCTCCTTTGAGATGACTACTTACACGCTGTTAATACTATATTTGTATAGCTGGGATGCACGATGTGCGTTATGGGAAGCTCGAAAGACTTTTAACCTTCTAAAATCAAGCTTCGTTGGTCGAGTGCGTTGGGGTCCTATCAACATCGTAGACACTCAAATAGCCATCTATACGTGTCAAATACGGCACTGCTCACTTAAAACGCGCTACGAAGTCCCAAGCGCCTCGTGATTTGAGAGGTCTGGGCTACTGTATATTCATAAAGATTTCCTGTACAAAACAAATCCTACATATTCTATAGAACATTGCAAAATGTAAAATAATGATAAGATGCGAACCGAATCATAACTTATTCATCCTGTGGTGGCATTTTCTTCAAACGCCAAGCCTAATCTTATGTTCTCTACACCTTGTAGTGTGCATTGAGTCCATACGATCTCTTTGCACTATGAAGTATGGGCGCTACAAGGTTGGAGAAGATGTCAGTTCATCAATTTGAACGTAGAGAGATCCAATGAGGAATTACCTGGAATCACAATAGTGACATGTCGTCCCGCTACCTTGACGTTCATTCGAATATCTTCGATGGTAGACATTGGCTGATTGATGACATGTGGCGGTGTTTCTATACCAGTCGATTGTTGTAGTGGTGGTGTTGTTGATTGTTGTTTTTGGTCAATGACGGGAAAAGTTGTTGACTGTTCTACAACAGTTGATTGTTGTTGTATCACGGGCGTTGTTAGGAATGGTAATGTTGGAAACGATGTAGCAGCAACAGACGACTCTTTGGCCTCATTTGTTGAGCTGTCTCCCAATATAGTATCAGGCTACGTTGAATGAGATATTTAGGAAAGAAGGTTTCTTAAACCATAGAGTATCTCGAATCAGATAATGATCAGATTGTCTCGTATCTAGGGGTAGTCAGTTGGAATAACGTAAACGATGGATTCTCAGACCTCCAATCTTGCAGTTCTTTGAGATCCTTTTTCGAGATCAACATCTTGCCACACGAGTTGCTGTACAAAGCAGTCATATTGTTACTAGGAAAACTAGTTTGTTGATGCGGCGACATGGGGTGCAAGTACTTTCGTGATGATGTTGCTGCTGGTGGAGGCGACTTCATAATCTGCCCACCATCTGGATATGTTTCTGGGTTGGTGAATCTATTGGAGAGCCATGTATAGGAGCCATATTTCTAGTTGAAACGTCAAATGTCACAATGTGCCTTTAATGTCGCAAAAAACGAAGCAAATCCACGTTTGCTGACAAAAGAAGAGGCTACATCCATCATAATACACCAAAAATTAATCGTATGGGATTGAAAACCAAGTCATTGGCGTACCTTCAATATCATTCAAGAATGTTTGAAAAGGTGACGAAAGGTACGTTTCAAGTCTGATTCATAGTTCAGGGGAATATCCACAATAAATATCTAGGCGGAATACTTCTTGTTCTCTCCAATATCTTAAACTTAACTCTTCCTTTTCGCCATTAGCGTCAAACACTCCAACCTGTCAACTTACAGTGAGCAGCTTAAAGGCAAAACAGGCGCATCAAGCAAAAGTGTAAGCTCACGAGGTACGCACATCTGTTCAGTACGCTCTTAGCGTTAAGATTGCCATTTTCAAACGCCGCTGGAGCTTTCTCCAACATCGGCAAAAGTCGTCTCCAGATTTGTTGCGGATGTGCACGTTGAACGGTTAAAGCTATTTTGAAGACGTAACTGCAATTTTGTTGCCTCAGAACTACTTATTGACTCATTACAACATCCCGTCACGACAGGTTAACGTTTGAGGAACATCACCATTCGGGACATTTGAACAACTTTGAAACCGGATCAACCAACCACCGTTTAGCAAGATGACTATCATTGTTTACCATGGCAAGTACCACCGTTGACTTCCTGGTGCTGCGACTCGACCTTGACACGCTTCTCGGATTGTGTATTTTCGGGCAATTCGATGAGGACGCTCGAAGGCTCCACACTACTATCATTTGCCTAACACTCATCTGATGACTATAGCTCCCACATCTCCATATGGAAACAAGATCAAACTCACCCTCGCGGAGAAGGGACTACCTTACACTGTGAAACCAACTCTACCCTTTGCAATCACGGTCTCACCAAAAGCTGAAGTACCCTACATCGAGGATGGACAAGTAGTCTTGACCGAGTCTCGAATCATCTGCGAGTACTTGGAAGACAAGTATCCTGAACACAAGATGTTGCCATCTGATCCAATGGAGAAGGCTAAACTGAGAGCCATTATTGATGTAGTGGATTCACTTGTAGAAGGTATCAAGTGAGTGTCTTGATCATTAATTTGTCCTACTCCGCAGAGGAAAACAACTTGATCTCACTCATACATTTTGTATAGCTGGGGTGTAAGCATATCATCAAGGGCTTCCAACTTGAGGATACTAACTTTTCTGACTTTGACATTTCTTGCTCAACCTCTTGCTCAAACAATAGTTGGCTGAAATCCACTTCTGGCAAAGAGCTGGCCCGGATGGACCACTTCGAGAAACAATCCTGGCCAACGCCAAGTCCCAAACCGAGAACTACATGAAGTGGCTATCTACTCAGCTGGGCGACAAGCAATGGTTTGGAGGAGACATGTTCTCATTGGCCGATACTGCTGTTGCCAGTCATATGGTCAACACCGAAATCTTTGCTCTCACACCAGACGCATCTACTCCTATTGGGAAGTGGTGGGAACGTATGTCCTTCACTTTCGTTCGCTTCCAGTAACTGTAGACCCTGATTCCCGTTGAAATTGACTCTCACTCGCTCCGTAGGTGCCAAACAACGTAAAAGTGTCGCAGCTTTACTAGCTGAAAAAGAACACGAGAACGGGGGTGTTGGGCCCGCTTCTGATAATGCCAAAGCTGCTCGAGAAATGTTGTACGAAAAGAAGATGTTCAAACGCCAATATCGTGACCATAGACTCGAATGGATGGTTCGATCTGGGGGAATCAGTATCGTTGACGAAGGAGTCAAGGCTGGTAACATTCGGTTTACAGAGGATGACAAGTTTGGTGCAGCCGGACCAATGTGAGAGAATGGAAAAAAGAGAGACGGATCGTGCTGTGATGAAGATCTCAATTGCGGTTTACGTGACATAACATTACATTAAACAAAGTAGTATTTTTCGTTATTGAATGGAAATGAAACCTTGGAATCGCGGTTCGTAATTTTTGAAAGACTACTTGAATTGAAGGTCCTTGGTCGGCATAGTCGTAAAATTTGCTGGTGGTTGTGTATGATGTTATTGCGTCGACAATGTTAAGAATTTCAGCAGGGCAACACCAGCGAAACGAGAAACAGACAAGAGAACATTCACGAGTTCAAAGAGTGCAAAACACGCACATTGTTTTTTCAGCATATTCATCGGTATTAAGTGCCTCAAATTACTGTCTGCACTTTGGTAGAATATTGATGACAGTAGTGTACGGAGCGCCACCCCGAGGGTTGGTATGTCGTTGGCACAGGAATGAAATTCTGTAACGCTGATGCCGTATTGACTCTGCAACATCCAGCAGCGAAACGTCTCCTAGTGCAGGCAACAGAACATATTGATGTCTTCAAGGATTATCCATCTCTGCTGATGGAGACTCCACCAGAGTAGTATATATATGCATGCACTATTGTAGCAAACTCATTCGCAGTCCATGTGAAACGTATGCGACCTTTCATTCAATAGACACGAATGTAGCAGAAAACAGTGTGGGTTAATTTAACGACACTCCTTGAAGTAACAGACTCAGAAACAGAACGGGAATGTCAGTTCGACTGCTCGTCAATTACAAGAAGGTACGCTCTTACCTCGCCTACTACCCATTGCATTGGCAGCGACACGACGCAATCCTTACGAATTGTGACGAAGGAGTCTCAGGAGCCAAAGGTGAGTGGACTAGAGGATGTAAAGTTAGAATATCGATCACGTGTGAAAGTAATTAGCTCTTAAGATGAAAATTCTAATGTATTAGCTGGTGCTTGATCACCAGTCTGCTGCAATCTGCAATTGTTGGTGACTGCAACTGGAGGTGAGACTGTAGCATTCCATGACATTAAATGCTTTCATACTTCACAACTGCCCTATTTACTCAACCGTTTATCCCGTTCGATGTTCAGTTGAAAGCATTCTGAATATTCAAAGGACGCAGACTGTGAGAAGTCCACTCGAGCAATAAGCAAGAGTAGCAAATGAAGAGATAAATTCAATCATTTGCTAGGTTCTTCCAAAGTTTGAATGAAATTTCTCCAACGTTTCCTTCCATTCGCTCAGTTCGTTCTCAACCAGCAAACACAATTTTCAACGGACGAGATTTCCAGGCAGCAAAGTCACGAAACGCGAAAGATATGTCGGCTCTCGATCTATAAATGTGGAAGGTGAATGTGATATGACTTGCAGATCCTTTTTGTGATTTCTAGCCTCACCATACATTTTTTTCTTCACTTGCTTGTTTCTTGCTCCAAACATCCAAACCCGCAACTCATCAACGAACGATCGATGAGCATGAAGAGCAGTCTCATTGACGCTCAAGTGACATTCGAATCGCTAGATCTGGATGCGAGACTTCTCCGGGCAGTGGCCAAACTCGGTTTCGAGCATCCAACATTGGTGCAAGCAAAAGCTATTCCTTTAGCACTCCAAGCTGGACGGGATATCCTAGCTAGAGCACGAACCGGGTCTGGAAAGACGGCTGCTTATTGTCTGCCTGTGCTGCAGAAGGTGTTGGCTTCAAAGGAGGTATAATTCATTTATTAGATCTTGGTTTTTTTTCACATCAGAGTTCAAAAAAAGAAAAGACATGAACTAAGACAAACATCATGTTTTATTAGAGCTTGCCGGCAGATGCGTCAAATAGAGCTTGCACTAGAGCATTGATACTGGTTCCTACTCGTGAATTGGCTGAACAAGTCACCAAACACATACTCGATTTGACAACATATTGTCGTGAGGAGATCACCGTCGTTAATCTGGCTGGAACTGCTAATGCTTCTGTTGCTAGTCAAACGTATGTGGTGACAGGAGTGGAAGCCCTGAATACATTGACATGCCTGACTTTTTTGTCTGTTCCTAGCCCACTCTTATCAGAACGACCTGACGTGATTGTCGCAACTCCAAGTAGAGTGTTGGCTCATATAAGAGCTCAGGTACGCTAGCTGCATGCAATCCAAATCTCTCATAGTCCACGTTTATCGTTCCAACAATTTTTTTTCTCTCCTCTACACGCAGTCACTTGATTTAAAAACATCGCTCGAATCGCTAGTGATTGATGAAGCTGATTTAATCTTATCGTATGGCTACGACGAGGACATGCGAGCACTACTTCCTCTTCTACCAGCTATATGTCAGTCGTATCTGATGAGTGCTACCATGACATCAGATGTCTCTGCATTGAAACAATTGGTTTTAAGGAATCCAGCCATCCTTAAATTGGAAGAGGGCAAGGACGAACAAGATTTGTTGACGCAGTATTTCGTCAAGTAAGTTGAATGCATGGTGTGAACTGAAGTGTATTCGTCACTTGCTCCTTGTTTCGAGGGTTGCGCTTTTTTTTCTCACACGCACATGTTTTCAAACAGATGCGCCAAAGAAGAAGACAAATTCCTCCTCATGTACTTTACCCTCAAACTCAAGCTGCATCCATTCGGGTCTGGGAAATGTATAGTATTCGTCTCTGATACTGAAAGGGCATACCGACTACGTCTGTTTCTCGAACAGTTTGGTATACGTGCTTGTGCGACGTGTCCTGAACTACCAGCCAAGAGTCGATACCATATAGTAGAAGAGTTTAACCGTGGTGTATATGATTACCTCGTCGCCGCCGATGCTGGAATAGAAGAAGATGAAGTCGTCGTCGCACCTACCGAAGAAGAAACAAAAGGTCTCGATCAAGACATCGTGATACCTGCCGTTGGAGAAGAATCTACCATACAGCCAGAAACAGAACCTACAATAACACCACCACAACCACAATCAGACGACATAATACCCGACGACGACATGCCAATACCATCAAACGGCACTACAAACAAGAAAAGGAAACGAGCCAATGCTGGAGAAGAACATGGTGTATCACGAGGAATAGATTTCAGAAACGTACAAGCTGTCATCAATTTCGATCTACCGTCATCGACACGATCGTACAAGCACCGTGTTGGAAGGACGGCGAGAGGGGTGGGGAATCAAGGTTTTGCAATGAGTTTTATTGTGGGGGATGATGGGCTTGAGCATCAGAGAGGTAGTAAAGCTAGCATGAAGCAGGATGATGAAGCTGTGTTTGCCAAGATTCAGAGGAAGGAAGAAAGTGAGTTGCAGCAACATGTAGCGAAACTCGATTTGTCTTGTTTTTGGTTGGTTTGAACACTTTTGACATTAATCTTACTAACACGCCATCGATATCATAGAGCTTGGAAGGACAATCAATCCATACACATTCGATATGGCTCAAGTGGATGCCTTTAGATATCGAGCTCAAGATGCCATTCGAGCTGTAACACGGGCGGCTGTCAAGGAAGCGAGATTAAAGGATCTCAAAACTGAAATTATGAACTCTGGGCGACTCAAGGTATGTCAGGTTCTCATCGACTGGATATTCTACGTGGTTTTTTTGTTGAAGTATTTGGGAATGTGGGAAGGGCACAAATCTTGGTTGTTTTTGACGGTGATGACGAAATTTTACACACCAAGATCGCTGAAACCTCCAAGGAGGATGATTAAGCAATAAAATCACTCCATTCTGAGTCAAAAACAAACAAGATACCTTTTGCCTTCCCACACAAAGTGCAAAAAAAAGAGAGATCCGTATTGCAGATAATTGCAAAGCAACTCGAACAGCAACTCTGACAACACCCAATACCTAGGCACACTTTGAAGACCATCCAAGCGACCTTGCAGCCTTACGCCACGACAGACCACTACACCCCGCCAAAGTACAACCACATCTTCGACATGTCCCTGAATATCTACTGCCGAAACGACAGACCAGCTCTGGGGCTACAACCGTTGGGTCGAGCACGACGTACCGTCCACATAGAGGACGGGGTGGTCCTCGTGGTGGAAGAGGAGGAGGAGGACGTGGTGGGAGTAGAGGTGGATCAAATCCATTGTATCGATTCTGAGTGTTGTATGTGATGGTTATAATGTTTTTGTAAGATAGAATGCATTATTTAGTATCTTTTGCATAGAATGAAAGGAAGCGATGATTTATGGAAAGTTTATTAATTAATAATGTGGGGGTTGAGCGACCAACAAGAAAATGCCGAAACTGGGCTGTTGCGTTGTGGGAGCTTCTCTGACCATAGTGGTGCTCATTTCACAGCTGCCCTAGATTAAAATGATTCCAACGAACTTGGAGCGCTGGATCTATCCAGATCAATCGATTTGGACGTCGTCAAGAAGTGCGAATCATCATCAACTCCTTTTGTCAACATTGCCGACCAAGGAAGAGAGCCAGCATGTTTCAAGCCCATTATCCACTGGTGATAATTTCAATCGGTGCTGGTAAATGCACTATGTTTTAGGTTTCATGGAAACAAGTGCTCAAAACTCAAACGTGTTAATTTCACCATTTACAATTTCATGGTTTTTAATATCAAGTTTTGCAACTAACTACGTTGGAACTGTTGAGGGTTCGAAACTCTTTAACTTGAAGGCGTCAGCTTCATAGCTCAAAGTGGACAAGCTGCTGCTGCTGAGGTAGCACAGCACTGCCAACACTGCCATCTCGCCCATCTTTCACAACCAATGCCTCCTTCCCTTCGGCACGACATTCTCGCAACTGCGGATGAATTCTTTGCCACTACAATGTACGCAATACTCAGATTTTTCGTGACGTTTGCAACCAACATCCGACAGCCTTCATATTGGCAATTGCCAACTAAAACCTCATTTCTATTTTATGCTATCTCAAACGCAGTTTCCTATTCGGTGCTTATGGCACCATTCGAGCTGGTTTAACGGGAGCCAATGGTGCTTTGACGAATGATTCGCTGATTGTGATTGCGTTTGGATTTGGATGTGGGTATAAAAGAAACGTTTTGTGAGATTTTTTAGCTTTGATAATGATTTGTTTGCTTTTATTAGTTTCTTTGATGACTTCTGTGAGTGTGTTTGTGAACTAGGCAGCAGCCATTGTATATACTAGAACGCGGCTTCTGAGGCATGGCCTTGAATTATTCCAGGTATGGACTCACTCGAATACATCTGGAGCATGGTGCAATCCCGTAATATGCATGGTGGCATACCTGTCTGGCAAAATCTCGTATGTCCCTTCTTCACCATTACTACGATCTACACATCAAACCCATCTTACTCTCATCCCATCAGCCTCCTACGCTGCATCTCCTACACCATCGCTGAATGCCTCGCTGCAATCTTCGCCGCAGCTCTCATAAAAGCTCTCCTCCCCGGCGACTACATCGGCGCAACAGCACCGGGTCTTGGATCATCGCTCGCCCAAACATGGTTTCTTGAAATGATTATGACCTGTGTGCTCGCACTGGTTGTACTAAATGCCGGGATTGATGGGCAGACAGAGCAGCTCGCACCGTTGCATATTGGGTTGACGCTGCTGGTTATTCATCTTGGAGCAGTGCCGTTTAGTGGGAGTGGGGTTAATCCGGCGAGGAGTTTAGGGAGTGCTGTGTTGAGCGGGGTGTGGACGGCGCATTGGATTTATTGGACGTGAGTTTTGGAGACAAATAAAATCTTGGAGGAAATCAGTCATTTTGTGCCTTCAAACTGACAAGCCAGGTCTTTTAGAGCACCGATTGTAGGCGGTTTGCTTGGATTCGCGATATGGAAACTGCTGCAAAAGGGAAGAGCCCAACCTGATAATGATTTTCTAGCGGCTGTGTCAGAGTAAGCTTGTGGCATCTTCTGCCTTCCCATTATTCACTTTTTTTTTCGTTGTCAAACAAATCGTGCTGACCCGTATTCTGCAAACTCTAGGTTTATTGGGACGGCCATGTTCTTATTCCTCGCATATGCTGGCATTCAGGCGGCTATACAAACATCAGCTGGAACGTTTGCGTCGACATTGTTGGTTGTTGCACTATCGTTTGGATGTAACTAATGAGTTTCGTGTTGGGATGTTTCGTATAGCTGAAAGCCTCACGTATTTTCTCTAATAGTCAGTTTGATGATTACCATCTGGACATTTGCAGGTGAGAATTTCTGTTTACACTTTGCATATTACAATCTTCGCTCAATAGTAAGCTAAACCTTTGAAACTCAATAGGCGTAACAGGTATATTTTTTACGTAACATATTCCTTTCGTACACTCAGAAACTGATTCGCCCCTTTGAAAAAAGGCTCTCCACAAAACCCAGCCGTCTGCCTCGCCGTATACATAATCGGAGAAATGTCCCTCAAACGAATGATCTTCTACATCATCGCTGAGCTCCTTGGCGCGCTCTTTGCTGGCGGCCTCACATACGCTATATTCCCCAACAAGGTTACCGGTGCAACGACGCTTGGTGCCAGCACGACTCAAGTTCAGGGGGCGATGCTCGAAGCAATATCAACCGCCATCCTCCTCTTTGTGATACTTCGGAATGCTGTTACGGGCACGTCGGGAATTTTCGGTGTATGTGAATGAAGTTTTGACGGATTTTGACGGTACGCAGAAAAGTGACGACGTTTCGTTTAGCCAATACCCGTGGGTTTCGTCCTGATCGTCCTTCATCTTGTAACGGTGCAATATACTGGCACATCCGTGAATATTGCACGTTCGCTTGGTATAGCTGTTGTCACTGGTGTTTGGAATGATTTCTGGCAAGTGAAGAGACCCGCTCCATTACTTTGTTGCCAAGCCTAAACTTTTCATACTAGGGTATACGTTGTCGGCCAAGCAATCGGGGTCGTGATTGCCGTGGGAGTGTGGAAGGTTGCCTCTCTAACAGACGAGGAAGTTGCAGCAGATGCTGCTGTTGAAGAAGAAGAAGAAGCAGCAAAGGCCGCATCGCCGTCACCGACTGGGACGTTGATTGGAGATGAGCTGACGGATGTTAAGACTGAGCAGGTGTGATATTGTGCTTTGTGTTGTAATTATTGGTCTTCAATTTTGACTTTTGTATTTGAAGGGTGGTCTTTCGGCCTTGGCGGGCAAAAGAAGGATTGTTGAGGATATTTAATTTAATGTAACCTCCTTATATCACGTGCTTCTTGAAGGAGCTCTGTGGGGAAAGGCGTTTTGCGTGCTTCAAACATCCAAACTACTTTCTACAAGTTCAGAGGGCAAGAAAGAGCATGAGACGATTTGTTCAAACGATTGAAATGTATTTCAATTCAATGTTAACCACCAGCAAAACTTCAACACTTCTTAGACTCAGCAGTAGCCAGATCAGGACGCGACGTTATTTAAATTCTTTATCAACAACGAAACCACGACGTAATTCAGAGGTCTCTTTGAAGATCTGAATGGTTGCTGTCGCAGGACACAGCAGGATTATTAACCCCATCCTCGCAATGTGGCTTCATGTTTGCAATGGCTTTGCTTGTTTGTGCTTATTTGTCGCATAAACACACTTCTTGCAAAAGTGGAGCAGACGACTCTTACAGGCCTGTTTCAAGTACAAACGACCTCCGAAAGTAGCAGTATCTGCATATTTCGACGCTCTTTTCCACAATGCCTTCCTTGCGGCACGACATTCTTTGCACCATAGACGAATTCTTTGCCACAACAATGTACGCAAGCTGAGTTTTCAAGTCTCGTTTTCCCAGCCGTTGGTTTGGAAATTTCAATTAATAACATGCATCATTTTAATAGATTCTTGTTTGGTGCATATGGTGCAATACGTGCTGGGATTACGGGAGCCGGTGAATTAACGAATGATTCGTTGATTGTTATCGCGTTTGGATTTGGGTGTGAGTCAACTGGTTTTTTGGGAAGGATGCAAATGATGTGGACTAATTCTGACTTTGCATTTGTCTATAGTCTCTTTGATGACTGCTGTGAGTGGTTTGTTGATGAACTGGCGCAGTTACACACAGCCCTTTGTTGTTGCTGACGTTGGTTTACTCGGAAAGCTACACTTTACAAATGTGCTGCTAACGCTTTATTGATGCTATGTGGGTATAGGTCTGGGTAGCAGCATCAACGTCCGGCGCATGCTGCAATCCAGTGATTGCCATGGTGGCATATTTGGCTGGAAAGCTCTCGTACGTGTACACTTCTCGTGCTTTTGTACCTTTATACAACATCAGCATGTCAAACTCTTTTCCTAGGGTCCTCCGCCTGATTCTCTACATCCTCGCCGAATCCCTCGCCGCAATCTTTGCAGCTGCACTCGTTAAGGCTCTCATGCCTGGCGACTTTATCGGCGCAACAACACCAGGATTTGGATCATCGCTCGCTCAAGCCTGGTTTCTCGAAATGGTTATGAGTGCTGTTCTCGCACTCGTCGTACTGAATGGGGCCATTGACGGGCAATCCAAAGAACTCGCACCACTACATATTGGATTGACGCTTGTTGTTATACATCTTGGAGCGGTGCCATTTAGCGGGAGCAGTGTAAATCCGGCGAGGAGTTTGGGGAGCGCTGTGCTGAGTGGTGTCTGGACGGGGCATTGGATTTACTGGACGTGAGTTTTGAAAGAACTGTTTTATGTATTGATGCGAAGCGTTATTGCCTTAGGGAACTGACAAGTGTATGTCCTTTAGTGCACCATTCGTGGGCGGTCTAATTGGATTTGTGATTTGGAAGCTCTTGCAAAAGGGACGTGCTGAGCCTGATAATGAGTATCTGGCTGCAGCAGTTGAGTAAGTTTGTTGCATCTTCATACTTTTTTATATCGTTTTTGCGTTATCAAGCAAATCGTGTTAACTGAGTAAACTTAGATTCATTGGAACAGCAATGTTTTTATTTCTCGCATATGCTGGTATTCAAGCTGCTGTACAAACCTCAGCCGGAACGTTTGCATCCACTCTTTTGGTTATTGCGCTTGCGTTTGGAAGTAAGTTGCGTTGGTGGGATGGGCAGTAACAAAAAAAGCGACTCAAAATCTCACTCTCAATAGTCAGTCTCATGATTACCGTATGGACATTTGGAGGTGAGATTCGCATTTAGCTATATCCTATCACGTCTGTTTCTTACAACTGACACATTCAAACAATAGGCGTAACAGGTATTACACGAATCTCGTCACCTCACACCGAAGCTGATCCTAACCGAACATTCCACCCTTTCAAAAGGCGCCCCACAAAACCCAGCAGTCGCCATCAGCGTCTTCCTGATCGGGAAAATGTCTCTCACACGTATGCTTCTCTACATCGTCACTGAACTCGCCGGTGGGCTTTTCGCTGGCGGTCTCGCATACGCCATATTCCCAAACAAGGTTGTCGGTGCCACGACGCTGGGAGATGGCACGACTCAAGTACAGGGCGTGTTTTTAGAGGCGATCACAACATCGTTCCTGCTTGTAGTCATATTGAGGGATGCCGTTAGTGGGTTTGCAGGGATTTTTGCAGTGAGTTATCACCCTGTCATGCAACGATACGAATGTGAAAATGATGCCTCTATTTTGACTAGCCCATCCCAATCGGGTTTGTTCTAATTGCAATCCACCTCGTAACTGTGCAATTCACCGGTGCATCAGTCAACATTGCACGGTCTTTGGGCACTGCTGTGATTACTGGTGTTTGGAATGATTTCTGGCAAGTACTTTAAACTATCCAAGTCTACCGCGACATGCTAATTGTTTTTTGCCTGTAGGATTTACATTGTTGGCCAAGCGATCGGCATCGTAATAGCCGTAGGAGTGTGGAAAGTAGCTGCAATGACTGATGCTGAAGCTGCTGCTGAAGCCAAAGCTGCGGCTTCGCCAACTACGACGTTGGTTGATGATGGTCCGACTGTTGTGAAGGTCGAGGGGGGTGATAAGATTGAGCAGGCTTGATTTTGAAGAGGGAGTTCTGTTTCTGGGGGCGTCTAATTCCTTTTATTTGGTTGGAACAATGTTTCAGTTTTTGGGAGTGATAATCTTGTGGGCATGAGAGTGATAATATGTCAATTAATAGTTATTGATAGTTATGTCTGATATTCTGAGACCGAGAAGTATAATATAACACCCTTTTATAAGGCGTGAATCGCAAGAACTGTGTGTCGCAAAGTGGTTGCACTCTTCAAAACGTTTAAATCACCCGTCTATTAGGAACTCGTAAGCCAAAAGGCAACGAGAAGTTGGACTGGCTCTGAACGTACATGATACTATGAAAAATGAGCTGGTACGTCACGAACTATCTAAAACGCTTCAGATCAGACAGCAAACGAGAAATGATTTACACACACTTTTTTAAACTCAGCAAAATCTTAAAGAGGAGGAGGAGGCAACACATTTAAGCCCTCTACCAACACCGAAACCATATGATATATTCAAAGGACTACCAGACGAACTGATTGGTGCCATCTTCATACGGACTCAGCATCCATTAAACCTTAGTTCTTGCTCCCGTCGTCTGTATCGCATTTCGCGAGATGAAAGACGTATGTTGCCCTGCTGTAGCTCGAAAATGGATTCAATAACTCCTTCATTATCCCTCTAGTACGAGCACAATGGCTACTGCTACATCCAACGACTCTCTTCTACCATCACCCAATTCCAGCATGCATCACCCTGAGATCAATCCCATCAACACCAACCACCTTCTTCCCACTCGCCATAATGTCATCTCAACAAACCCTCAAGCTCTTCATCCAATACTGCAACCAGTGCCAACGGCAAACGCACTTTGACCGTGTTGCCATTGCCGTAGTGTGGAAGTTCGCAATCGAGAAATGCTATGAGGATGTCATTATAGCGATTCTGAATGGAGTCAGGACGAAAGATGTTATTAATACACGAGATTTCTTGTGCTGGTTTTTCGTAAGGCCGTATGGTGAGCGCCCATTCCAGCTCGCGACAATCAAGGTCGTAAGGGACGCGTGTAACGGGGAGACATTGAATGCGAATGAGATTGAAGTTGTTATTAGGGATGGACAGGCTGATGCGGCTGTGATGTTGCTAAGGTTTATGGGTGTTAATGAGTGGTATACGTTCATTGTGGAGAGAGCCTTCCACTTGAGGAGGATGGATACGGTTACGTTGTTGATGGACTTTTGGGATGTGAAGAAGGGCGGTGATGCTAGGATTGATCGGTTGAGGATGGGGTTTGAGGCTTTAAATACGTAGTGAAAAGGACGCTGTGTGGAATTGTAGGGAGTGTGGGCGGTATCGCTCAAAGTGGATAATTTATTTCGCATGATACATAATAGATTAATGCATAAATACGCGTCTGAGGGTCGCTTTCCGTCTCGCCTGTCTCGTCAATACACTAAGATTGATGATCACCCGCACCAATCACTCAAAAATCTTAAAAGACGCTAGAACTGATGGCGGATGATGATGGATTATCAGCCCGATCATATGTATCGCTAATATCCTTCTTTGTATGTATCTACTTCTGTGTCGCCCCATTAGATATTAGGCTCCCAAAATGGTGTCCTCTCCAAACATTGCGGATTGATTTGGGAAGTGCACCTGTGATATGTGTGCTGTTTGAATTGGCCACGACTGTGATGTCGCCTGATGTGGTTAGGCTTGGGATACTGGGATCTAATGGGATTCAACCGTGGGCTATTGTCGTGCTTTGTGAGTGAACATGAACGTTGCGGGTGAAACGTATTGAAGGTTGGTTGGCTGACACTTTGGTTGTTTGACTTGTAGTCTTTTCGCTGGCGTACGTCAGTATAAGTATCGATCTTACAGGATTGTTCAGTTTTATTGCCTTCCAGGTATGTTGCTGGAAACCAAAAAAAAGCATACAGGTTTGTTTGAACGCTGACCACTTTGGCAACTAAGGTCACAAAACGTGGGAAAGGAAACGGTCGTAAATTGTATGATTATCTGTTTATGCTGTCGGTACTCTTGACCATTTTCACGTCGAATGACGTAGTAGGTATGTGCAAAGAAAGCTCTTGTTCAAATACTTGAATATCCGAAGCTTCAAATTTTGAACTGACCACATACTTCCCCTCGTAGTCTTAACCGTAACACCAATCCTCTGCTACCTCGGCATCGCATCCCACATAGACGTGTCTGCCTTCACACTAAGCAGCTTCATAGTCTGCAATATCGCATCCATGATGCTCTACATTGGAAACCCAACAAACGTAGTCGTAGCTCAAGCATCAAACATCAATTTCATACAATTCACAGCCGTAATGGGCATCCCCACAATCGTCGGAATCATAACAGCCTACTTTGCAACGAAACTATTGATTTCACATTTAATTCCACGTAATATTCAGCCACCACCGTCCGAAGCTGAACATACTTACGCACTCAAAGATCGGAATGGCGCTATATTTGGTGTTGGGGTGCTGCTATCGTGTCTGGTGTGCTTGATGGTAGTTCCGCTGTTTACAGATGTGGGTGTATGGTTGTTGACTGCTCCGTTTGGGTTGCTGATGCTTGTAAAGGATGTGTTTACGGATTTGAAAAGGACGAGGTCGTCAGAGTCTGAGAGGAATAGTTTGAGTATGAAGGAGATGTCCGATGTCAAGAGCCATGACCGGAATAACAGTAGTGTGCATCGGAATAGTCTGCCGTATATACAGGAAAGTAATACTGTCGATGCAGCGGCGCCTGCAATGTTACAGGTGCTGCATGATTCAGGACATATTAATAACAGTCAGCATCACGAGCTGACTGCGCTTGCTAATGAAGAGACGGAGAGTGCACCCCCAGATGGTACCATGTTGGAGCAAGATATTGCCGCCACGAATATTAATAATAATGGGAAACCGCCAAAGTCACCACAGACATTATCACCTCCATCTATAAAGCACTCGGAAGCAAATCAAACAGAACCACCACGAACATCCATAACAAAGCCCAACTACCTCCTAAAACGCCTCCCCATAACATACACAGCAATATCCCGATGCCCATGGCGCATAGGCCCCTTCGCACTCGGAATGTTTGTCCTCGTTGAATCCCTCAACGCCCTAAACTGGACTGCAGTACTCGCAATCGGGATCGCTCGCATATGTCAAACCGTCCCTGCCGCCATATTCGCAATCGGGTTTCTCTCAGCGCTAGCATGCTCCCTCCTAAACAATCTCCCCATGACAATTCTCGCAGTTCGAATCCTCCAGCATCCGAATTTCTCGGCTGGGGTTGGTGGTGATGCTGCTCATCAGCAACAGATTTATCAGGCTGCACTGTGGGGACTCGTGGTGGGGTCGAATATTGGTGCTGATTTGACGTTTGTAGCTAGTCTTGCTGGGCTAATGTGGAGCGAGTTGCTGAAGATGCATCCGGGGATGGAGATGAAGCAGTGGCGGTTTGCGAAATTGTGTGTGGGGGTTATGGTGGTGTCGCTTACGGCGAGTTTGAGTACGTTGGTGGTGGAGTGGGTTGTTGTTGGGAAGCTGTAAGATAGGGTCATAAACAATAATTATCTGAAACAAGACATTGAAGTAATTATCATTCTATCATGTTATTAAAGTATCTCATCATTAGAGTAATTGCAGAAACTCATAATAAAAGTATCCAGTAACAAAGTCAACGTCACAAATGCATTTATTTACTTATGCGAGTTACAAGAGGGTTATGGAGCAAGTACAATATAACAGAATTCGAATTTTGGGCGAAGACCCACCACAGTATAAGAAAGTGAGAAAACTGGTGAGCAAAGAAAAGTAGCCACATGCTGCAAAATCGAACAAAAACAATGACAAAAGAGGAGGCATCATTCACAACCGCACAGCACAATCATCCGAAGACATGCCGGCAGTGTAACCCGAAGGCCACTGGTAGCGTGCTGCTGTCCCTCTGTACCCCACAAAGTATGTAATCCGAAGACCATACAATCTTCATCATAGAGTTATAGGCATACATTGCACATACAATGTACATATATAAACATCCGTTGAACCCGAAGGCAACGTTTTAAGTAATCCTGCCGAGCCGAAGAATCGTTGTTTGGCAGTGCCATTTGCTACCAATCAAGAAGACGATGCAAGGATTGCGTTTCGATTATCCTCCCTCTTTCAATATTCCAACCGTATAACCTCGCTACTTTGTTCACCTTCTTTAAAATGCCAGTGCTTTTGTTCCTTCCATCTCAGAAATACCACAGTTCCTATAGAATTATTGACAACACGAGCGAGAGTAAAGAAAACAACCACACGCTCAACAATTCAAGCGAACGAAACAATGACGGTGCTGTGCGGTTGCAAACGATGCCTCCTCATTTGTCATTTGCAATCGCACAGCACCAACCCGGAAGGCGAACCAGCAGTGAACCCAGAAGGCAACCGCAGCGTGCTGCTGTCTGTCTCTACTCCAAACGCATGAACGCAGAACGCCATGCGATCTTCATCGTAGAGTTACATATACACACAGATATGTAAACACCCGTTTAACCCAGAAAGTAATGTTTTAAGTAGTCTTGCCGAATCACGAAGACCGTTGGTTGGCAGTACCAATCAAGACCACGATGCAAGGACTGCGTATAGAATTCCTCCATTCTCGAGTTGACAATTGGCCTTGCAACTTTGCTCACACTTGCGCCTTTCAAGTGGTTGTTGATGTCAGGATTTCGGATAGAGGGAAACTTGCTCTGAGAGAGGAGGAAAGAGAAAATCAGCATTGCTTTGAAGACAGTTATAATCCGGGTGACTTGCCAGCCTTGTTGAATTAAGCTTGCTGAAGAACACGACCAACGGTCTTTTCCTGCGAGATCTGACCAAAAGGACAGGCCCTCAGCGAGCATCCAGTGGCCATCCTCGAGCGTCTGGAGCCTCCGAGTAGGTACGGGCCTTCTCTTCCCTCCACTATCAGTCCTTTTCGACCGCCTATTGCTGGTAGATATTTTGTGAAAATTGCATTGAGGAAGCATTCAAGAGTCCGTAACACGTCTGGTTCTCACGGATTACGTGTAAATTCACTAGTTTACAAGAGATATGTTGATCAAAAGGCCTGACTCGTACTGCGCTTCATCACTCGTAAAACCACACTGTCATGGAAGTCATGAGAGCAATGTGACTCTACTGGTAAACCAGCTGCATGCATGGTAGAGAATCGATTACTCCATGACAGATATATATGTAGAATGCTCACAATTAGCCAATCCGTTCATTTTGGTACTTAACATTTGGTTGACAAAGCAGTATCACGTTTTTGTTGACTGACTTTACGTTGTTATTCCAAAACTCGTTGACGAGCCAAGAAAATATCTAGAAATCTGCATCGTGATACCTCTTTACTCTGCAATCTTGCCCTCGCCTCTTGGTTTTCAACATTGGCGTCCTCTCGCTTCCAAGAAATCCAAACCTTCACGAAACCACGAAGACAGCCTGCACCCAGAAAGAGACTCGGAAGGTACGTATATTCGTAAATTCAGAACTCTTGAACGTTTAGATAGCCATTTCGAAGCACCCCTGGAGCTTCCTGCTACACCGGCAAAAGTTCTCGCCCAGTTGTTGCTGATGGTGCACGACCACTTTGAACGTTTAAGCATATTATTTTGACCACATTAATGCGATTTTGTTGCTTCAGAACTACGTATTCACTCATTACCATATCCCTTCACTGTAGGTCAAGCGTAGAAGGAACTTCAACATACGGACATTTGAACAACTTTGAAACCGGATCAACTAACCACAGCTCAACAAGATGACTATCATCGTTTACCATGGCAAGTACAGTAGCTGATCTTGTTGTTGCTTTCCTTTGAATGATGCTAGTGATATCATGTTGAAAAGACAGCACGTCCTGCTTGAGGCCGGAACTGCTCGCCTAACACCCGTGCCATTCTACTGCTAGCTCCCACATCTCCATACGGAAACAAAGTCAAGATTGTCCTCGCTGAAAAAGGCTTGCCATTCACAGTGAAGCCAACCCTCCCATTTGGACTTACAGTCTCGCCAAAGCAAGAAGTTCCCTACATCGAAGATGGACCAGTGCTCTTAACCGACTCTCGCATCATCTGCGAGTACCTGGACGAAAAGTACACCCAGCACAAGATGATGCCTTCAGATCCATTGGAGAAGGCTAAACTGAGAGCCATTATTGACGTTGTTGATTCCCAGTTGGAAGGAATTAAGTGAGTTATTTTTCGTCTGTTGCGTGGTTCCAAAAGCCTGTAGGCTCACACTTATATTTTTGTATAGCTGGGGCGTAAGCATCATCAAAAATCTGTAAAAAATACCACAACCGTGCTGACTTTTATATTTCTCACCCAAAACATAGCTAGGTGAAATCCTCTTCTGGCACAGAGCCGGCACCGAAGGCCAACTCCGAGAAACCCTTCTCGCCAATGCCAAGACGTCCACCGACAACTATATGATATGGTTGTCTACTCAATTGGGCGACAAGCAGTGGTTTGGTGGAAGCATGTTCTCATTGGCTGATGCAGCTGTTGTCAGTCATATGGTAAATACAGAAATCTCTTCTGTTACACCAGACGCATCTACTCCTGATGCTTAATTTTATTTAAAATTTAGATTGGAACCGATCGAATGGGTTTTGGACCTGCTGCATCTACACCTATCGGGAAGTGGTGGGAACGTAAGCCTACAAATCGATCAATTCCGTTTTTGAAGATCGCACGAAAACTGATTGTGCTTTTGTTGTCGTAGGTGCCAAACAACGTAAAGCAGTCGCAGCCATACTAGCTGAAAAGGAAGCCGTCGCAACAGACGGTGGCAAAGCTCGTCGAGAAATGCTATATGAAAAGAAGGCGTTTAGACGCCAATACCGTGACCATAGACTCGAATTCATGATTCGATCAGGAGGAATTAGTGTTGTTGAGGCTGGTATCAAGGCAGACAATATTCGGTTTACAGAGCCTGAAAAGTTTGCTAAAGCCAGCAAGCTGTAGAAGTGACTTGTGAAGACTTTGCAGGCTTGTGTGATTGAAAGATCTCAATTATTGTTATTTGACATGATGTGATGTTAAAATATATAATTGAAAGAAAAGACGTGGTCTCTGGTTGTTAGTGCAGATCGGTATCTTGGGTTACGACTTGAGCAAAGTTATGAAGGCCAAAGCGACGCACAAATCGCATTGCTCAGGCCTAAGTCAGGAGAATTTACGCTTTTGCTTCTGATTATCGAATTTGTTTCTCAGCTATGGTTAATCTTATACATTGCACATAGATGCATATATAGAAGCACCCGTTGAACCCAAAGGCAACGTTTTAAATAATCTTGCCAAGCCGAAGAATCGTGGTTTGTACATGAACAGCATAGCTTTCAATGGGTGCAAACTCAAAAATTATTTTCTTTAGTGCTGATGATCTTTACAGCAAAAAAAACATTATACTTGCAAACGGTAAACGAAAATATAAATTGCACTTTTTTGGGAGAGTTCTTCAACTCACTTCTAATAGTGTGGCGTTGCTCTGCGACTATTCAATGTAGAATCCAACACGAATCGATCCAGCAGTCGAAAGAATTTTTGAGAGTATGGTGTTGTTGCTAACATCAAGTCTACCACGTGCAAAAAACGGATTAGATTCTTCAGGAACAAAATTTTGTCTTTGACCACAAGACTTGCCAGTAACAGGCTGAGAATGATCAACCCCTTCCAACACATGTAACTGGACATGATCTGCTCCGACTTTTTCTAATGCGCGAACAAACTTGCGTGATGATGATACTGGCACTGTCGAGTCCTATAAAAATAAAACGGTTAGACAAGTCAGAGGCTTTGCAGCAACCTGTCTCTGAGTCTCTGAAACAGACATCTGAATCTTTGACCCATCTTTCCAAACAAACAAAAAAAGCCGGAAGATACTGTATGTGTACGTACATCAGCACCATGTATCAGTAACACATTCCGTGGAAGTGACCTGATTGGTTTGCCGTTAAGGATAAGTTTGAAATCAATAGCTTCCAATAAACACGTTGGTGATGAGCCTTTGAACTTTTTAGTTTTGTGTCCTAAAGTGGTGGAAAAGGGTTTCAGCCTCAACAATTCGGCAAAAAAATCGCAGGAGATAGGAGTGAAGCCTCAATATATTTGGCGACGTACGTACCCATGACACGAGCCATAGCAGACACTTCTTCAACACCACGATTGGCTTCAAATTGATAATGGTCTACAATATCGTACACGCCCGATAGCCTATCAAAGACAAAAAGAACACATATTAGCAAAAAGCGAGGTGAGTACCATGCGACGAATACTTTGCAGAAGACATCCAATCCACTTGGCCCGCAACACCACCACAGGATACATTATCATATTATCATAGAAAGGCCGCAAACGTTTTTCAAGGCATCCTGCAACCAACATGACTTTCAGCACCACCGCACTCTTTCCTTTCGTCTCAAACGAACCATGCTTTCAAAACACAAGCAACCTCAACAATCCCCAAACTGCCTCACTTGCACTTACAATATAAGTCCTCGAATAGGAGGCAAAGGTATAGAATAACACGGTAACGGAAACTCTATCGACGTATTCGACTTGCTCAACTTCACTTCAGATCCAACTGCATCATGTACTATAGTATAAGCCCCTAGATGTGCTCCTGCTGAATGGCCCATAATGTATAAGTTGTTTGGGTCTCCTCCATATGTCCTGTATTGATCAAAAGCGGAAAATTGAATATTCATCGAAGAGGAGATTGATGGTCGTTTTTTTTGGTTTCAGATAAGAAGCTCGAAATAGCGACGTGATATATTTACCTGATGTGAGCAACAGTCCACTCAATAACAGCTCGAATGTCCGACACCATTTCAGCTAGATAACCCGTTGGGAATGTGCTATAGTTGGGGACTACGACTACATATCCCTTTTCTTGCATTACCGAAGCCATGGGACCATACATTCTCTTGTCACCTATTGATAAATAGAGATGCCGTGAGGTGAATGACGCGGTCACGTATGAGGGAACAGTGATTGTCCTTTTTTTGGTGCTCCCAACAGCGACAAGCCTTCAAAACAACGTCAGTACACACCTGAACTCCACGAACCCCCATAAATAAATATAACCACCGGCAATTTTGGATAATCAGCTCTCTTCGTCGCAGCCTCACCAGCACCCCTCCCCGTAGGTTCCGAGCAGTACACATCCAGCTTCTTATCCTGCGAGCTGCCATAATGTATATCCTCACACACACGCGAGCTGGACGTACTCTCGCTCCTCTTTGCAAAACATTTCTTGGCCATCCATTTTATAGAAATTGGTAGCACGTCTGTAATGAAGAAGAAGACTGCTGAGAGAGCTGCCTTTGTTACTAGTGCGACTCGGTATGGTGATAAGGGGAGGTATGGCAGCTGAGTGTTGAAGTAGACGGGGCGTTTGGTGTTGTCTCGTTGGGCATCTGAAATTGGGGTAAAATGTGTGAGTTTTGATGTTGACGGGTTTGATGGGATTGGACGGTGGAATGCGAGAATTAAAGAGGCAATATGATTGTAAATCATATAGTTAATGATATCATGAAGAGCTTACATGCAAGATAAACTGCCCATGTTATTAAATAGCTACAAATAATAGCCAAAACCACAGCTGGAAATGCTGCAACCGACAATGGAAGGATTATTGGTAACGAGAAGATTCCGACTGCGATTCGGACATCTTTTCTTCCTATGAAGCTAATCACGCTGTTCATTCTCGTCGAGCTGACTGTTGTTCTCATGACTTTCTTACTGCGAGTTGAAAAACATGTGAAAGTGCATGCAAAGTCATGCCAAAGAACCAAAGATCTGAACGAAACGAGCTCATTGAACGCGTTCTGTAACTATTCAGATCGAGATCTATTATGTATCTACTCCATTTTATCCATCAAGCAGCAGCAGCCATCTTCTTAGCAAACTCCCTCTCCCTCATAACAACCTCATCAACCTCCCTCAAACTACTACTACTATCCGCAACAACTTTCTCCAGCACCTGCTTTGGCGTCATACCTTTCCAAGCGTCCTTCCCAACCCTCTTCAACACCTTAATCCTCGTCAACAACGGACTATACAATGGCAACCGCATCTCCACCACACTATCAACCACAATCTGCCGTATACTAAAACTCGATCCAACACCCTTCCGGCGCGAATCCATCAGCACGCCCGAGAAGATTGTCTTGTTTGGCTTTGTGCGTGATTGGATTGTTTCTAGTAGCAATACAGAGCCTGGAGCTAGATATGTGGAGGGGGAGAGCGGGTTGAAGAGGGATGATCTGTTGTCTGTGTCGTATCGGGATGTTAGGTCTGCGTTTATGCGACGGAGAAGGACACCACCTCTGCGACGACGGTAGATGGGGTCGTGGCAGTCGCCGTGTGGTATTGGGGGTGGGAGTGTCCGGCCGCCTTCTGATGGTTTGAATGGTGCGAGTGCGATGGCGCTCTTTTCATCGGCTGCGGTATAGATGGTTGTGTCAGTTTGATGTTTTGATTCCCAAAAAAAACAAGCAACCGTTGATGACTGGATGAAACACGCCAATGTCAAGACCCTTCAGGACACGAAATGTGTAAATCCCATCTAATTTAATCCAGTTATAACATACCTTGTTTGGTTCTACTACCAATCTTTGCAGTCTTTCCCTTCATTGGTTCAGCTGCAAAACTTCGATGATGAGACTTGACGAGTACAGATTGTACAGGCAGTTGTCGTGCTACTATAGACTGCTGTATCCCTACAGTAGAGTATCGCAACATTAGGTGCTTTGGGATGAATGACATTGTGCTATATGATGTTTTTTGTAAAAGTGTTGAAGATGCAAGTTTCATGAACAATTCAGAAAGTACTACGCGTAATAGATTAACGTTCTATTTCTAATGAGTAAGAATATTTACATACTATAATGATATCGATGAGTATCGTGTTTATCGCAGTGGTTCAATTTGTCCAGTTCATAGGTAAAGACGTGTTTGATGTACCATATTCAGGCTAGCTCGTGTCAGAATAGCATGGCTCGTTTTGTATACACAATCCAGTTCAGTTTTGCTTTCTATACCTCCTAGCTTGTTATTTCACAGTATCCAAGAGCGATTTTATCGGTTCTGTTCAATCAGCTTGACCACTTGCTCATAAACAATCCAGTTGATGGAATGTATAGGCACAGCTCTAAATAGGGTAGCAGTGAATCTACATTTGATAGTAACGCCAGTGAGAAAAAAATAGATAGAAAAAAAAAGTATCCGAGGAAGTCACCGATGTCCTATGCGTTAAGAAGACGAAGAATCAACATATACCCACCCATTATAAAAACCTCTTAATCCCTCTCTTGCAAATATCGTCTTGACTATATCAACCACTTTACTCTCACTGCCCGTCGTTTCAAGCAAGATTTGCTTCTGTACTCGTGTCTTGACCATATCAACAGGAAATATGACCAGCCAAGAGGTAATTCCCGATGCTGCTCCAGATAGTAGATGTGTCAAAGGACCTGGTTTCTTGTCAGATGGAGTCAATAGTCGTTTGGCTGATTCGTAGCTGGAGAAGTATATGCCTGTGCCGACAGAGTCTCTAAGTGATTGAAAGGATGGTTAACTGTTTCTGCTAGACACCGAAAAGCTCGTATCTCAAAGCATCGGGCTTTCACTTACCTCAAAAGGTGAAGCGATATTCCACGATACAATCCAACAACACCTTTAGCTCTGATGATATCAGAAGCGACTCGAAAACTTGACTTTGTTTTCGACCTCGTTGTTGCTGCGCTCGACGCTAAAACCAATCTCTCAAGTTGTCTCTGAATCTTAACCAGCTCCAACGGACACGATAGTACCGAAACACCAACACCAGCCGTCGTCCCAGCAGCAGTCGATATAGCAACGAGGGCAGATACACTGGTATCCGTATTCCATTGCGTTGTGGCAGACAATCTAGCCTTTGTCGACGTGTATATACTAAACGAGATCGATTTGACTGCTGCTACTGTGACTAGTGGTGGTCCACAACCACGAAAGAAGCCTATTAGACCTTCCTTGGCGTATGTCTTTCGTATACAGTCGTTCATAGACAGATAGTCGTATGCTTGCATTCGTGTTTTAAGGGAATCGAATGGGAAGCCTACGAGGACTGAGCAGAAGGCTGCTGATGAGGCACCAATCACATGCTAATAGATAAACGGCAATTAATATGATGACATGAATAGAATGATCATATTTGTCTTGTGTGCTCGTGTTTTGTGAGCGAAGAGTCACAGATTGTATTGTCACTTCACGACAATCAGAAAAGAGGCAATCTTTCACGAAATGAATCGATCAAACGTGACTTGCATAGTTGCTTCTTTATACCTTGGCCGAATAGATATATGACGGCAAACCATGATTTTTGAAGCTTGCTCCAGATTGCGATGTTGTCGCAGCAATTTGCGTAAGTTGAGATAGTTGTTCAGCCATTATTCTATATGGTATTCTATATACTCTATATCTAATCCAGCGATTCAGTTCTAATATAATACAACTATGATTAGCCTCATGTTCTTTAAAAGCTTCAAACAACGACCAAGATTAGAGCTCATTGAACATACATTTTAATAAGGAGTACACGGTCAACAGTCCTCTAGTCCCTTCTACTATCTGGCCACCTCATCTAATTCTACCAACTATGCCTCCAAAGTCGCAGATGTCCACTCCAAATCTCAAGATTGAACCTCTGACTCAACCAACCGAGGTATGTGTTTGAAGGGACGAATCACGTACAGTATTTACATTTAAACTGATTTTGTACGTGTCTTTTATGTAGCATCGATACCAGTAAGTTTAACTCATGTGTTTTGGCACGGAACATTTGGACATTGGATGTTGACCATGCTTTGTTCACCACGCATTGTTGCAGGACGGAAATAGAGCAAGTAAGTCAATATGAGAGCTATGTCATTATGGTGAATGTTTCAATTATGAGAACTTGACTACTTGGCAAAAAATATACAAACCTAACACTGTATATCCAATTAGATGATGTTTGTCTTTGGCGAAGTCTCAGAACCACTCGACGCAACGGTACAACTCATTGAAGATATCGTGCAACACCAGATCTCGGAATTGGTAAACAACCCAAAAAAAGAACCGTTACAGTAGTTCTCGATGTATCATCTAACACACACCCGCATCTCTACTAGATCCAACAAACAACACAGCACGTCCTCACGAAAAGAAACTCTCGAATCATAACAGCAGAAGACATTGTGTTTCTGATACGTCGAAATCCAGCCAAGGTGCGTCGACTACGATCATATCTCAGTTGGAAGGATGTGAGGAGGAATACAAGTGAGAAGGATGGTGGGAGTGCTGTTGATCCTGAAGATTTGTTGGAGAGTGGAGCTAGTCCTGTTATTACTACCGGTAAGAAATCGAACTGGTTGGTTTAGAGTCAGGCAATCGTTCGCTTTTTTTGCCAACTCTTTTCTTGCATCGCTTCTTTTAGACAAGTCAATGAAAGTCAAGAGAGCAAAGGTATGCTAGTTTGTCTTTGAAAGCTCAAACTGTGGTTTGAATCTACCTAGACTACACAACAAACACAAAAAAATACCTCTCGTTATCTTCGCGAAATAGATCCATTTCTCGTGGGACCCATTATCATCCTTCAACGCTATGGTAGACGACTATTCGGCTGATGAGGACGACGATGATAATGATGATGAGCAAGATCTTGATGATGAGCAAGATCAAGCTCATCAAGCGCATATTCAACGCTTACGTACTGAAGATGAAGTTACAAAGGCGATGACTCTTGAAGGTAAAGGGTTCAGCCGTCCCCACGCAACATCGAACAGTTTTTTTGGTGCCGTTTTGCCTTTACTAACGGAAAAACATGATATCAATGGTTTGCTCAGAATACAAGAGATGGACTGAATGTCGAGGTGCTTCTTTCACGTATAAGAAGGCTAAAAAGTTTCGGGAATGGTGTGGTCTTACTGGGTAAGGTTATTTCGTTCGACAAGAGTCAATTATTGAGTTCTGAAAGTGTTTTTTTGCTGTCATCTGACAGTCATTTCTAAGGACAAAGATTAAACACCAACCCATTAACAATTCTTAAACATAGAACCTACGAATCAAAATCAAACACCGAAATAATCGACATCCTCGGCTTTCTATCCTACGACATGGTCGGAAACCTAACAGAAACGGCACTCCGAATAAAACAGGAATGGGATTTATCGAAACGTAAAAAGACATCAACAAGTAGTGGTGCTGTTACTCCTGCCGTCGCAGATAACGAACATAATAACAACATGAATATGGACGAAGATGAAGAAGACGATGATGATTATCTAGCATCGTTGGCAGGTATGAATTCACTATTCGGGAAGTCGGTTAGTGAAAGGACGCCACTGCTGCCTTCTCATGTGCATGCTGCATATCGGGAGAGTCAGATGGAGAGGAGTCATGTGTTGAGGAATTTTAGAGGTGGGGTTGTGAGGAGTTCTGAGGTGTTTATATGAGAGAACGACATTTGGAGATATTCGCTGATGTTTTTTGTGCATGTTGTACATACATTTTTTTCTATACAAAGATTCATTGAACCAATCAATCAATCAATGACTACGTTTACACAACATTCATTCTCTGACAGGACGCTCATTTGGAAGTAGCTACGCCATTGGAACGAGTAGGATTGGTAGTTTTCATGTCTTGAGCAACGTCATTTCGTCATTAGGTTGTGTTTTGCTCATCATCATCATTTTTGAACGGCAATAACGCAAGTAAGTTTGACCTGTGTTCGAAATCATACAAGCGTATTCCTTTGAATCGTATCATCGGCACTTCCAGAGGGACGCGGAAATCATGAAAACTGTTATTTGACATCATTGAGCAGTTATGAATTCACTTGTCGATTAATGAAAAGACATCATTGTTACCTTCTCCTATGCATGTCGAGCATCGGAAGATACAGGTGGGATGTATTAATGACATTTTGTGTGGGGTGATGTTAGAGCTGGGGTTGTCAACACTTGTGAGATCTCCGAATAAAGTGGTAACGATTTTTTTGCTCGCTTTGTTGCTATCCTTTAATGCTGCTCTTGTATACGTGCAAGTTGTACATATATTCTTCCTTGTTACTTATAATATACACTACAAAACATCACATATATTAAACCAATGACCACACTTTAATCCAAATCACCATTTTCAATACTAGCATTCCAATCACATTTAAATCTACCGCCGTCCCCACCCCTTCTTCTTCGCCCCCTCATCATCCCTCGGTCTATTTCCCGCATCAACAGGTGCCATACCTCTATTCCTTGGTGCTCCACCACCGCCAGCTCTAACAGGCGAAAACTCATCATCGTCACTATACACATTATTCTTCTTCCCATTCTTCTGTGGCTGCGATGGTGACCTAACTCTATCCCTCGGTGCAGCGACATCTGCTTTAGTAGGTCGACCTCTGGGTGACGCAGCTCTAGCGGATTTGCCAGCAAATCCAGCTTTCGGTTGTTCTATTGGCCGTGCACGTTGTTTAGGCGGGTAGTCTTCATCATCGTCGTCGTGTCGGGACGGTGATATGGCTCTGTGTCGTGGCATCGGGTCTCCTCTGATGTTATTGGGCTGGTTATTCCGAGGTGATTTCGGCGATGGTGATATAGCTCTTCGAGCATTAACAGGGATTCGTCGTCCATGGTTGTCAATCTCGTATTCAGCTTCCTCTATGACGATACTGTCGTCGTCTTCATCACCACCGTCTTCGTTGTCAGACGAGTCACTGTTGTCGGGATTATGTTTACGTCCAAAGCGTCCAAATATACCCTTCTTGGATGTTGGTGATTTCGGTGACTTTACAGCTTTACTTTTCTTACTTGACGATGCACCAGGCACAGGACTAGCGACATGTACGTCCCTTCCTAATCTAGTGCCTAATCCCAGCCCTTCATCAAGCGATACCTCCTTCCGCAAATGCTTCCCATTCGCATCCCCATTACTATGATTCAGTTTGCGCAACACTTGGGCCTGATGCATCTTTAGCTCATCAGGCAGTTCGACTTCTTGAGCGCTGAATGATTCGTCTCGAGGCGGGATGTTCAATACAGGGTATGTAGCATAGTTCTTGTTTCGTTTGAGAGATGATTTTGTTGGGAGGTGGTGGTGGTTTGGTGATGGATATGGGTTTTGGATTGATGTGGGGGATGTGGTGTATATGTTTTCTCGGTCGTTATTATTGGTTATGTTGTTGCTATATGGGTTGTAGTCGTCGTAACGTGGTCCTGCTGGTGAGCGTGGTGATGGTGGTCCATAACCGTCATAGTCGGCGTGAGGAGCTCGACCTAGTACAAAGTACACAAGCATTCGAATTAGATCCAGCCTGATCTTGGCACACAAATACCATGCGTCTGAGCTTGCAAACCCAAATTCAAACCACCACATAAATTTCATTACCTCCCAGTCGCACTTTAAGCTCATCCATGATATCCGGAGGAGGCATAAAAACTTCTCCGTCATTAGTAAAAGCAGGCTTCTCAGGCACAAAGAGAGCCGGTTTGGCTTGTGGTGGTGGCATTCGCTGGTTTTTGGGTTGGGACATTGCTTTTCGAATCGGACCTCCCGGTGATCGGTCACGTCTACGAGGGCCACCATCGCCCATATACCTCGCTGCCATGCTGATATATAGCAGCTCTCGTCACGTTCTAGGCCTAGTTCTCTTTTAAGAGGTTGTTTCAGCAGGCCCAACGGTCGACTGCGTTTTGCTGAAAAAGAAAGACGAAAACTTTCGGGAGGAGGAATCAAAGCGAGAGTTGAATCAAAAGCGAGATTCGTTTACGCATACACGTCATGAGCTTCCAGGATGGTTGGTTGGTTTCAAGTGGCCATCGGTGCTTTGCATTTGTACGATCGCACAAGTCTGCACGTCAGCAACTATTTTGGAACTCCGAAGCGAATTATTTGCCTCTTTGCGTGTTGGCAGAACCAGCTTCGATATTTTCGCGTCGTTTCCCATCTAGTCCTACTGTTAAACCTTGTTGATTCTCTACTGTAGAGCATCCAAAACACGCCGTTGTTGGACAGGAGGCACTTCTATTGGTTTTTGGATTCGTCATGATATAAAAAGCGTATCAGTTGCCAAAAATCTCCCTCCTTTTCTAAATTTTAGCGGGAGCGTCGCCGAAAACGTCGGGGTTTCCTAATAGCAATCAAGGAGATCAGAACCTCAACATTTACAAGCTCGTTCCAGGCATAAACCTACCCCAACCAGCCCATTCATATGGCTTCAAGTATCTCAACGGCTTGGTAGTACCTAATTCGTTAATCAATGCCATATCTGAATCTTCCAGTATAAAATCCTGGAAATTCTCGGCAATACGAGCTGGAGTAACGGATTTGGGGATCACTATAAAGTACGATTCAGTATGCAGTCAAGAGTGGCAATTCATACTCGGGAAAAAAATCACGAAATCTCATATTATGCACACTCCGCTCCATCACTTACCAGAAACACCCCGTTGAATCTGCCAGGATACGAGAACTTGAGCAACAGACTTGTTGTATTTCTTTGCAATCTTCAGTAGCACGTCGTCATCAAACAATGATGGTGATCGTCCAGAACCGAATGGCGAGTAAGCAGTCAATAGGATGTTGTGCTTTTTGCAAAACGCTAGGAGGTCATTTTGGGGGTTGTATGGATGTAATTCGACCTAATAAAAAGCAGATTCGTGTTATTCTGGAGATGGATGCAGTTTAGTTTTTCTGCTGTAGAGCAAACCTGGTTGACGGCAGGAGTAATTTTCGCTGTTTTCAACAGTTCTTGAATCCTTGCTATTGAAAAGTTGGAGACTCTAGAAACAAAGGGATTAGGTTTATCATACAACTGTAGACAGTGTTTCTTTTGCGCCATCATACACACCCAATAGCTTTGACAAGACCTTTATCAACCAACGACTCCATAGCAGCCCAAGTCTCAGAAATGGGACAATCGTCAATGACCATAGATCCATCAGCATTCTTGGCTGACCCTTTTCCGTCATCGGCCAGTTTGAATGCGATAGGCTAAAAACGATGCGTGGTTTATCAACACGCTTCAAAGTTTCAAACGTTCCAACACCACAATGATACATACCCAATGCATCAAATACAAGTCCAAATAAGAAGTCTTGAGGTCTTTCAATGTAGTCCTGCAAGCCCCTTCAACGTATTCTTTGCGATGACGGTCATTCCATAGCTTTGAAGTGATGAATACTTGTTCACGAGGAACTTTGCTCTCCACGAGAGCTTCTCCGACCTCGTTTTCATTGCCATAGATAGCGGCTGCATCGATGTGACGGTAGCCTGCTTGAAGCGCTATAATTTGGAACGTGTTTGATGGTTGGTGTCAGCGTCAAAGTTTCAAGTCTGTGCAATGCTCTTCAACTGTCGAGTTTCAAGTGTTTCAAGCGGTCGGCCTCCAAATCTTTGAGGCTTTAAGCTCGTATGCTCCCAGAAATGGAGGGTTCAGCTGCTAAGCTTCCAACACTCCAAATGTTTTGATGTGCGTCCACGATGTAGGTGTACAAGACTTGCGATCGGCCAATGCAAACAAGCAGGAAGCAAGACACGGTCAGATACGTACCATTTAGGACGGCTTGCTTGACTTCATTTGGTTTTGACTGCCATGTTCCCTACAACCATTGTTCCGTAAGTTTTAAGCTTTCGATCATGGTTTGAACTCGGATGTTGCTAATAATGTTTACTTACGAGGCCAAAGGCGGGCATAGGCATGCATCCTTTAGCTGACAAGACAAAAGTTCTGTTTAGTGCCATCTCTGTTCTGTTCTACGATTTTGCGTTTTGTGGATTGTTTTGAGGGATGACAGGTATGTGACAGGTCAGTTGTTTTAGCTAATTGTTTGCCGCTGGATGTTATCTTTACACCTCAATCACGGCAGGTACGAATATTCACCCTTCCTTTTACACTAGGCTTCTGTGAGAACCGTCAACATCAAACATGTAAAAAGGAATGCTATTGCCTGTGCGGGCTACCGACCCAATGCAACAAAGTCGCTGTTTACTGCGTAATCAGATAGCAGACTGTCAAGACTATTTGCTACTGCTGGTTTTCTTCCTGGTGAGGATCAGTTCAATCCATGCTAAGAAAACGCGGGGTCAGCTCGACAGTGTGGCACAATGGAGGCATTTTTGGATCCAGAAGAGTAGTATCCTGCGTAAGCAAACCACCGGAATGATGGTGGAGGGTTAGCTCGTTTTGTTAGAAGGTGGCTATTTAAGTCAACCCTGAGTTTCGAAACACCCAGCATAACTACCCGGGTTAGCTCGAGCGCTAGTCTGTGGGTTCGCTCCCGTGCTGGATAAGACTTGCATTGCCCCAACCGTGTGGTGGTTTTTGTTTGGATCTCTTGTAGCGGTTTTGATTGGAGTTGGATGCTAACCACAGCACTCTCTCCCTTTCTTACAACGAGATATTGATGAAAGGCTGGTTGCCATCTGGATATGAAGGGGAGGACAATATTAACGGGAGGACAGGATTAGAGAAGGAGGCCGAGGGACGACATCACGGCTGTTTCATTCAGATTGAAAGCAATCTATCGTGTCCGGTGGTGACGAGTCAGCTCGGATGACCCATTATTGACGGAGCTAGCTCGGCAGTGAGGCACCATAGAAGCATTTCAGATTTAGAGGTGATAGTCACTTTAAGCAACACCAGTCATTGCAGCAAATGCAAATGAGTTAGCTCGCTTGCTTAAAAGTGGCTATTCAACCAACAATCTGAATCTGAAAACGCAGCATACTAATACCGGAGTTCGCTTGGTGGGTAGTTGGAAACAGTTCCCGTTCTGGATAAGACTTTCTTCGCCAACCCTGATCTTTCGTTCTATAAATAATCTACGCTCAAATCATAATTAAACCAAAAGCCAACTCAAAATGTGAGATACACCTACAATAAAGACATCTAGTTTTAAAAGGTTTCACAAATGCGACATATGCGACATTTATACATGTAACAACGTTTATACATGCGACATTTCAAATATAATTATTACATCCTCCCCACCACAACAACACACTCCTCCGACCACCAAATCCACCCACCAATTCCCACACTCCTCCTCTTCATCTCCTCGCCTCATTCCCAGCCCTCCTCATGTTCCCCACATTCTCAGCCACCCGCTCATCAGCCCTGTCCAGAAACGCCTTTTTCTCCAGATACCCGTCCTTATTATGCAGTTTCAATTCATCCGCAATCCCTTCCTTGGACACAAACTGCTGCCAGTCCAATTTTGATTTCTCGAGGGATGTCAGCTTTTGGACTTCGGCAGCGACGCCATATTTGGCTGCTATGGCGTCGAGGTCTATGCGTTGGCGGCGGGGGAGGGGTGGTTTGGCGTTTGGGTCTGCAGGGATGGATGGGGTTGTGGTTGTTGGAGCAGTTGGTTGGGTGGGTTGGATTACTGTTCCTGATGCCGAGACGCTAAGGAGGTGTTAACATGTGAGTTTATTATGAAGATCTGCAAAGCTTTTTTTGGTTTAGCTTACGCGAATTGCTTGCCAGCATATTGATACACTTTGGTTGCTTCGACGATTGGTTTGGTTGGATTTGTTGCTTTAATCGATATCTAGCAAGGAGTTTTTCACAACGTCAGCATCGCGAACAAAACGATCGTGCATGCTCACCAATAGACACTCAACTGTTCGTGTCTTGCCATCCCTATTAACAGGCTGATTCATTTCCATCCATAACGAATCCACCAACTGCTTCCGTCTAGCATCCTCTTCCTGTTGCAGTATCGAATGAGATTCATGCCGCTGCTCATTCTCGTCCTCTTCATCTTGTATCTGCCGAGTTGGTTTTGGTGCTGGATCTGCTTCACCTTCGACTCGCAGCACTGTTTGTCTGCAATAGTAAAGAATTAGTAAAAATCGAATAAATGTGAACATATATACGCAACAGACCTCAAATTTTTAACCTTGTCACCCCCCTTTGTCTTGCGTGGTCGTTTTGATGTCTTTTTGCTGCTACCACTACCCTTCTTTGTCCTCTTTCTCTTTGCACTGGTAGATGATAGTGTAGACGCGTCTTCTCTGTCTGCGACCTTGTCGATATGGTCTCCTTCTTCGTCGTCTTCTTCGGATAGGTCGAGTTCTTCGCGTGCATCTATTAACGTGAATTTGTTAGCGTCAAGTAATGTAATGACGCAAGGGTGTAAGTACCTTCAATGTTGAAATCCTCGTCATCGTCATCCGACGAATCGGCATCGTCTGTTAGGGGTGGTTTTGCTTGAGCTGACATTGTCGCTGTTTTATCGAGTTTGGAGTTTGAGCTCTGTGTGTGTGTGAAGAGAAGAGACAGAGAGCGATCAAGTTTCAAGTAAGGTTGTTATTCTCACGCGTTATTTACTCAAAGTTCGAAGTTCGAAGCTTGTAAATTGATCTAAAGAAACGTGTTTTTGAAGCAATCACTTCAACATTTGATCATTTCGACCATTTACAAGACGGAAGCTGATCAGACACATCTCATTAGATACCAGCAGCCCTCATAAAAGGTAAGATCGCTACATAAAAGCTCTCATACAAAGCCATATCTTGATCCCACGGTCGGCACCCTTAAATGACACAATTTGTTTGACTGACTAGAATCATCTTTTCAATCGCTACCATTCTAGCACCCATACGCAGATAGATCTATACGGGATCTACTAGATTCACTCATCCGGGACTCTCCTCCGACTACATTCAACGAATGTCATCACAACCGACAACCTCATCAAACACAACTGCTGTAAGCGACTCCAAGCCCAAACGAAACAGGATAAAAGAGACATGGGCTTGGATTTCTGCACAGTGGTTTCTGTTTGCTTTGGGGTATTAATGCAGATTTGGATAGATGTGATCGCAGACATGTGCTAACTTGACTTCTTGTAGAGCATCGATCGGACTCGCAGCTGCCTTTCCACGGCTAGGACAGAAGGGAGGGTACATTCGATCAGAGTATAGTGTCCATTATGGAGCAACGGGGATCATCTTCTTGCTGTATGTCCTTGATTGCTGCCGTTTTTTTTTGTTGGTGCTGCCAGCTCATCACCCACCATGATCATCGTATCTGACTCTTACAACTCACTTGTATTCTAATAACACTCTAACATCATCTCTTCACACAACAGATCAGGCCTATCACTCAAAACATCCGTCCTAGGCAAGACCCTCCTACAATGGCGAACCCATCTCCTCATACAGCTCTTGTCTCTCGGCGTATTTCCAGCTGTCGGCTTCGCAATTGGCAAGATCTTGCTCGCGCTGGGTTACAATCAGGTGCTGGCGCATGGACTTATGATTGCACTTGGTATGATCATCAAAGTAACATGCACAGTGTTCCATTACTGACTCTTTGCTTGTGTTGCAGCAACTCCAACAACGATCGCTTCAAACGTGACAATGACCAAGAAGGCTGGTGGTAATGAGCCTGCAGCGTTAACGAATGCCGTGATGGGGAATATTATTGGTGTTTTCTTGAGTCCGGTGCTCATCATTGCATTTACTGGTATGTCGTATAGAAACCAAGCAAAAAACAGACAGAGCGAAAGCAGAAAGCGCATCTTATCAACGCATTTCACCTCGTCTACACCAGGAGGTCCATCAAGCGGCACATCCTCCTCCGTCCAATACGGCGCGATCTTCCTCGACCTAACATACACGGTCGTAATCCCTCTCGTAATCGGCCAAATAATCCGCTTCCTCTTCTCCGATTCCGTCGAATGGCTACAAGCACGCATCAAATTCGGAATGATTTCGTCTATTTGTCTCCTCTTGCTAGTATGGGCGGCATTCTGTGATACTTTTGCCGGTGGAAGTACGAGTCTGGTTGGGGGTGCTGATATGGTGGTGGTGATATTGCTGAATTTGGTGGTGTTTGTGAGTTTCTCGGGCGTTGCGTTTGGGATTTCGAGGGTGAGGTGGTTTGGGTTTACGCCTGCTGACACTGTAAGTTGCAGTTGTGATATTCGGTTTACCTGTTTTTGCGCCGTGTTGTTTGCTATCAGAACAAAAAAAATTGCTGAATTGAATGTTGACGACAAAACTAACCCACCACTCCATCTCGACCAGGTCGCCATCGTAATGTGCGCCGCTACAAAAACAGTATCCCTCGGCGTGCCCCTCATACAAGTAATCTTCGCCAACGACCCCACAAAAGGAATCCTCGCAATCCCACTTTTAATGTATCACGCAATCCAACTCCTCATTGGTGCCATATTCGTAACGCTCTTCCAAAAATGGATTCAGAAACTCAGTATAAAGGCACGAGATGAGGAAATGAATTTAAAGAATGTGTCGTTGGAGAGCGTGGATGATGGTGTGATGGGAGTTGATGAGAGTAGTAGTGGTGCTAGTAGGGGAGAGAAGAAGTCGTCGGACGAGGAACGGAATGAGATTAGTGACGTTGATTTATCAGAGTCGAGAAGTGGGAGTAGAGAGGGGGATAGAAAATAGATGGGGTTAGAAGAAGCATACCACGTACAGTTATAATAGGTTAATTAATAATGAAATAGAAGTTTGATTCTGATGCTAGGTGGGATTGTGCTCTTTTGTTGAAGCTGGTAGATATCAAGTACGAAACATATATTGGGGAAACGCTTGTGAATATTCAACACCAAACACCCCAAAACTTTTCAAGTGAGCCTATGCTCAATCTCTTGAAGCACCTCCATCAATAAGAACTTCATCTGAGTTGGCGAAGAGAGAAGGGAACACAGAACTTGGGTGATTCCCCCCAAGAAGGGGACATTCCCTGATTTCGAGTTACGGCTTGGACAGCTTTTTTCGACAATCAAGTCAACAAAATAAACACCCGAACGGCCTCTATAATACCACGACATGGATTTTCACTTTTGTTCATTTTTCTCCTCTACACAAAAATACCTTGGTGATGTTGTCGTGAATTATAAAAATGACGAGGTGCCGTGTCTTCAATCGCCAACCAAGAGATGCTGATTTGTATATATACCAGACCCGGTCACATCGATCAGTGGGTATACTTATCAGAGTCCTCGTAGCGTCGAATTGCAAACAGCCTGAGAGGAGAATTTGATGGGGTTGTCCATCAGTGTTGATGATCAACACCACAGAGAGTATGTCAACGATAGAGTCTCACGAGTTTTACATCCACTTACTCACTGAGGTAGTCGCAGCTCTTACACTGCAAAACATGACTGGTATGGATTCATCAATAGCCGTTCATCGAGGCTACGGAAACTGAAACAGCAAGGCATGCCATTTAGACACATACAGCGCTACTATGCAGCACGATAGCAGGCCATTGGCTTGCATACCCACGAAAAAGCGAGTTCTCGTCAGCTGCCTTGCAAACACAGCACATATGAAGTGTGGTCAATATCGAAATGTTGTGTACGTGCATGTGTCGCAGTACATCCAATTTATCGGCGATCGGAATTGTCTGAATTCACTGTATGAGGAATTGCTGGCTTCAAGAGCGTATGGGCTGTTGCTGTGAGTGGGAAGGCGCATGATGTTGGGTGGGAGATTGGGTTTAAGAAGGATAGCGCTGCTAGGAATGGTACTGAGGATGTTGGTGGTAGCAGTGTAGATGGTAGCAATGTATCTGTGTATCACAAGCTTGTAATTGGCGTGTTGTTGAGCAATTGAAAGTCCTTCAAGTCATAGGGTGAAGATGAAAGTTTCCGTCCAAGTCAGCACACAGCGGACTTCATTTCGATACGACACTTTAAATGGTACACTAGTGCAATGACATAGAGGATTCCTCCACACAAGAATTATGCGGTTATGGTGGACAGAAAAGCAACAAGAAACCACCCGTCGCTCAAGGCCATCGAGAGGACAGAGAGATCTTTCTTTGGCAAGGACTCATAGAATATTTAGATACGACTAGTAGTCAGCATCCTGTAGCGAACAAGTCTCAAGTCGGTATGTAAGAAGCTCCCCAATGCGCGTTCTGCATAAGAGCTAGTTTGGTTGACTCAAAGCTACTTCTTGTCATAGTCTATTGCCTGTTAATGGTAGCCGAACAAAACTCACTTCATTTGCAGAAGCGTGGTCTTCATCATTAAATAAAGCTTTTCAACCATATTAAATACAGTAATATAGCGTAGAACGGCTCACCTGATCAAGAACCACTTCCCTCAAGCTAACTCGTCGTTCAACTGACCTATGTGACTGCGAAGAAGATCAAACCCAAAAGTTCACAAACATGACAGCAATTTTTATTCATACGTTATAATTTTTATTCATACTAACTTTGAGATCTCACGGACGCGACATTACACGCGTTGCTGTCGCTTACAATTTGGCATTCTCATCGAGTGCAATGAAGATTGAGATTCTTGGTTGTTTGTTCACCGCTTGTGACTAGTGGAGATGTTGAAGTAAGGAATTGTCACGTCTGAGACGTAAAAGTTGGGTGTTACCTTGTGTCCTTTACCCCATGTATCTTCAACGAGAATCACGTCTAGAAACAAGACTCAGCTATCAGAATCACGACTTGAAATGATACCGCTGCAGTTAAATGCCTACCTCCAGTAACGAAACGTCTCGTAGTTCCGTCGCTCTAAGGACATATCCGTGAGATTCCAACAAAATTTCCCAACAGTCGGATATCATACCACAGTGATATCAACACTCCCATTAGCCATCAGAATAAACTGCTTTCGTGGCGCGTGGTGAAAGTCGAAATCATAGTCTCCTCCTGTGTGCTAAAACAACAGAGGGTGTCAGCACGTAGTATCCGTCACATGTAAAACACAGGCTTACTCTGAAGACAACGCCCTTGGTAGCAATCATTTTACTCATTGAGCCAATCATTCCTTCACTTTTGAGTGGTATTATTATGTCTTCGAAATGGGATTCGCCATCTTTGGTTGGATACACCCTAATAGTTGATGTTTGGAACGGTGTCAGCGTTTGACAGTAGACGTTGTGCGAATTTGAGAATAGTCGAGTACTAATTAGCACCTGGTGACGTTCATGGTGGTCTTAAGCTCTAATGCACGAAATGGTAGGTTAGCTTCGAGACACGAAACGTGGACGTGGAATTGTTTGGTGAAAACAAGGGGCAACTGTAAATGTCAGCGTACCTGTGTACTTATATATGCCTTAAAGTACAATACGTCACGTCCTTCACGTTCCTTTAACCTGTGTCTGTTCAAAACACGCAAAGCTTCAATACGTTACAAAACAATGCTCGCTTCAACAGCTCTGCAGGCGATCGCGTCTGGGACGCTCTTATACTTCCTATCAACGTATGTCCTACGAAAATTCCTCCCAAAACCAGCATCATCACCATCGTCTTCACCACATCGAATATACGTTGCAAAGACAACACATGCACGAATACGGCCTGTGGGACATGCATTTTCATATCCTGTACTATACATTGCAGTAGATCTAGACCATTGCAATGAACTCCCGTGGGGCTGGGTATCGTATAACGCATTTGGACTGTTTAGCATCTGGGATGCTGATTTCCTTGTTGACGATGAGAGTGGTGGGAGGATTCTACGTGTTGAAGAATCTGTCAAGTGGGATACGAGTAAGGCAAGATCGGCTAGTGTCAAGCAGAAGCTCATGTCGTGTTTGGACGATATGGTATGTACAGGAGTATGCCCGCAGCCAGCAGAACGATCGAAGCTAGATCGAAGCTAACACATTATTTTAACGCAGGGTGTTGATATTAAGTCAGTAGGCAAAACAGTGCTTGTTACAACGCCTCGTTTACTGGGTTACTCGTTTAATCCTTTAAACGTTTACTACTGTTATCACGTCGATCAACCAAACACGCTGCTCTGTGCAGTTCTAGAAGTTAACAATACGTTTTCGGAACGGCATGTGTATCTTTGTGATGATCGGAATAAGATGGAGAAGACGCGGGCTGGGTAAGAATCAAAACTGATGTTCCACTATGTAATGTGTGGTGTTTTACCCCGCTTCGACCTCACACAAAACACACACTTCTTAGATACACATCGTCACACAGCATCACACGATCCTTCCACGTATCGCCATTCAACAACCGATCGGGAAATTACGAAGCTCATATAGCACCCTTGCATGAAAATCAGTTTGATGTGTTGCTGAATCTAGTGAAATATGAGAACGAGGATGCGAAGCATTTAACGGCGAGGGTGTTTGGTACGGATGTGTTTGGGTTGAGTGCGTATTCGGTGCTGTATTCGTGGATTCATGTTGGGATGTTGACGGTTTTCTTGACGGTGCCGAGGATTATGTGGCAGGTATGAAAAACTGTGGCTTTGACGGTGTGGATGCTTGTTGTCGGTTTTTTTCTCGCCCTGCTAAATCATTGTTACGTTTGGGAGGAGGGAATAAGCAGTTAAACAATTGGAAGCTCACAGCCATCACTGTCTCATGTAGGCTTGGAAGCTGGCATACGTACGAGGCCTAAGCGTATACGGCAAACCACACCCACTATCACCTACTTCCAAATCCTCAAAAACGATTATACGACAAGTACCTACCACCTTTGAATGGTAATACTTCTTCGCAGCTTGCTTTTTTTCTCCCCCACTCACATCTTACCAACATAGTTACGCCATCGAACGTGTCTTTCGCCACATCGAATCCCTGGATTTACACACCGCAATACGCTTCCATTTCCCAGATTCTCAAAACACGGTCATTGAATTATCAGGCCGCGATAGCAAGCCACCAATAGACATTACGATAAACGCTTTTGGATTCTTCTCGGCAATAGTATTGTCAGGAGATATAGGTCGTGCCCTAGCTACATGTTACGTGACGGGAGATTACGTCGTATCGGATTTACGTGCTTTTCTCTCACTCCTAAAGTCACCAATACCACATGATATAAACCAACCAGAAGCGCTCGTCACGAAAACACGCAGATACCTCTCCCAACACACTATCCCAGACACGACATTCTCATCCCTTGGGACACTGGATTACAACATGACATACCACGATGCCTATACAATCATATCCGAACTAGTGCTTGAACGACTGACATCGTACTGGTTTGATGGTACTGCATCGTTTACGTGGAATCCGTTTAGGTTGCATGAGAGGATGAGGGTGTATGCGCAGGATGTGAAGACGGGCGTGCTGAAGGAGGTTTGTGAGGTTGATGAGGTTATGCCAGGACGGAATGAGAGGAGTCGGTTCTTGGAGCTTTATAGAGCTGCTGCTGGTGCGGGAGTTGTACGAGATTTAAGTGTGGGAGGAGTCTGTGAGAGTGCTGCTGCAATATAGCGGAGAAATAGAAGAAAATTGTATATCACAAATAGTATAGAGTAATAGTGAGGACCTCAACATTGTAAACGATCAATCCAATACAGAAGACTTCGTCGCGAGAAAGCCATTATTGCATGTCTATTTAACGAGCACTCTAGAAAAAGTAAAACCGTTTCTCCTTCCTCATATACCCATCATTACTCCACTTGCTCGTCAAACTCTCATTCATCTGCATAAAATTTCTGCGATCAGCATGCTTGTTTTGTTTGCCCTGTTTGCGCTGGTTGCGTCGCCACCATACTGCTCCTCCCTACATGCACAAAAGAAAGAGTCAGCACCAAAGGAAGAGAAATTGGTTTCGACGATGATCACATCAAATTGATGTACGCTTACGATAATACACGGAATCCCAATCAGCAGTATAACAATCAGCGCAACCATGCCGCCTGCGATGGGCACGTAGCATGATCCGTAGCGGAAGTTTGCACTGTTTGGACATGCGGTCAAGTAAGTTGCTATGTATTCAACGATTCATTAGTACGATTCATAGAACAGGATGCAAACAGACTGGTGCCTTACTGTAGTCGATACATCCTGTCCCTGGACAGAACCCACACGATGTGTTTGATACACATGTGCCACAGTCAGTTAGCGATGCACATGTTTGTGCTATGTGTGAATTATATTGTTAGATTTGGGAAAGAGTGCGTTTGATCCAGTGATTTATTGGTATACCTTTGCATGACGTGACAAGTAGTATGAAGAGAGCGATAAAAGATGAGATTATATTTCGTATGGCCATGGTTGATATTTTGGTGGACGTACGGTTCAGATCCAGAGGTGTTTTCTCACGGCGACAAAGTTTCGGGTCTTGTTGCGAAAAAGTGGCTGTTGATGTCAATCACATCCGTATACTGCGCTTGAGAATTTCTTGGTTGGCGACGAAGGCTTGGAAGAATCCATACGATATATCCACATCTGGCGTCCTTCTGCCTCACTGCATCTAACTTATAATCATGGCAGGTAGAAATGTCATTCCCAACAATAACCATACCAACCCCGACCAAACAGCCACAACAGATCAATCAAGTCCAGGCTCATCCGAAGACTCATTCCATTCCGCAACTGAAACTCTCCCCACTCCCATTCCCAACACTACAAACTTCAAGCATCTAATAGCAACCATACATCAGAGTCAGCCAAACGATGATTCCGAAGCACAGGAAACAGATGCGTTGTTGGATGGGCACGAAGTTGTAGAAGATCAGAATGTGCACATACCAACTGGATCGTTGGGATCGTCGTTTCTGAGTGTCTCGAATACAATATTGGGGACGGGAATGCTTGCTATGGCAAGTATATACTACTTTCACGTTAAGCTCTATCTTTAGTATAACTAGACAGCCTATTTCTAATTAGCCATCAGCAATCGCATCACTCGGCGTCGGTCTCGGCGCGATAATGATTACTGTATCTGCTACATTCGCTGCAGTCGGCTTGACAATGCTTGTATCATGTGCACACAAGATGGGGATTCCATACCGTCGCACATCGTCATTCTTTACGATTGCACAGGCCACGTACCCTGCTGCTGCGAAATGGTTTGATGCTGCTGTGGCGGTGAAATGCTTTGGAGTGTCGGTGTCGTATCTGTTTATTGTTGGTGATCTGGTATGTGCTTGTTTTATATGAGAGTTTGTAATTGTTATTGACGCTGTTTTTAGATGCCCAAAGTCGTATCAGGTTTCGCACCGACCACACCACAAGACGCATTCTACGCCACGAAACTATACTGGATTTCCATCGGTGTAGCGCTTATAGCGACACCTGCATTCTTCAGGGACTTGTCGTCGCTACGATACACGTCAATGATTGCATTGTCGAGTGTCGCGTATCTGGTTGTGCTGGTTGTCACGCTGGCCTTTAAGCCGTTAGACGGTATGCCGCATAGAATGAAGTGGGAGGATATCGTGTGGTTTAAGATGGATGTCAAGTTTTTCACGGCGCTCCCTATATTGGTGTTTGCTTTTACGTGTCGTAAGTTTGCTGGTCGTTGTAATGAAAACAACATGAATTGATCTTGTTTATATATATTTTTCGTCTTTAGATCAAAATGTGAGTCCGTCTCTACTACATTATATTTCTATGCTTTTTGAACGATTTTTCGACGTTTGATACTTAGATCCTGACAGTATACAACGAACTACTCGGCAACACGCCCAAACGAATGTCAATGGTGATATGCTCTGCAGTACCCATGGCATTCTCTATATACCAAGTGATTGGTATTACTGGATACGTCACTTTTGGACCTGATGTGAAGTCTAATATCATTGCGAATTGTATGTGGTGCTGCTGTGTTGTCTCGATGTTTACTGAAAACTTCCTTCACACATCTCCTCCTATTTTTGGCGATATTCAACTCACATTGCTTCTTTTCGCTAGACCCAACAAACAGCCCATTCGTAACAGGCGGCCAACTCGCAATCGCCATCCTAGTCCTGGTCTCATACCCGCTCCAAATACACCCGGCACGAGCATCACTAGACAGGATTATTGGACGGCGTGTCGATCCAACGAGCCCTATACCCGCACTACGGTTTACCGTGCTGACGACTGTACTTGTGCTGTCTGGGTACCTGCTTGCAGTGTCTGTAAAGAGTCTTGGATCGGTAATCTGTCAACAGATTCCTCATGATGTCCACCCAGTTTTTTTGCTAACGGTTTTTTATTACAGATACTGGCATTCGTAGGCGCAACAGGGTCAACAACCATATGCTACATCCTGCCTGGACTGCTGTATCATCGGTTAATGCTCAACATGGATCCGGAGAAATCGGTGTGGGCGAGGAGAGCAGCGTTTGGGATGGCAGGGTTGGGACTTGTTATTATGATTGCATGTTTGGCGGGACAGATGGTGCCACATGGTGGTGACGTTGCACCGCATTTCTTTACGTATTGATTGATGTATTGTGGTGAAGGGGTAATAGATGTCATAGATGTGGAGGTTTTGGGTACAGGTTTTAGGTTATGAAGTGAAATGTGTCGAGTCATGTGAGCTTTTTGGTACGTCCTACCGAGACGTATTTGATTGTTACTTTGGATTTTTTTTAGTTTTCTGTTGCTGATATCAAGGTCGGGCTCGACGCTCAACCTCTTGATGATTTGCCACAAAAACAAAACCTGTCCAAACCAACAAGATAGCTATGCCTGAAACAATCCATCTAGTAAGTTCCCAACATCTAATTGAGTAAAAAGCTCTCATTCTAACACAAAATCAGACAGACATTCGCACTAAACAGCAACCAGAGGCCGTCAAATAAGTACTCATCACCTTTTAAATGCTTCTCGCCCATCTTGAGCTCTCCCTTAATGTCCCAAAGTCAAAGAAACCCACGTAACTTCATTTGCATCTGGCTTGAAAATTTCTTCTCAAGACGATGCTCATTTGCATATCATGATGCTGTGTGTGCTTGTTGGTTTGAGAAGAAAGGAGTCTACTGCTGTGAGGAAGACGGTTGAGGTTGATGCAAGAGGGCTGTTGTGGAGTTCTTGGTTGTTGTGTTCGGATGGTGATTGCACAGACGGTGATGCACTCAATGCAAATTCGAGTAAAACCAAATGCTCTTTTTGCAGGTCCCTTGATTTTCTTTTTTGTCGTTAGAGCAAGATGTGATTTTCTGTTGCTGAGTTTCTCTGATTTTACTCTTTGCTAAACACCTTCGTCGCTTAGATTCCGACAGGCTAGAAGGATTTACTGGGCAAGTCCCCCTATATGAATGTGATTCTCAATGTGGTCTGCATTACCTCTATATACCAAGTAATTCTAATCACGGCATACGTCACTTTTCCACCTGATGTGAAGTCTAATATTATTGCTAACTTTATGTGATGCGGTTATGTTGTCTTGGATTGGTAATCTTCGCCACTGATATTCTTGATATTTTTGCCAACCGGCATTTGTAGGAGCAACCATATGCTACATCTTACCTGGATTCCTGAATATCATTTTTTGATGCTAAACATGGATCCTGAAAGGCCCGATGGACAAGGATGGCACGCTGGGCATGGCGGGATTGGACTTGTGACACAGAGAGTTCCACATGGTGGTGATATTGCTCCGCGTTTCTTTGCCTATTGACATGATTTGGTGGGGGACTCATTTTATGGCTGAGTTAAGGTACAAGTCTTGATATTAACTAAAGACACGTACAAGCTGACTGTTCGTTTTTTGTTACTAGAGCAAACAGTCCATTTGCAAAAGGAGGCCAGCAAACAACCGCTATTTTAGTCATGGTATCATACCCGCTCTACATACACCTTACACCAACTTCACTAGACAGTATTATTGGACGGACTGTTGATCCTGCAGTGTGCAATACCTGCTTCACGGTTTAGTGCTTTGACGACTGTGCTAGTGTCATATGGATATCTGCTTGCTGTGTTTTTTAAGAAGCTTCGATCGGTATAAACTTGCAAATGATTCCATTCAGAATAGGTACCGTTATTTTTGTACCAAACAATTATTCACCATATTTCAAATAAAATTAAGCACTGGTGTTCGTAGGTGCAGCAGGCTCGAATTATGTTGAATTCTACCTCGCCTGTTATATTATTGATTGATGCTGAACACAGATCCGGAGGAGTCGGTGTGAGGAAGGGGAGGAGCACTTGAGATGGTGGGGTTGGAGACTCGTTACTATGCTTGCACGTTTATCACGATATCTAGCTCCAGCTCCTGGAGATGCGACCCTTCGGGTTTGAATGGAACATGAAATGGACGGTTCATAGAGGTTGCAAGGCAGCCGCAAAACTAATTTCTGTTGTCATGAGCGTGAGTTTAAAGATTGTAGTGAGCGCACGCGTCAATACACGATTTATCAATTTTTATGTGATTCTTTCCGTTGATTGTTGTTTAGTTTCATGCTGTTGATTTCTGTTCAGTTTCGACACGTCCATTCTGTCACGACAAGCTCTGCAACAGAACTTTTTACAAGCGAGCAGCAAGAGGCAACGATGCCTGAAAGGATCAATCTAGTGAGTCAGCAGTCTTTATACTGAACTACCAGCTACAATTTTACTTACACAAATTCACACAGACATTAGTGCTAAACAGCAACCAAACACTCAAAAGAGTAATCATTACACCCAAACTCCTCTCAACCATCTTGGAATCCTGCATCAAGAAATTCCCAGCAGTTAAGAAGCCACGTCTCTTCACCCCATCTGGGTCTGAAATAACATGTCAAGAAGATGTCGATTTACACGTTGTGAATCAGTGTGTGCTTGTTGTTTCGAATGGAGAGAATTTTATTGGTGTGAAGAAGGCGGCTGGATCTGATGATGGACGGGTAGCCGCTGTTGTAAGGATTATCGCGGATGTGTCGGATGTTGATTCAATAGCTGTAAAACAGTTGGAACAGACTGCGAGGTTGCCTGGTGTCAGGTACGATTTCTTCAAGTATTTGATTTCATTGGAGTTAAGATGACCTTGCGCTTATCTGGATGTGCGAGTTTCACTGGTTTACGGACAAAACAAAACATTCGGCGACTGACGTTCTTGGTTTTCTTTGCATAGATACGCAATAGGAATGCCAGATTTACACGCAGGCAACCAATTTCCAATTGGTACCGTAATCATAACTGAAAACTTCGTCTACCCAGCTTTAATCGGTGGTGAGTTGGTGGAGCTTAAAAAATAGTCACGGACTTGCTCGCCCTATGTCTGTAAACCACTAACACGCATTCTTATCACTCCTTAGGCGACATCGGCTGTGGAATGTCGTTATGGACCACTTCAATACCATCTCACTCCATAAACCCAGCCAGACTAGCTTCCAAATTGAGAGATCTGGAAGGTGCTTGGGATGGTGATGCTAAACAATGGCTGTCTGAGAATTCACCATCGTTTTCAGCTGAGGTTGAAGAAATGATGAGCCAGTTCCATGATAGTTTAGGAACTGTAGGGGGTGGAAATCATTTCGCGGAATTACAGGTTGCTGCTAGTATAGTTGATCGTGAAGCGTTTGAGAGTTTGGGACTTGTTGAAGGTATTTCTCAGTACCCAAGCGGGCTTTTTTGCTCTCACTCGCGAATCCCAACTTTTTTTATCTGGGTAGGAAACGCATGCTTGCTAGTGCACACAGGCAGTCGTGGTTTCGGAACCAAAATCCTACAATCCCAACCTCATGGCGGCCTATCACCAAACACACCAGAATACACCTCATACATATCACTACACGACGCAGCACTCCACTACGCCAAACGAAACCGCGACCTAGTGGCGCACCGCTTCCTATCATGCATCAACGCCTCATCAAGCGCCACCCGCGTAATAGACATTCACCACAACAACGTCACCCACCAACCCATCGGCGATGAACAACTCTACATGCACCGGAAAGGAGCAGCACCAAGTGATAAAGGCGCGATCGTCATACCCGGTAGTCGTGGTGATTTGTCGTATCTTGTGGTACCGACAGCACAGGGACTCGAGAATGGGTTTTCACTGGCTCATGGTGCTGGACGTAAACTGACAAGGACTGATGCGTTGATGAGGTTTAAGGACAAGTATCGAGGGGATGCTGGGAGGGCTGCGTTGGAGAGGACGGCTTTGGGGAGTGTGGTTGTTTGTGATGGCGATCTTGTAAGTCAAGATTGATGCTTCGTACACGTTTTTGGCCCGATGAATGTATATTTAACATTCCGTTTTTAGTGGTATGAGGAATCTCCAGAGGCTTATAAGCCTGTTGAAGGGATTATAGAGGATTTGAAAGAGTATTGTCGAGTTGTGGCAATCTTGAAACCGGTTGTTACGTACAAGTTACGTCGAGAGTAGCAAAAGCACAATATTAGTATATGGTAGTTACTTTGTATATTAATTGTATTTAGCATGCAAACGCGACTTGAACTAAATGAAACTTTCTAAATGACGACTTCTTTTGAATTCGTGATTGCGCCAAAATAGACCGCTATATACCGTACATTAATTGGCAGCTGGTGTCAACACACCCAACACATCCTCCACAATATCACCCAACACACCCAAATTATAATCCGTCATATTCCCACATGGAGCACTAATTAAAAAATCAGGCCCAAATTCTGGCAATGCATCATGTTCCGGTATCTCATCTGGCAATACGACTCCCAAAGCAGCAGCAGTAGCTAACGTCCATGTTCGCGCACAATTAGGTGAATTATACCCTCCACCACCCAACATCAAAGTCGGGAGCGACCACGTCATGACTTCTCTCACGATAGCAGGGATGGTTTGCACGTCTAGATTCCATCCACCTTTTAAGCGATCGCCAGAGAGGCCATCTGCACCTAAACATAGGACGATACAGTCTGGTTTAAGTGATGATATGAGTGCTCGTGTTATGGGGAGGAAGATACGGAGGAGTGATGGTCCAGATAGTCCTTGTTTTAAGGGAATGTTGAGTGCGTAGCCCTTTCCTTTGCCTAAAGAAAACAATCAAGTCAGCACAAAAAACGCGACGATATTAACTTAACATGCCTTGGCCGGCATCTATTTGTGTACCGCTTCCTATTTGAGAATTGTCGTATGAGATGCTCAAACAGATTGAGATGCTTCTAGCGGTTGAATCGATTTCTTTTGCATTTCAGAAAAACACAATACCTGGATAAAACCCAACATCAGCACGATGGAAACTCAACGTCGTAACCCGATTACTAAACAGAAAAGCCTGCTCGACACCATCACCGTGATGAACATCCACATCGATATACAAGATTCGAGAAAACTTGGTTCGTAGTTCGAGTATTCCTAGCACGATATCGTTCACGTAACAGAATCCAGCGGCTTTGTCTCTATATGAGAATTTGAGGTTTGACGATCACGCTTTTTTTGGTTGGTTAAATTGGAGCATACCGTTGAGCATGATGCCTCCCACCATCCCAATGAATAGCAGCATCACAAGTTCCAGATACCAGTTGTTGAGCTGCTGTGATTGAGCTCCCTGCGACGTAACTGCAGTACTTGGTAAGGCCTGGGAAGACTGGACAGTCACTACATTGGGTGGGGTGAGGAGTTTCAAAGTCTTGTTGAAGCCGAAAAAAATACGGCAGCCGATTATACGAGAGCGAGATCCTCAATGACCACGTGATGCGAATACAAATGGCGGGAAAGCACTCACTGTTCAAGTCCATACTCTTCAAAATCTGCGGCATTGACACTAACAACTGACTGCTCAGCTATAGTCAAAGATTTCAGGTACTCGGCTTCATGAAAGGCAGACAATTGATCCATGGTAGCTTGTTGAGGATGTATAGGTCTTGAGACAAAAAAAAAAGATATGAGCAGCGAGTCAATGTCGAGCAAAATCGAACTTGTACATCCAATATGGCACGTACATCATAAGCGATGGTAGCGAATAAGCATGGATCAGCCCGTGAACTAGTCGTGACTGGTGTGAGAGGTCAGTTCCAAACATGAGGGACATGGCAAATGTTCAGGACAAACACTACGCATCACGTACCCGTCCAATATTCGATGGTAACAGATCCGCTATGTTCATATAATTGTGACTAAACACATATCCGACTCTCCTCTGCTTGTTTGGTGGGTTGATCTCCATAAAGTGAGCTTTTTTGTTGTTTTGACGTTCGTGAGCGCAGTCTAATGGCCTTTTCAACGACACGACACCACCACCACCACCACCGCCTTCCATAGGCCAACGCTCTTATAGTGATCCTGCACGAACTGCCGACGAAGGAGGCGATTCTGAAGAAAAGTCGGTTGATGTTGCATGTGGATGAATTTGGACGCATCCAACATTTGAAGAGATGAACACGTTCGCTTCTCAAAGAAAAGACACTACAGATACATGTAAAAATATTTAATATACGCGACTACTATGAAATTGATGTGAATTTACAGTTGTTCCATTACATAGCCTACAAACAACGAGGTCAATATGTCCACAAGATCTAAGACATACTACAAAGCACCTCCTCTACACACTCCCATCTAAAACTGATTATACCCCAGCCTCGACGCCCAAAACCGTTGCATCTTTGAGACGCCCGGTTTTGACGGCGACGATACCTCTTCCCCATCATCAACATCATCAGCACTAACAAGCTCAAACTCATTCGACACAGGCATGCCCGATCTCGACCTCTGGATAATAAATCCAATTCCAAGCACACCAACTACAAACACACCAATTAAACCAACCACGCCCCAAAACGTGATTGTGCGTGGTGCACCATGTAGTTTCCACAGTGTGGCAGATGAGCCGGGTATACGTGTGAGCCCCATTATGCGAGTCCCGTTGGTGAACGTCATGTATGTTATTGTCCATCCGGCGTCTCGTTGCGGGAGTGGGAACAGGATGAAGGACGTTATGTTGGCGTCGGTTAGTGGTGCGAGATCTGCGGGTACTGTGTATACAACTTGACTCGTGATTGTGCCTGTTGATGGGTCTATCAGGCTCACGTTTGGATGCTGTCTGCTAAATGCGTAGAGCACGGTATTGCCATTCGAGTCATATCCTGGTGTAATTTCCCAGTCAGTCGGGAGTATCCATGACTGTCTCATTGATTCAGTTAGGGATACGCCCACAAGAGCTGATGGCTGTGACAGTGCTACTTGGCATTTATCGACTTGGGTAGTGTCTGACGACACCAATGATTTCACAGTAGGTGGCGTGGAGCTCAACATAAAACTATTGGATTCACTACACGTCACATCAAGCACAAATCCACCTTCATACGACGCCGTAGGTACAAGTGTCGGGCTCAACAATTCTAGAGTTACAAACTCCAAATTATTTTGTGGGTTGAGTACCAACAGTGGTTTGACTCTAATCATCACGACCTGTGGATCCGTTCTCGTATCTCCATTTTCAGTATACCGGAGTGCGGAAACCACATATGACTGATTGCACGGCTCATACACAAGCCCATTAATCAACGTCACTCGTGTCTCATTAACACCAATTATTTGCGACGATGGCCACGACGGTGGAATCAGATGCGGTGTCCCATATTCAGCTTCACCGTCTAGCGGATTTATCTTCAACACAAACGTAGTGTAATCGTTCACGGGACTCGTCCACGTTATTCCTAGACTCATAGATCCGAAGAATGATCCAACCAGCAATATCTCGTCCGTTGGCAGCCATTCTATGCGTGCTGTAATTGGGAGCGCCGAGTCTGATTTATACGTGTTGATCCAAACTGGGTCGAGGCTGGATTCGTTTGAGAATCTGACAACCATTACAGCTTGTCTTTCTCCAGCATCGAATGTGGTATCACGCATAGATCCGTTGCCTGTAAATGACATTACAATAATAAATCCACCCTTCTGATCCTGGAATGCGAGAAATTCAGTTGTGTGTTAGTATGCGAGTAAATTCGTTTGCATGCAAAGCACCCAAGAACCAACAGAACCTCAAACTTCAAATACACAACAAACTCACTGGCAGTATCTGCGTGATATTCCCACTTCCACCAGCCCCAAACTCAACAACCGTTGACACAATGCCAATACTTTCCGACTGTAACGGCCCATACCGATTCAGCACAATAGACTCATCATCGTTCGAAGCAAAGTATAAGAATGTGTCAGATCTAACATAAAGTCCCAAATGTGAGCGGATATGCTTACGGATATGGCAAAGTCAAACAGCGGCCATACGAGTAAGCGTCGACAACAAAAGAGCTGATTTCAGCCTTGATATCCAGATCTGACGAGTACGTCTCCCATACAGCCTGCTGGGAACCGTATATACTAGATGCGGTTACGATTCTTGCGGCGTAAGTCACTACGAGCACCCATGCAAACGCTAATAAACGAGTCATAAATAAATGAGGTCTTTGGAATGGGTCCACCCACTCCAGCAACCGAGAGAGACACTAGATCGGCCTGAAGATGGATGTTTGTTTGGAGATCCTGTCTCTCTCCTGTCTCGATTTGACTCACCATGAGAATTGTGTTGTCTTTCGTTTGTTCCATCCGTCTTTGAGGAAACAAGATCCGGCGAACCGGCTGCACGCCTGTCTAAAAATTTGCGGAACGAGCATTCGGAAGGGATCTATCGAGTCATACCTACGAATACATATGCCAGCGTTAACCTCCTGTCTCCACTCCTCAAGAACACTTCTGATCCTCAAGTCACCAAATACTGGTTTCAGAAATTCTAGTTTGATGCAAAGATTCGTCTAACTCTATATATACATCAAAATAATATACTTAGAATCTACGGTATATCCCTTTTTTTTGCTATTGGCTTTTTGGTTCATCAAAAGTCCATGGCGACGACGTTGATGGTGGTGGTGGTTGTTGATCATCTCCCGTTGGCGGCGTACCTGTATTATTGTTGTTGTTGTTATTGTTCGTGGCACTAGCTGGCTTTCTGCCTCGTTTTTGGTTGCTGTCAGGGGCATATTCACATGATGAGCTACGATCCGACCTTTTACATCTAAAGTGAAGAAGTTTTGAGAACAGTCCAAAGGATGGAGCGTAAGACATTCTTAGAGTAGATGGTCAAACTTACGAAGAACATGGCTGACCTCCATCACATCTAAGTACATGATTGTGAGGTAGATCGGTTTGCGTCAACGATTCATGCTTGTGAGATCCACAAAACAGAATCAGTTTCCAACAGGACTTCAGACTCTTACCTCAGTTTTTTCAGTCGACAATGGTTACAAGCCTTTGCGATACGTGGCCTCCTATGAAAAGATATGGAATTCAGCAAAAGTCATACATCAAACTTCAAATTCCCGAACACATCAAGTTTTCTTGTCACAGTGCTTACTTTTCAGGTTCAGCAGATGGGGATTTGAATAGCCTACTATTTACTGCTGGTCTATGTGCCATATTATAAGGTAAATTCGGGGCCATATGCCTTCGATTGTAGCTTTGTTGTGGATGATGATGAGATTGTTTGTAATAATCGGGTGGACGATGGTCGTACGATGGTGAATGTGCATCTGGTGGCGGTGTTTGCGAATATGGGTGATACTCGTCTGGCGACGCGTATGGATTCGGTGGCTGGCTATACAGTATTGCAGCCGGTGATGGCAATGGCATTGACGGTTGCGATGCTGTTTGATACATCGAGTATGGGTGCATTGAAGGGTCAGAGCTACCGTTTACAGGATATTGTCGTGGATACTGTGCAGGTAATGGCAGTGTGCTACTATTCGAACTGGTTATATCTGGGAATGCATGGTCTGGGTGTCTTGATGATGGCAACGGTAGTGCTAATAGTTGGGTATTGGGCTGATACGACAACGTCGGCGGTCCCAAATGACTATATTCGTGATTTGGATTGCTTGATGGGTGGTAAACAGGCGGCATCTGCTGTGTTGCAAGTGGTAGTGAATACCGACGCAACGTGGAAGTTGGATTGTTTGTGTGCTGTTGATGAGGTAGGGGAGCTGGTCTGGTAGCATATATAGGCGGTAGGGATATTGACTGATGTACACTTATTGGCACCTCCACCGGTTCGGCAAAGACATTGTCTGTAATGGGTGTGCTGCTATCGGCACTTTGTCCAGGTTGCTCGTCAGACTCTGGGTCGTTGTCGTTGAGGAGACAGCGCAAGTCCATTTTTTCTTCACTCGATCGACCTATAAGGGACTTGGATTCCCTGCCTAACCCATAGCTCTACGAAATGACTGATAATGCGAAAAACTTGCAAAAAATGGCTGTTTGGCTAGTTTCGAAAGGTCTTTCTGGTGGGTATGGATAAAGACAGAACTGTGTGGGCGCTTGGATATAAAAAAAGGGGAGGGAGAAATTATGTAATCAATGCAGGGGCGGAAAACGTTGATGACCCACGTCGTTGGAGGAACCACAGGCATATGAATGGCTTGATCGATGCCTGTCATCAACACTTAAGAAGACTTTGATTGCAAAGACAGCGACAATGGCAACGAAATCATAAAGATCCGTTTCAACAGTCCCTACTGTTATACGCAAGATACGATTTATCCATTAATACACCGCATTTCAATGACTTTTAAACCACACCGGGCGGGTTGTTGAATGTGACAGAAATAGGACACGCAAACACCGATCTCACAACCTCATAATTTACAGTGCAATGCAGTTTATGAACACAATTTATGAAGTCTGTCTCATCTCGTCTCTTTAATCATCACCGATCGAGCTTGTTTGAGTGGTTTGCGTACTTGTTCAACAAATTGCATGAAGACAAGAAAAGGAGGATTGATTGGTGTTTAGACACGACTAAAATGTAAAATGAAAATCCAATTGAGAATGGGTGGCTTGAGCCAGTCTCAACCAAAGCATTTGATGGTAACATACAAACTGTCATTGATTGTGAATGTCTAATGTGGATCGAATTTCAAAGCTATAGTCTACAGATGAAACGCAATTTACAAGACATGGCGCGACTGTTATCTGCATGCTTCTCGACAGCAGCAACAAGACGACAAACGTTTTGGAGTTGTGCATCAAACTGACGGCTCAAATTTTCAAGCATCGGTTAAGGGAATAATAACAGTAAAGTGCCAAAAACACTTCTGCTGAACGTGGCAAATCGTAGGCCTGCAACTTCTATGCCGGCTGGTAACTTTTGGCAGCCATCTGTCGAGTCACGAAACCAAAAATTCGCTTCCGACGGCTCCAGTACCAGTTGTTTTTCCACAGAAAGGTCAAAAGGTCACAACCACACCTGTATTTCTTCAAACACAAAACACTAACGACAAAAGTCAAATACAATAGAAAATCTTCTATATCCTTATACGAGACAGAAGACAATCAACAATGGTGGCATCCAAGGACATAAATTGGCTCAACGTCGCAATTCTGACAGTTCCACCACTGGCTGCAATCTATGGAATAGCAACCACTCAAGCACGATTGGAAACACTATTATGGGCTGTTGCCTACTATTTCTGGACTGGTCTATCTATTACTGCTGGTACGTTAGTGCTGCATCTCGATCCTGCCAAAGTTTACGTCAAAGTTTGGCCTGCATTTCCGCCGGCACCAGTTACATGTGTTTTCTATGACCGGTCACTGCAGTTTCAGTGCAGATATCGTGATCGGATGTGTAAAAGGATATTTTGGTGCTATTCATCGTGCTGTATTCTAACTGCATCTCTTGTTTCTTCGTTATAGGTTATCACAGGTAGATTTTAGGCAGGTCACAAGCGATCGTGTCACAGGGTTATTTATATTCTCTACTTTATGTTAATAGGTATTGGTCGCATCGCTCATATGACTGCTCGTTCCCAATGAAAGTCTTCTTGGCTCTTGGTGGTGCTGGTGCTATGGTGAGAAATTAATTGCAGTTTTCGATCCAATGTCTATGGTTTGGTGACTTGACGTCTGACTCACTTTCTGATAATATAGGAAGGATCAATTCGATGGTGGAGTCGTGGTCACCGAGCTCATCACAGAGTGAGTTATCGTTCTACCTGTTGCACGAAACCCACTCAAACACCGACTGACAGTTCCTCCGTGTTTCAATAGTATACCGACTCACCAAAAGACCCATACGACTCGAGCCGTGGTCTCCTCTACTCACACATTGGTTGGATGGTCATAAAAGAAGATCCAAGCAAAATGGGCCGTGTCGATATATCAGATCTAAATCGTGACGAACTTGTCATGTGGCAACACAAGAACTACTTGTGGTTGGGTCCACTCATGGCCTTTTTATTCCCTGCTATCGTAGCCTATATTGGATGGGGTGATTTCTGGGGTGGTCTCTTCTTTGCTGGCATGGCTCGTCTTGTATTTGTACATCATGCCACCTTCTGTGTAAACAGTCTTGCTCACTATTTGGGTGAAGCTTCGTATGACGATCGTCGAACTCCTCGAGACCACTTTATTACTGCTTTGGTGACATTGGGTGAAGGATACCAGTAAGTGTTGATGTTTGTTATCGTTTTGACGCCTTGTCATATATTTATCTAAATTTCGATTCGTCTCAGCAACTTCCACCATGAATTCCCATCTGACTATCGAAACGCTGTCTTCTTCTGGCAATACGACCCAACTAAATGGTTGATCTTCATCGCTTCCTTGGTTGGATTGACATATAATCTCAAAATGTTCCCTGAAAACGAAGTCGCAAAGGGGCGAATCCAGATGCAAGAGAAAAAGGTAAGCAACTTTGATCAAAATGTTTCGAGAAACTCACATGGATGTCTAACCGCAAATCTTAACGCAGATTGCTGAATTAAAGCAGAAACTCAACTGGGGCAAGCCTCTAGAGCAACTACCGGAATGGGAATGGACCAAATGTAAGCTTTACTCACCATTGTTCCAAAGTGGCTGTCAAACACTGAATCTCAGTCTAACGTCCTTCTCGTTCCCAATAGTCGTCTCAGCATGTGAAAAAGACAAGAAACAATACCTCGTAGTGGACAAGGTCGTGTATGATTGCGACGGTTTCATGGATGAACACCCTGGAGGTCGTGGCTTCCTGAAAACATCGATTGGACGAGATGTGTCTGCTTCATTCAATGGAGCCATATACTTCCACTCAAATGCTGCTCGAAACTTGGCTACACAGATGAGGGTATGTACTTCAACATAACTGTTTGATATGGTAGTCGACTTAAAAACTGACATCTGTCCCTTCTCTCAGGTTGCCAAAATCGTTGGCGAAATACCCGAAAATGATAAGGCAAAGGAAGAGTAAATCAATGACGGAAAAACTATATACCCTCTTCCTCGCTTCTCTCATCATCACTATCAATCAACAGCCCCGCACCAGAATCTTTGCACTCATACCAAAACTGAACATTAGAATTTTTTGTATAAAGGAAATATAAACAAAGGAATTATTGAGATATTGAAAATATTTCGCCTTGTTCTTGCCTGTTGGTGTTCGTTTGCCGTCCGCTAGATAGAACGCAGAGGACATTCATTGCTTTGTTTTGCTGACGGCCACAGTGTGTAGAACCAAAGTGAAGTATCTCAGCCGAGCTGGTGATCTGGTGCGCTATGACAAGATGCAGTTAGCTCTCCAACTTGGCTGTTTTCCTTGGATGAAACAAAAACTAGTTTGCACATGCAAATAAACTGTTCTAGAGATATCGAGGTACGTTTGCATGATACTTTTGATGCTTCGATATGTGAGCTCTGAATTGCCACGCATCGTTTTAGCATCACCACTGTTTAAAACTAGCTCGAGTTGTGACGCATATCAACCTCGCAATGATGTAAAGACGTAAATGGGCAGGCAAACAAGCTCCGAAATCGTAGAAAGTCTTTGGTTCTCCTCGTGTTCCTTCTTCATGGTCACGCAAGACAAGCATATCCTGAACGATATGATGGTATATGCATAGGCTTCAATATCATGGTCGGCAACAAGACGAAAAGAGTACCATGATGGAATCTTTTAATGAACTGGAAGAATAATCTTTGTCAGGTTTGCCAATAGTATCCACCGATTTAGCCAGTACACGTTTGCACGTGTTAAAATCATTGCACCTTGAAAGCCGGCTGTTAACCCATTATACGTATAGTCACGAAACCAAAACATGAATGCTCCAAAGTTCCCGACGGAAAGCGTGTTAGCCTTTTTTCCCAAAGTTCACTTAAAACACGTCAAAACTCGCACACTTTCACCATTTGTTTTTGCCAACACACACAATACAAAAAAACTTCCAAGACAAAGTCCCAACAAGAAACGTCTTCCTATTTGGAGGAGAAAGAATATTATACACCTCAATGCTGGCCGCCAAAGACATAAACTGGCTCCATGTTGCAATCCTCACAGTTCCACCGCTCGCAGCAATCTATGGAATTGCAACCACTCAAGCACGATGGCCAACACTAGTTTGGGCTTTTGTGTACTATTTCATGACTGGATTCGGTATTACAGCTGGTACGTTGTTGCATCCTGTCGATCTTGCAAAGGTTTGCGTCAAAGTTTGGACATTTCCGTCGGCACAAATTATGTTTGCTTTTTCATCTCCTATCACAGCGATTTCTTCGCGGATATTTTCATCGGGTGTATAAAATGCTTACGTGTCGTTTTTCTAGGTTATCACAGGTAAATTTGGGCAGGGCATAACCCGTCATGTCACGGTGTTGTTGATGTTCTTGGTTTCTATTACTAGGTATTGGTCTCATCGCTCATATGACTGTTCGTTTCCCATGAAGCTCTTCCTGGCCCTTGGTGGTGCTGGTGCGATGGTAAGATCAGCTGCGATTTCGATTCAAAGTCATTTGATAGTTTGGTGTGATTTGACATGTACTTCCCTTTTAATAATTACAGGAAGGATCAATTCGATGGTGGAGTCGTGATCACAGAGCTCATCACAGAGTGAGTGATTCGATGTGTTGTATCTCCACCACTTACACTAAATTGAACACCTTCCGCGCAACTCATGTTTATTAGTACACCGACTCGCCCAAAGACCCATACGACGCAAGCCGTGGTCTCTTCTACACTCACATCGGCTGGATGATATTAAAGCAAGACCCAAACAGAATAGGCCGTGTCGATATATCAGATCTCAACAAGGACGAACTTGTCATGTGGCAGCACAAGAACTACTTGTGGTTGAGTCCATTCATGGCATTTGTATTCCCTGCTCTTGTAGCATATATCGGATGGGGTGATTTCTGGGGTGGTCTGTACTTTGCTGGAATGGCTCGTTGTGTGTTTTTACATCATTCGACATTCTGTGTCAACAGTCTGGCTCATTATTTGGGTGAATCACCATATGATGATCGTCGAAGTCCTCGAGACCACTTTGTTACTGCTTTGGTTACGTTTGGTGAAGGATACCAGTATGTTTTCTGCGAGTTGATGTTTGTTACCTTTCTTTGACGTTTGACTCATATTCCAACCAGTCTAACTTTTTGATCTTTGTTGTAGCAACTTTCACCACGAATTCCCATCCGACTACAGAAACGCTATCTTATTCTGGCAATATGACCCAACTAAATGGTTGATTTTTGTGGCGTCTTTGGTTGGATTGACATATAATCTCAAAATGTTCCCTGAAAATGAAATCGCAAAAGGTAGAATCCAAATGCAAGAAAAGAAGGTAATGACTTTCGGCGATCGCAATTCGGGGCAAAGTACTCACTTCGTGTCGTGTATTGTCAATAGATTGCTGAATTGAAGAAGAAGCTCAACTGGGGCAAGCCTCTGGATCAATTACCTGAATGGGAATGGGACAACTGTGCGTATCACTTGCTTCCACAATGTGATCTTCCAAACTCTGAAACTCAAACTAACCTCTATGTTTGTCCCAACCGTCTAGTCGTCTCATCGTGTGAAAAGGACAAGAAGCAATACCTCGTTGTCGACAAGGTCGTATATGATGTCGATGGCTTTATGGACGACCATCCAGGTGGTCGCGGTTTCTTGAAGACCTCTCTTGGACGAGATGTTTCTGCTTCATTCAATGGTGCCATCTACTTCCATTCCAATGCTGCTCGAAACTTGGCTACTCTGATGAGGGTATGTTCCTTAGCTTCGAACATGTTTGATTGTGTGGTCGCTTTGAAACTCACGGTGACCTTTCTATAGGTTGCCAAGATCGTTGGCGAAATCCCCGATACTGATAAGGCAAAGGAAGAATAAACGCTGAAAAGAAATACTATATACCCCCCCTGTTCCCTCTTAGAATTTGGTTCCCATTATCAATCAACATCTCCCCAAATCTTGCACTCATATGAATGACTGAACATTAGAATATATGTATAAAAGAGTATACGAACAAAGCAAAATCAAATTATCATTATTGAAACGATCTGTCTTTGCTTTCCAATCTTGCGTCGCCCGGTTTGACTTGTGATACGTTGTTTTTCCTTCATTCATGCCATAAGACCCCACGTACAAAGACCGGAACGTCAGTTCATGAGCTCGTCGCTGATCCGCTGCCACTGGATGCAGACCTCCTTTCACAGAACGGCTCCCAGGTGAAAAATTGCAGAGCATTGCATGGAGAGCAGGTTGAGCCAACTAGATTGAGCAGGTACACTGTAATTAAGACGTGAGGCATTATTTTATGAAATACTGGTTGTTATACCTTCACTTGGACACTGTCTATGTGGATATCCGTGCTAAAGCTACTCGACACGAACATCTTAATTTTTTTAGGAGTTGGCCATTACGGATATCATGAACACGATGAATACCGACGTCGTCGAGCATCTAAGCACGCTCCATCCTTATCTGATGTATCCAGGATGTGATCATTAGTCTCAGAAAAGAAACACCAGATGGTAAATGGATGAATATCATGGTTGTGCCTCGCATGGTCAATACTTGATAGACCGGAAGGAAGCGCCAAGACACTCTACAAGCATTGTATGCAGTCTTGTTAATAGCAATGCAACAACACAACGATCCATTTCGAACTTTTCATCACCTACCGGACAACATCGTTTTGAGTTGTCGCTTACTAACTTTGGACCGGATTACAGAGAGCTGCTGGTGTGTTTTACTTAAAGTTTTCCAAGCTGGCAACGTTTTTTAATGTGGAACAAGTGTGCTGCTGACGATGACCTGCCATTGAACCTAACTCTCTGTCACGTATCTGCCACCATTTCAGCTAGATTCCTGATGCTAAGAAGGCAAAGGCAGAGTATCTGCTCGATTCTCGTCTGCTCGTCTGTGATTTTCAACAGCTGCAGCCAGTCTAGTTTCAATCTTTACGCTACCTTGTGTACATCAGATTCGGAGTAAACAGTAAACAAAATCAAACTTGCAACATGAAATTATTAAAGTATTTGCTAGATTTGCTACTCGCGTTGGTTCTTCAGTTCGTGCTTCTTCACGTCTGCTCAATTTGCAACATACGTTGTCGATTTTCAGCTCCGTTGACAAGCGCTGTAAATGAGTTCTTCAGGCCCGCCGCCACTAGAGCCAGTCAGTTCCCTCTCACAGATAACGTCGCTGGGTAGAAACGGAAACGCAAGGGCATCGCAAGTTCCAATTGGCCAGCGACGATGCCAGAAATGTTTGGGTAAGTGGTGCTGAACGGATGCAGTAGTTTGATGAAGGAGGGGAATACTTGTTTGCCAGCTGCCAATTATAATACCGTCGTCTATGGGCCTGTATTAGCATTCTGTTGCTCAATATCTCAACATTAAACCCATCAAAACTCATCTTTTTGCAGGAGTCGGCCATTACACGTATCAATGTCGCAACGAAAGGCCATATGTATATAGACCCAGTCGAACAGCTCAGCATGCTACAGAGTCACGGGCTTCTTCATCTCGACGTAACGAAGCAGAAAACGATTCCGACGATGAAGACCAACCACAAGAAGGAACAGCAACACGGATACTCAAAGCAACGAAAAAGGCTCGCAAAGCGTTGAAGAAGACAGCTAAAAGGTTGAAACGCTCTACTTCCGCCTCGTCTTCATCATCTTCGGATTCGGATTCGTCGAGTAGGAGTAGCAGCAGCAGTAGTAGTGATACAGACAACGACTCGGTCTCTTCATCCTCATCATCCTCGTCATCTTCCTCATCATCATCCAGCTCAAGCTCGTCATCACCATCAGAATCGTCAAGTGATGAAGGCAAAACCAAAAAACGACGGAGGAGAGATTCGTAGTCCGTAAGGATATGATATTCGTGTAAATCTATAGGGACAAGACACGTTGAAAACGTATTGTATAGGTACCTACAACAACAATATATAACTATAAACACATAAACCAGTGATTTTCAATCTCGTTTTGCATTTGCAAGGTGTTTGTAGAGCTGTTTTGGTTAAGGTTGACGCGATTTCACGTGGGAGTAGCTCCGAGACGCGTTCCGTTATAATTCCTGTCTTTCGTCTTGCACTCTTTCAGGAGTGCATGACTGTGCTGCACGTCTTCATTTTGCAATAACGTTTTCTTTCATCAAAAGCGGTCCGAGAGAGAAACCCAGTTGAAGGTATTAGAGAGCATTAGATTGTTGATTGTATATCGAGCCGTCATATAACTGTAACGACACACCTAGCCCTCTCTTCTCTCCTCGCCGTTTTGGAGGACGGCAACTACCAAATTATATTTCTGAAGTAGTGGACGAAAACAAAAAGCATGCAGAATAATGGTGGCCAGCCAGCTGCTGCAGCTGGCTCGTCGTCGGCAACCACTCATGCGCTCATGGATTTACGAGTCGGCAACAAGTATCGCATAGGACGAAAGATTGGAAGTGGGTCATTTGGTGACATTTATCTGGGTGAGTGCCTCGAGTTGCGAAAAACGGGAACATGATATAGATTGCTCTATCCTCTTTTATTCATATGCTACTATCGATTGCAATCCACTATCACCTCCCATCCTACTTTGCAACAACAAACTCGATGCTTGAGTGTCATGGGATATGCGGTGGATGCGTCTAGTGTTTTGAAGGGTTGGGTGCTAGTGAGAGCACGAGAGACAGATTGTGGATCTACTAGATGGTGATCTCTGTATTTTAATCCTACTGGTCTCGCCAAGGTGGTGGTTTTCACACACTTTGGTGAATGATGAGGTCACTTGGCAAAAGGCGTCAAGTCACGCGTCCAATACTAGATAGACCGTCTAGACTAGAGTCATTGCTGATCGAAGATCTTATGAACACCCCTGGTTGTCTATTTGAAAAAACGTTTTTAGCTAACGTTAAACTCTTATCCTTGTTGTGTAGGAATCAACATTATAAATGGAGAAGAGGTTGCCATCAAGATCGAATCCATCAAAGCCAAACATCCACAATTAGAATATGAAGCACGAGTATACAAGACTTTAGCTGGTGGTGGTAAGTCTTAGATTGCTGTCTAAATGCACTTCGGAGGTTGTGATTACTAAAACCCCACATTTATGACCTATCCCCTAGTTGGAATTCCCTTTGTTCGATGGTTTGGCATGGAGAATGATTACTATTGCATGGTCATAGACTTGCTGGGCCCAAGTTTAGAAGATTTGTTTAACTTTTGTGGACGTAAATTCTCTCTCAAAACAGTACTCTTACTGGCAGATCAACTTGTAAGAAACCGTCCCTAGCCGTCGATATGCATACGGTTCAGTCAACAGCGCAAGCTAACGCACTTATTTCTCTCAAATCCTAGATATCTCGAATCGAATACATCCACTCGAAAAACTTTATACACCGAGACATCAAACCTGATAACTTCTTGATGGGTCTAGGCAAACGAGGCAACCAAGTTAACGTCATCGACTTTGGATTGGCCAAAAAGTATCGAGATCCCAAAACACATCTACACATCCCATACAAGGAAAACAAGAATCTGACAGGAACAGCCCGATATGCCAGCATCAACACGCATTTGGGTGTCGAACAATCACGCCGAGATGACCTCGAGTCACTGGGCTATGTGCTAATGTACTTTTGTCGAGGATCACTACCATGGCAAGGGTTGAAGGCTGCCACCAAGAAGCAAAAGTATGATCGTATCATGGAGAAGAAGATGACTACTCCAACAGAAGTGCTATGCAGGTATGTCTTCCGATATGATTGTTGGTAGTCGTTGTTTGTGGTAGTGAATCTGGTAGAAAGACATCGTTGAAACTAAACCAACCATTTTTGTAGGGGCTTCCCAAATGAATTCATTGTATACTTGAACTACACTCGCTCGCTACGATTCGATGACAAGCCAGATTACGCATATCTTCGCAAGATCTTCCGAGACTTGTTCATTCGCGAGGGCTATCATTATGATTATGTTTTTGACTGGACAATGGTGAAGGCTGAGGTGCTTTTTCAATCTATACTTCAAACCCAGCGAAGAGCTGGAGGTACTAACCAATCTTTCCTGTTAACTTCCATTAGTCTGATGATGCCAAACCCAAAACCGCAACACCTTTGGCCAACCCTGAACGAGCTACTCCAATGGCAGATGAGGAACTAGAAGATTACAGGTATGTCTTGGCTCAATTGTTCGTGCGTTTCTGTCATACGATACTGTATATACTAAGGCACTCTTTGGTTGGAATAGGGCTGGTGGGTCAAGGGATAAGATCAACCAATCACAGCAACCAGGTGCTCCACAAAGGACATCAACCAATGCGCCAGCCGCAGCCACTACTCTAGCGGCAGGCCAACGACGCTCGTCTGGACCACAAGCTGCCGTCACATCCACTCGACCGTCGACCAGTGGTCCAACTGCATATGGCAACTTCCAACAACCAAACCAGTTTGCAACCTATGGTGCAACCCCAGCCAATGCACCAGCAGCTTACGGCTTCACGTCTGGTTCACCACCGGGTGGCAACACATCACCGGGAGGCTATCCAAGCGGCTCAGGAGGAGATATTAGGGCATCACGAGTAGCTGCTGCTGCCACGAGTAATACGAGAAAGGGCAGTGCAGGTGGACAAGGACGAGCATACTAAAAACCCCAATAGTAATCATTCTAGTGTGGCTTGCAAAACTTGTGTGGTGAAATCAAAAGGCTGTTAGGAGAAGAGTTGGGGGAAATTAAATAATCGTCTTTTTTTAGTTTTTGTGTTATCCATCACGACCACCATCGTAGAACCCCCATCCATTAAACAACTTTCCGAACATCCCCCTTTTTAAAAAACCATTACTCTGCAACTCCATTCCTATATTTTTTACAGCTCGACTTTTAAATTTCAACAACAATCCCATCCCACATATAAGACCCAACCACCTCCAACTTCCCATCACAATATAAACTTCCTGTCTTTTATAATCGACGAAGAAACAGAACCAGTCAGTCCAGCAGCAGCAACAACTCTTTTATATAAACAACAACAGCAGAAAACATGACACACACAAACAATAAAACTTGGCATGTCCTTGTTTTATTGTACTGTGTGGTGGTGTATGATTCCTTATTAGATTAAAGGGGGAGCAGAAGAAGAAAAGGTTTTATTAAAACTCACTTATAAGGTGGACGGTTGTTAAATCACAAACCCACGGCAAGCTGGCATTATTCTCTCTTTGTACCTAGTCTCTCCAACCCAACCATTAAAAAGAAGTTTCAACCTGTGAATCTGTGATGCTTGTTTTGTTGTTTTGTTTTGGTGGATTTGGAAGAAACGTTGGAAGTTGGATGTTTGTTGTGTTTGCCTTTTGATCCAGTTGGATCCATGTTGGGAATTGATGCAAGCTTGTTTTGCAACGAGATATGGAGCCAACCGCTTTGGAAGTCGTCGTTGGGACGTGTGTTGTAAGGTCGGCTGCGCTTGAATGTCGGGCTTCCAAAATGGATGTCGAGGAGATGGAGAGCGTCGTTTTGAACGAGTTCTAGCGTGGCCATTGAGTTTTCCACTTACAGACGTTGATATCCATCTCAGCTACGAGTTTTTCCGGTTGATGGGTCGTCCTTGTACACCAAATGAGCAAACGTGACAAAACAGACACAGACCGCAATCCACGATGGGTTGATTCGAGTTATACTACTATTGCTATGTTCGTTTTATACATTACTACAAAGGCCTTAAATTCTACGTAATGAGAATGAGGATTTTTTCCTTGCTTGACTCAAGCAAACATAAAAATATGGGTGTTGGGTATGTTAACCTAAAAAAAAGTCCATGTTTGCTTATATGATATCATGCCTGAGACCGTATCTGTCTCGACGATACAGCACTCCCCGCCGTCGTCCTGATAGTCTGATGCAGCGTCCTGCCCCTACTACCGTTATTGGTCTTTAACAAATGTATCACATCCCCCTCATTCAACATATAACCATCCATCGAATCCAGAAACACTAGTTCATGCACCGATTTAAAAATCACTGGCCTGCGTAGCCGGATATCTGTAATGGTCAGTCCGATGGTGTCGAGTATAGCGTCCAGGTTGAAGCGTTGGGGTACTTTGGGTATGGAGCAGGCAAAGAGCCGTTTGTTGTATACGAGGACACAGCGGACGGTGGGTTGGTCGGGTGATGTTAGCATGGTCAGGTATATTCCTATTTATATATGGGGATTGGTTTTTTGGGAGACTTGCTGTTGACAAAAAAATGTGAAAAACCAGTTCAAGCCACGCTTCCGGAATCAGCAAACCAGAGAGTGACCACACGTGCTAGGCTTTGAAAAGTGGATGACAAAGTGATGAGGTGGGGGAGATAAGGACGCTATATCGTAATTCAGGTATATGTAGAAGCTGTTTGGAGGATAGTGCTGACGTGGCAGTCAATGGACATGGAAATTTCGCTGGTATATTTGATTTCAATGCGTTGTATGATAGTGATTATTTAGTAGCTTGCGTAGATTTGGATTCATTAGTTCTCATAGCGTCGGTTTTATCAGATCAAGCTCTGGAAAAGTTGTTACAACCACCAAACATCATAAGCAATGTAAGACGGTAGCTGAAACTGGCTCTCCTACCTTTTGGATGTCGTGTTGAGCATCTTGAATGTGGTTTTCAAACGTTGTCGGATGGTCTTTTGGGCATACCCCACGACTTGACTCGGAATCACGATAGCGACACAATATCCTTACCGATCGCTATAAAATCAATAGCAACGTCTTCTAATACACATCCACACCTTCCCAATATATCGTTGAGCACGCTCCACTCTTGCCTTCCTCAACAAACGAAACAAAGTGGAAGAAAGTTGAAGAAAAGTCAGACCCCACAGCGAAGCTTGGAATCCAACACCAACCCAATCTATATCAACGAGAAATGCATCATCAAGCAAGTTTCAAAGATAGTAATCCTCATAAGGGTACTTGCCCAAAACAGGGTTTTCGAGCGGAGTATGAACGCAAAGAGAAAAGAGCTTCCATATCACCATTCAACCACCCAAACTTTTGACAACACCTCCAGATAGCTCGAATCGTAATACAGCCTAGGCTCACGCACAATACTCATCACTACAAGCCCTTCAGTAAACAGATACAAACATGCAACTCTTGAGATTATTGGTCGCCTTTATGGTATTGGCTATTGGATTGGTGTTTGCTCAAAGCACTGCTACTCCTACACCAACGGCTGTTGGAGGTACTGATTCTGGATCTGGATCTACTGGGTCTTCTAGTGCTGCTGCTACGACTGTTGCTGCTGCTGCGTAAGTGGTTGATATCAATGTACATCAAGTGGGGGTCAAGGGACGGACTGCAAAAAAATCGCATATTGGATGCGTTGTTGGATGAACGGATGATGGTAGCTGTTGTATACATCAGTGTGTTGGAGTTCCTGGATGTTGCACTGTCGAGCTATCGACTTTCGATTGGACTGGGTGTGACGTGTATGATTGCTTGTTTACTGACAAGATATCCTTTCATTCTGATAGTGCCGCTGCTGCCACCGCAACTGGCGCCGCCTCATCATCATCAAGCACAACTACCTCAACTGCTTCATCAGGACCAAGCAGCTCTGTCATCATTGGGTAAGTGAAGTAGACATTGGATTTTTTTCAAAGACAGTCCGAACGTACAAGCCATTGTTTTGATACGAGAGAATGATACACAAAGCTGCTAAACTGGAAATGCCCGATTGACTGATGATGACGTGCCCTTTCTAGTGCCGTATTGGGCTCAGTCGCTGGTGCCGGTTTAATCACAGCTGGTATCTTATTCGCCATCCCTGCCAAGAAGGCCACAGAGGCCACTACTGAAGCTCCTACCGCTTAAGGCCAGGAAACTACACGCAGTATTGCTATTCCCCCATCCGTTCTTGACATCATTCAATAATCCGGGCACTAGTACCGCCCCTCTTCCGGTAGATATCACATAATTCGAACTCATCCCAAAAATAAAATATAGCCTATTAGTGGGAGGTAAACGACTCTGGATGTTTGGAGTGGTTGTGTGACTGTTATTGATTTCAAGTTTTGACGCGTCTAGATGGTCTTGCGACCACAATATCCACTCAGCAAATCGATTCGAAATATTCTTTTTTATTAACACACGTCGTTCAAAGTGAGTGATCGATACAGCCTTAATTGAATTCTCTGTGTCCAAAAACTTGCATTTTTCTTGCAAACTCGCAAACTTACCTCTACCCCAGGACAACAACGATGAGGGTCAACTGGATATGGATTACAGTGCTACTGGCTCTTATAATTGCGGCCTTCGCTCAGGAGACGCCGACTCCCGTGTTTGGTTCTGGAGAAACTCCAACGCAATCCTCTGATTCATCAAGTGCTACAGGTGTCAGTGGTGCTGGAGCAGGAGCCGCTGCTGGCAGCTCTCCAACTGGAGCAGCAGGTGCTAGTCCAACGGGGTCTACATCGTCTGGAATTAATGGAAACGGGACATCAAGCAATAGTAATAGTACGAGCACTGGTGGTTCAGGTTCAGCAGGTTCCAGTCAGACTCCTGCTGCTGGAAGTACTAGTACTGCATCTGGCAATAATAATAACGTCGTTGTCCCAGCTGTTTTGGGCTCAGGTTTGGAATGCTTTTTGTTTTGGGTGGTTGCAATGTAACGTGGAATACTGACGGTATATTTTCATTCTAGTTGCTGGACTTGGCGTTCTTTTGGGTGTGCTTTTCACGTTTTTGAGACCAAGGCCGCCAACAACTGCTGATGCTCCATTAGTGTAAGGTTTATATTTTTCGTGTTTTGAGGTTTGGGAGGAGTGATTTATCCTTGACGGTTCTTTCTTTGTATTGTAGGGCCAACCCCTGATGCGTGATTTCTTAATGCCGTTTATGAGTCATTTAATAATGCTAGTGTATACCAGTCTTTCATAAAACCTCTAGTAGTCGAAATGAATGAGGTTTGGAGGACAGAACTGCGCGTTCGCTTGCCTCCTAGGTAATAATATTGAGTGTTAAGCTTCAGATCATTACATTTTAAGGAGCTTTCACGCCTCGGAGTAATGTTCAGTTGCTGGATGCATGTGTGTCTCCCTCAAACCAACACACCAACCACCACTTCAACCTGGACTTTCTTCTCTAGAAACCAAGCAAAAGGGGCCAGAGGAGAGCATCCCAGACCACTACAATGAGAGTATCAGCCCTATGCGGTGCCGCTTTAGCGGCTCTATTGACAGTCGTTGCTGCTGAACCTAGGGTTTTTGTTAATCTTGCAATCGCTACCCCAACTCCACAGGCGAGCTTGCCTCCAGGCTACTGTAAGTGTACAGATCTACTCAGATCAGTTTTCGAGCTTGGCTGCTTGGCATGAGAACTTTTTGTGCTGTGTTTTTCTCAAAACATCTGAAAAAGCTAACTTAAACAAAACTTCGCACTTACAACAACAGCTCCTAAAGCATCTCCAAAAGTAGCATCGCCTGGAGCTCATGCTACACCGAGTCCTGTTTTGGTCTCACCTGCTCCTTCTGCAGTCCTCGTTTCGCCACTGGTGGCATCTGGGATGGCTAGTGGAACACCATCGCCTGTAGGTCCCTCAGGAGTCGCATCTGGTGTTGCTTCTCCCACCGCTTCTAATATAGCCTCAGGCCTTGTTTCGCCAAGTAAGGTTTCACTCGAAAGATGACTCTTGAACAGTCCTAACGACTTTTGTGATTTAGCTTTCTCTATCGCACCATCAGGAGTTCCTAGCCCAACGGGTCCCAGCGCATTCGTCGCTGAATCTCCTGCTCCAACTGCCTTACTGAGTGCTGCACCAGCACGTAAGTCCCACGCACTCCTCATTTTTTATCCGAACCTTAACACTCCCAATACTCCTAGTCCCATCATCATCCCTCGAACCCAGCGGCATCGTCGTAATCCCATCAGGCGTCGTACCATCTGGCAACCAACCTTCTCCCAGTTTGCCACTCCCCGGAAATGGTGGTCTACCAGTGAACTCTCCTGGACCCAACGACACTCCTTCACCGGTTGTTGCATCCCCCGCTGTTGTTGCATCCCCCGGACCAAACGACACACCGTCACCTGTTGCTCCATCTCAATCTGGAGCGTCGCCACTTGTAACTCCAAGTGCTCTTCCAACGTTTGGAAATGAGAATGTCAATTCGACTGGGTCTGGTAATACTAATTGTGAGTGTCTTGTTGCGGGCCAGCAAAAAGATTTTAAGTTTATTGACTTTATTGCATTGTAGACACCGGTATCGCTATTGGCGCTGCTGTAGGATCTGTCGCTGTTGCAGGTAAGTCAACTCTTGGGAAAATTCACTTTGTGTATTCAATGATCAACACCTGTGCTTTTTAGCCGCCATTGGAGCCATTGGATATGGAATCTGTATGAATCTCCTCATTCTACCTAACTCGTTCTATACTTTGGATGCTCATTCACACGTGCTTTACTCTTCATATATAGGGACGATGGCTTACAGAAGAGTCCCAATCCATTACGTTAGCGAAACTGGACCTATGGGTGCAGCTGGAGGTGCTTACGGTCCTGGACCGGGCGGCCCGGGTGGTGTTTACGCTGCAACAGGCGGTAATTACGGTACTGGTCAAAGCAGTTATGCTACTGGAGCAACGTAAGTGCAGATGTTGACAGTTCACTATTTTCTGTTGATTTGATATCTGAAACGTTCGCCTTTTGTTTCAAGTGGTCAAGAGGGTGGCTATTACACGTAAGCAAACGACAAAAATCTGTAGTACGTTTGAGGGATGTTTGGTTCACTTAATCTGTTCATTTATTAGCAACGAGACTTCATACGCAACAACACCTGCTGAGAGAGCAGGCGCCTCGTCTTACTGAGATTAAAAAAATGTAAGGACGCACAACTCGCTCTCTCGCTGAACATCATACTGATCTACAGCTTTAATAGTTTCGGAATATCGTTTTGCTGTCGCATTGGCCCTATTAATTCACATACCGGAGCAAACTCCAATATTTTGAGAAATTTGGGTTGTTTGCTTTTGGTATTCATTTGTACGTTGATAGAAACAAAAACACCAGCCCCGACCTTATATTATTCACTTTTGTTATGGAATACACAATACAAAATCTTCACCAAAACACTCTTGCGTCAAGTTGGCCAAGTTATTGAAACGAGTGATGTCAGTGGCTCATTCGCAATGTATGTGTCGTTTCTGAAGGACTTTTTTGGCACGCAAGCTGATATATTGAACGAGGCAAACATGGCTGTTGCTCCAGAAATCTTGAGCAATCAAGAAATCAATAAGGTATTTCGTAGCTTTGGACTTACTTTGCGTTTGATCGATTGGGATCGTGAGCCTAACATGTGTGTTTTCATGGAAATAGATCATTACAGCGCCAGGTACTTGCATCGCTTGATTTAAGATGCCGAATGTCGTTTTACAAGTCTCAAAGTCATGCGATACTACTTTGTTCGCTCAGAAAATGATATGAAATTGGCACACAAGCTTGTCACGATTTTGGAATTTTGTAGTTGACGATTCTTTTACAAAACAATTACAGGATCACCATTGGAAACTCATTATGAAGTCACGCATCTGGGAATTCCGATGTTAACTTACAAACGTATGTTTCCCAATGTGAGAACCGTTTGGGAGCGAACAAAGGTATGAGTGTGCTTTGAGGAATGGAATTGTTGATCTTGGAAGGGCAGTGCTGAGATAGTTCCTTTGTGAATAGGCCTATGCCGATCGTACCTATCTGGTGTTTGAGGATGAGAGGTACACGTATGGACAAGTTCGTGAGAAGGTTCAAGGTATTTGTCGAATAGCTTTTGAAGGAGCCTATTGCTTGATTGTAGCTCTGATTGCTTTCAAAATAGCTCTAGCAAACTCTCTGTACAATGAATTTGGTGTACGGAAAGGGGATCGTGTCGCAGGTAATCGCAATGCAAGAGTTTGGTGTCATGAAATATCTACCAATATGATTCTAACTGCGATTCTCTTTTGAAAACTCCAGTTATCATGCGAAACTATCCAGAATGGATTATTACGTTCTGTACGCAGCCATGAATGTCTTTCATTGATTCCATGGGAAAGCTCACACACCATTTCCACCCCAGGGGCAACACAACTCCTCGGCGCTGTCTCCGTTCCCATAAATGCGTGGCTCACAACACCCGAGCTTGAATACTGTCTCTCCGACTCTGGCACCAAAGTCGCAATCATTGATGGTGAACGTGCTGAGAAGATCACACCATTCATAAACAGTCTGAGTGTAGCTGTTATTGTTACGAGGACGGACAAGTCATGGCCTGGAATGCTTGGTTTGGCTGACGTGTTGGCGAGAAATGCTGGTGCTAAAGGGTATGTGGATGTGGAGATTGGGCTGGATGATAATGCGACTATTCTATATACGTCGGGAACGACAGGAAAGCCTAAAGTAGGTTGTGATCGGAGTGGTGTATTTCTTTGTTCGCTGTTTCTGATGTCCCTTTTTTTAATATAGGGTGAGAGGTTACAGATGCAAACATCTTTTGTGACGTATTCCTAACAATTGTTACAATTCTCGGATTGTTTATGGACTAATAGGCGCACTAGGTACGCCAACCTTTTAACTATAGAAACCTTATACTGATTGACTCAGAACTCTCAACTCTTTATAGGATCACACCGCAACTTCCTAGTCAACGAAATGAACCGACAGGCTGCTGCAATCAGGGCAGCTTTAAGATCTGGAATGCCAGTACCTGTCCCGAATCCAAATGTGCAGTCTTGTACTCTGCTTTCGGGTAATATTCCATTTTTTTCTGGTTGAGTTCGGAGCAAGTATATTGAACTATCTCACACATTAGTTCCGCTATTTCACGCCACTGGACTGGTCTCCATTCTCCAAGAATGTACTGTGAACGGTGGGAAGTTGGTGCTGATGTACAAGTATGTTGAGTCTCTGATTTATTTCAGCTGGTTATTTTCTCTTTTTTTGACCCACATCTTAACATACAGATGGGACATTGAAAAGTCCCTTAAACTAATACAACGCGAGAAGGTTAATCGTGCTGGAGGTGTGCCAACTATGGTGCATCAGATATTGGATCATCCTGATCGTGACAAGTGCGTCTATTATCTTCTAGTTTCTCATGGTTGTTTTTTTCCATGGCGCTGACATGTTTTGCTGAAATAGTTATGATCTGAGCTCGTTACAAGGATTGTCATATGGTGGTGCACCACCAGGCGCTGATTTGGTTGCTCGTATTAAACGAAAGTATGGCTGCTCCATTCTAAAAGCTATTATCTGTCTTGATGTTGGGTATTTTTTCGCTAACAATTTTGAATCGTTTGAATAGGTGGCCAGCAGTAGGAGCTTCAAATGGATATGGGCTAACCGAAACGTCAGCTGGAATATCGTATGTCTCATTTGTAGTCTGCCACTTTCGCTCAGTCGAACCTCCACTCATTACAAAGATCCCTTTTTTGTTCAGAGCAAACACAGGACCAGACTACGTTCGCAAACCAGACTCTTGTGGTCCACCAAGCCCTGTCAACTTTGTGCGAATCGTTGATGTTACGACCGGCAAAGACTTACCATCTGGAGAAATTGGAGAATTGTGGATTCGAGGGCCTAATGTTGTTAAAGGTGAAAAAAAACCAACAGCAAGACAGCTTCTATGATTTTTGTGATCTGACCTAGTGTGCATCCATAGGGTATTGGAACAAGCCCGAAGCTACGAAAGAAGCGTTCTTGGAAGGACCGAATCTATCTTGGTTTAGATCAGGGGATTTAGCTGAAGTAGATAAGGATGGTTGGATTTATATTCGTGATAGGTTCGTTTCACATTCTTCTTCAGCGCTCCTTTTTTGGTTGCTCTCTAAAACATTAAAGTCGACTCTTTTTCGCAATAGGTTCAAGGACATGATCATCCGTGGTGGTATGTCAATTGTTGCTTTCATTATCAATAGTTGTCTGTTAAAACTCACTCGTATCAATTAATTAGGTGAAAACATTTACAGTGCCGTAAGACCACCTTTGTTTCCATCTTGTCGCAAATACATATTTACTCAACTTCTCACATCAGGAACTAGAAGACGCAGCATACAGTTTCGGCCCTGTCATAATAGACGCAGCCGCGTTCGGTATCCCGCATCCAGTACTAGGCGAAGAAGTCGCCATGGTCGTCACAGTATCACCATCCAAAGCTAGCGAGGTCTCAAAAAGTAATATTTTGAACCATATGAGAAAGAGACTCGCACCGTTCAAGATACCTGTGTATCTGGAGGTGAGAACTGAGATGCTGGAGAGGAATGCTAATGGGAAGATTATTAAGAAGGACTTGAAGGTTGAGGTGTCAAAGAGGTGGGAGGCGGAGAAGTTACAGCAGCAAGGCTCTGGTTTACAAGCCAAGCTTTGAGCTGTGCTAGAAGTGCAAAATATTATAGTTTAAACCACAAACGAGAATAGGAAACGAGAACGAGAATCGATTTTCTGAACACCATTCTTTCTTGCAATCAAACCAAAGCAACAACAATTTGCTGCTACTGACAAGTCAAACTTCCACCCGTCTTTTTGTAAAACTCGACTCAAATAATAGATATGCGATATGCAGACTTCAAAAGCCCAACCTTTCACCTCGAAACCAACACCCAATTTATACTGGTAAATGCCAAAAAGATGTATTTTCTTGCTTGAGCAAAACTTGCTTGAGCAAGGTCAAAAAAGCGAATATTCTTTGTTTTCTACAATTTCGTATATTTTTTCTTGTCTTGTACGTGTTGTTCTCTATTCGACGTCATCAAGAGAGCTCTTGCCCTTGGAAGCAGCGGTAGCAGGTTCCAATACTGGAAGATCTAATTTGAGATAGAGATTTAATTGTCGTTCAGAAATGGAATCCATTGTGATAAAATGGAGCGTTTTTTTGGCAATCGTACCATCTTCAAGATCTTCGCCACCTTTAGGTAGTTCATCATCATCTGAGTCGTCACCACCCATATCCTAATAGATGCAATGTATGTGAGCGTGTGGCGTTGATGTTTCATTGCCGAAAATGGGGTGCTGAAGTTCCACACTCAAACAAGGGCACGTCACAACATTAGCTAGTACACAGCTTTTAGCAGCAAATACGCACCATTCCACTCATGTCCATGCCTAAATTGTTTTCAAGGTTGGTTGTGTGAGTGACTGATATTTGTGGCAAATAGGCAGCAAGAACCAGTAACAGTCGACAGACACTAACCTCCCATTCCTGGCATTCCTCCCATCATTCCTCCCATTCCGCCCATACCTGGCATACCGCCCTAGACATAAACCAAGAGCAGTCAGATAAGGTATTTAATGTGTTTGAATCATTCATGAAAATCATCGTTCTCATCCACAACCACAATCACAGATTTAACAAGGACCACCATAAACTCTTTCAATCAAAATCCTCTGCGGGAAGTGCCTCAAACCATCGCAAACATCTTTGAACCTAGCTGTACGAACAACTCACCATTCCACCACCACCCATTCCCATATTCGAGAACTGTGAAAAGTCCATATCAAAAGGATTTCCACCTTCTCCACCAGCACCTCCTTCAGCCTCTTCATCATCCTCATCTCTCCATTTCGAGAAATCAGTCTTGATGTAGTGAGGGGTCTTGCCAGATTTCTTTAACAATCGAGGCCACCATTCAACGTCTTGCTCCTTTTTTGTTATGACGAATACGAGGCTGCGGGCTGTGATGTTGCGTTTCGATGTCTATGCAAAAAGGGTCAGCTTTTGGTTGGGCTTGTTTGCATTGTACATATGAATGCGTGGTCATCCGAAGTGCATCCGTCAGAATGCATACGTTACCTCTGGATCCACATCCTTGAAAAACTCCAAGTCGACCTTGTAACGCTGGTTGTGTGAGATTCCGTCAAAGTGGAGAGCTTCAGGAGTCAGTTTGATGTTTGGGTCTGTGACATCAGCGAGATTTATGGTGATGTAGATTTCGTTGGCTCGTTGCGCCCAGAGCACTTCTGGGAAGAGATCTGCGCTGCTGGCCATAATATAATAGATAGATGTATTGTTAGTTATGTCCTAGTTTTAATACAACAACTATGGCTCCTTTGAATTCGAGTTTTTTTGCGTCAAGAAAGAAGCTTGCAGAAGCTTTGTCATTCTAGTCCGCAGTGCATTGAGATGCATCGGACACTGAATATGCATGTAGTGCATCTAATGAACGTACCTGGACATCATTGCCTGTTCTTTCTTGGTTGGGAAGCTATTTTCTAGTTTTGAAAACTGTGGTTTTGGGATTTTTGGAAACGACGAGTGAATCGCAACAACACATGGTGGAAGAACATTAGTAAAGTAAAATTTTAATTTTGGATTTTGGAGATGCAATGACGCGAGAAAGATCATACACATCGCGTATGGTCATCATCACAAGCTGCACTGCAACAAAAAAAAACCTACTGTACTGCGGTCAAATTCAAATATAATATAATATATTACTGAGATGCATCCATAAACTCCCGCGTCAGCTGCAACAACGTAGCAACCTCATCCGGCTTTGCCGGTCCATGTGCCTGCCACCGTATTCGTCCAAACGTGTCTACAAGCTGCACCCATCCAAGATGTCGATTGGATATACCGATAGACTGCCGATCTACTGGTCCAAAATGTAGCATATAGTTGCCCTGTAAGTGATCGTATGATTAGCCAAAAAAAAAAGGGGAAACGAAAGAGGAATACGTTCGTACTCGTTCAGTCTTTGCTGTCTTCCACCGAATAAAGGGCACCACCATCCATTTAGCTGCTGTACCACGCACTGGGTTTTCTTCAATGTTTAGGAGAATGGTCTTGACGCGAGTGTCTTGAGCGAATTCTTTGCGGAATGGGTCGAGGTATGTGGTTATGTGTTTCTAAAGAATAAAAGGTGAGCGAAGAAAATCTTCAATCCGCAAGTGCGTTGCATGCAGTACCTCTGCCAGACCAGACATCATAAAGCACACAAGAGACAGTTTGCCGTCGAGTATAGTCTTGACGTTTGTAGGCTTGTTGTTTAGGTCAATGCCGTCCCAGTTTGGAAACAGTTTGGCGTCCTAATGGGTTTGGGTTCGTAAGCATACAGGGGAAAAAAGACTTGAAAGGAAAATGGTTGATACTATTGTCGGTATAGCAGTCTTGGAAGCCTCCCATAGCTTGTCTCCTTGACGAATCATTTCTATCAATTGCATGTGAGATCAATGTGCCTTCATAAGTCAACAAAGAGGACAAAGCAACCTTTAGTGTTTTCCCAGTATCCTTCTTTGAAAGCTTCTTCGTAGCTAGAGCCAAAAGGCGTTGGTCTGTGGTTGACATCCACAAAACGACACGACACTTACAGAGCTTCACGATCCCTCATATTATTCTTGGAATCCAGAAACTCTTCCATTTGTTTCTGGATCTTTGGCGAGATGCGACGACTTGTTTTGAGAATCCTAGTCGATTGGCTTGTATTAGCTTCTCGTTTTTTTACGTCTTGTTCCAACACGACATGACACGCACTCCTTCCGCTGCGACTCCTGCTCCAAGAGCTTCTTGTGCTCTTCATCAATTCTCTTTTCGAGCCTTTTCAGTAATCCATCACTAAGTTGTAAACTTGTTAGCTTCTGAAGCCACAACGAACAACGTCTCAGTCTATACTGATACCCCTTCTTCTCATCTAGTTGAGCGGCCACATCCAATTTAAGTTTCTCATCTAATCTGGCAGTGAGCTTTGCGACGCCTAGCTTTGGGAGTGGTTTGCTGGTTAGAGATGGAGGTAGTAATGGGAGTTTGTTGACTGGTGCTGGAGTTGGTGATGAATAGTGTCTGGCAGCATCGCGGAGAGCTATGTAGCGGGTTGATGAGTATAGGATTTGGTATGATTGGCTTCTCTTTATTGCCAACGACATTGTTGATGTTTTGATGCTTCGTGATGGTGAAGGATGCGAAACGAAGATGACGTCGCTACGTGATTTACCACGGTCAATATATTTTTATTGTTGATATCAATTGATGTACGGTATAATGAAGCGTAAAATTCGTGAATCTGTCATGTACTCTCCATCAAACATCAAACGAATTCAATCTATAACAATAGTAAACGAGAACGACAAGGATCAGATCGAGAAGTACATCATGGCAGCAGGTGCGGCACGTGAGAAGCGTTTCGAGGAACTGAACATGACTGATGAGGTTCGTCTGCATTGTTTACTCATGATCATTGACCGACATTTAACCATCATATGATCAAACATATAGGAACTGAAAAAGATCTCGACATCCTTCCAAGATGAGGAATTCCGTAAACTGTTTTCGGACTATGTTAACGAGTTGTCTGATCCAAAGAATCGAGAAGTACGATACATCAATGCATTGTTGGATGCACCATTACACGCTTTGGATCTAACACCATAATCTTATACAGCTATACGAACGAGAAATTGCACAACTAGAAGCCGAACAAGGCAACAAGGTCCGTTTCGTAAAACCAACTGAAGGGCACGTCCTAAAAACGAAATTCCAAAAACCACCATCAAACATGGCCAACATTGATAAAGTGTTTATAAACATGTGCACGTCCCCGGAAATCAGTAAAGCCAAGGCAAAGACAAAGTCGGTTAATGGCAAGAAGGGACAGAGTTGGAGTATACCGTATAGCCTGTCGAGTCCGAGGGAGGATGTTGATCATGGTATGATTGATGAAGGTTTGGAGCTGCTCTGTTCTTTGGTGTCTAACATGTAGTCTTTTGATAGCTAACGCGCCGTGTCTGGTATACGACTTTGTGATGCACCCTGACACGTATCGAATGGGTCGCAACAACCCGGCCTTTGACAAGATGTTGGTTGATACTGCATTAGAGGGAATAGAAACCAAGTTTGATGTCAAGTTTGATAAAAGCATGTGTCTTCTTCTTATTTCCGATATTCCTTTTTTTACCCCTCTAACATATCCCAAAACACCACACAGAAATAAAAACCCCAAAAATGAAATACAAGGGCGTGCCAACCGCAACCGTCATTCGTGAAACTGATCCAAGTCTCAAAGCTACTGCTGGCGAGACTAGTCTGGATTATATCAAGAATATGGCACAGGAACAACAAAAGCAGGCTGTCATTCCTACTGAGAAGTCAACAAGCTCGCTTATTCAGGAACTGGATGAGCCGCATGTTGCATCGGCCAAACCAGTGGTGGTGGAGACGCCAAAGTATGAGATACTCCATCGTGGGTCCATTGATTACTCGAAATTCACGAATGAGAGGGAGAGACGTGATGGGGCTAGGCCAGAGTCGCTTGTGGTGCGGATAGAGTTGCCTCGTGTGGTAAGTGTTGCATTTTGCTCTGTTCAAGAATATGTCCACCCCTTGACAACGTGGTTTTTTTTCTCTCGCTCGCGATCTCATTTATTGATACTTCACATAGGTGTCTGGATCAGAACTGAACGTAGACACGAACGAAACCACATTTGACTTAAGCGTACCTCAGAAGTACTTGCTGCATATAGCACTACCGTTCCCTGTGGATCATGAACGCGGACAGGCCAAGTTTGACAAGAGTCATCGTAGGCTCACTGTTACGTTGCCTGTGCTCCCACCGCCGCTTATATCCGTTGCTGCCGAGGTAAGTGTCATAAATGAGATACCAATTTCTTGGATCTCGTAGCTTAGTATGTATATATCTTTTTTAGCAAACGACGATACCAATCCCAGAAATCGTAAATCTGGATGATGCTGTAAAAGAAAATACAGGAGAAGAGCTTCCTGCTACGGAATTCGAAACTGAATCCACACCACTAATCCAACAAATCACGAAACCACGGCTCCCTGCCATAAAGCTCGACCAAGACGAAACATCAGTTTCGATCATCATGCCAGTCGTCGACTTGGACGAATCGACTATATCTATGAACTTTCTGCCTCTACAAGTAAGAAACTCCCCCCAACACCGTATTGAACACCAATGCTCACATTTATAAACAGGTCTCTGTGGCGTTTAGCACGAAAGACGGTACATCATACGCCTTACTAGCTAAAGTCCCATCTAGTATACTTCCAAAGGGATGTAATCTAAATATTGACGGAGATCAAGTTGTCGTGCATTGTCAGAAATGGGCAAGAGAGTTGTGGGAGAGTGTGGATGTGGTTGATGTGGATGGCGGTGTCAGTGTTGTGCGGTTTGAGAGTCTGAAGAGCGTGAATGTGTCTGCTGCTGCTAGCGTAAAGAGCGAGCCGGCTGTGGCTGCCACGCCAGTGGAGAAAGTGGTATGTGAGAGGTGTATGGGCTCGTTTTTGGCAGCTTGACTAAAGGTTTCAATCTTATCTAGGAGACACCAAAAGTACCTGAGAAGCCTGCTACTGTAGAAAAGAAACCGATAGTGATTCCTACATTACTTAATTCGCATGTTTTTGATCTGGATTTGTAAAACGCAACGCCAGTACTTTATTAAAGCTGCATTCATACACGGAGAGACTGGCCTGTTTGAACCTTTCAAGCACATTTGCTGATGTTTCTCTACCACCTTTATGTAACTCGTTGTATTCGAAAGGCTTTTGGAATGCAAGTCTTAGCTGCGTTTGATACTTTTGCATGTCGTCAGCTTGCTAAACAAACCATGCTTCTAGCAAATTGGACAATTTCAATCGAGGGACACGATGTTTCTGATGAGCAAATATGATCACGGAGGTGCTCGGTATAGTATACTTTGAACGATTGAGTCTCGATGCGGCTCTGACTTCTTGTGGGCTGTCTGTGGTTAAAGAAAAGTGCTGTGAGTATCAGATCGCAGTAGAAAACCAGAGAACTGTAGTGCAGAAAAATTTGAGACTTACCGAGTAGCAGCACAATCCACGAGAAAGAGGCTCCATCCAGTTGGAAGGGATAATCCTGAGTCCTTGTAGTCCTGATTCTGAGAGTCCCGAGTGGTCTATTATTGGTGTACAAGTCAGTCCACGACAAATTGTTCCAAGGGGAATTGGATGCATTTGTTACAACCAGTACCTGGAGGGCCCTCGAGGCCAGATCAAACCAGTCCAGAGATGAATGGATGTACTAGGAGGGCATTAGGCACCTCTGATATAGGCCAACAGGTCCGACAACAATGTCAAAATGTTAAAAGCGGCAATTTACTTCATTTTCGAAACCTGCAAGTACATACCGTTCCAGAGCAGTATTTCACATCATATCACACTGATACGAGGTGTGTAGACGCAGTGTGATTCCTTCCTGCTCACTTTTCACGAGAATCTTTGGTGGGAAGGATGTTGCGAGTGTTGCGAACAACCAGATTGAGAAAAATATTCAAAGCAAGGAAAAGTGTGTATTGGAGAGTCAGAAAAGGACCTAAAGCGTGGACGCTACATAGATGCATCCATAGCCGGTCACCCAGAGCAACAGAGAGCGTGTTTCTCAGAGTTTGTCGCGGTACAAGACTTGGAACTAGATCCAAACACTGGCCTCCAAGGTTTTATGGACATGAGCGAGTAAGAAATCTGAGGATCATGATGCTTCTTCTCCATTTGTCTTACTTACATCTGAATACGTTACGCTCCGTGGGTAGATCAGGTAGATCACATTTGTTCTCAAACTGTTTTCAGCACCTTTATCACTGAAGATCCGTGGCATGGACGTGCTTTCCGACGCTTTTCAGCAATTTTAGCTCCAGAGAATCGGTCTGATGCTATGCCAGTCTTGCTCTGTTGGGTTACTGCAAAGGTCTGACTCTCTTGATTTGAAGTTTCTTGAGGGATTGCACACCTTGGACCTGAGAAGTTGGGATATCAAGCACACAGCAGGAAGACAGAGTAATTCTCTATACAATATACGCTAGCAATCACCAGTATTTCATATGTTTGTACTGTGTTTCCATTTGGCTTTGGGGACGGCCAACATCCAAATCAGCAACCAGCCACAGTCAACTTTTCTGCAAAAACAATTTCAAGACTAGCAGAGATTATGATTGAGCTTCGAGGATGAAGACGCCATTTATATATTTCCTACTTGCTCTTGTCTGCAATTCTGTTTCCGCTCAAGGTGGTAGTCAAATCGCAGCAGCTGCCACTACGAGTGTGACCCAATATGGAGTCCAGGTATCGATAAAATCGAACGGTTACGGTTAAAATCATCGTAACTTTGAGCTAACGCTTTATACGCGTAGGTCTGTGTTGACAACTCCCTCACATTTTGTAAGTGGGCACCGTTTTCTTGTTAGCTGAGTTGGAAATTTGGAGATGCACAATGTCACCACGACGAACCGTTTGGAGGCGATTGTAAAGACTGCATCCGTGACTTATATTCTGTCTATTTAGGCGTTACTGGTGTAATCGATACCACAAATCAGTACATAACGTGGACGTTGGAATCAGCGTATAATGGTTGGATTGGTTTCGGGCTGGGACCGTCTATGAATGGAGCAATTACATGTACGTGAAGCGTTCAAGCTCTCCCATGGTATTTCGATCACTGTTTCTCATATGTTCGCACCACTTTCGCTCAGACGTGATATGGCCAAACTCTAAAGGATCATACACCATCAGTCAACGATGGTGTACATCTGAAATCGTGCCTATCTTAAGTGGAGCTCAAGATGAAGCGGTCGTAGTAACGCTCGTCAAGCCAAAAACGAGTGGAGCGAACTTGGCCGTGTCGATACGGAGGCCATTAACGACTTCGACTTCTACAATATCAGTTAGCAATGCGATGAACTATGTATGGGCTGTGGGGAAGGGGCAAGCTTCTATTCCAGGTGAAGTAGCCAATGTTTTTGTTTGACACGATAACACGCTTGTCTAACCAATTTATATCTACAATTAGATTCGATATTCTCGTCATTCCCAGCACACGATTTCTATGGACAGTTCTCAGTGCTCTTTAGCGGATCAGTGGGAACAAGCGTATTAGTGGGAAGTGGAGCACAAGGGCTGTCATACCCTCAACCATCAGTACCGTCAATATCAAGTGGAACGTCAAGCTATTGTGTCGATGCAATAGGCACATATTGTATAACAGTGACTCCATCGTCTGGAGGCTTCACAATAACATTAGAATCATCGCAGTCTGGATGGCTGGCTGTAGGTCTTGGATCCAAGACAATGGCAGGAGCCAACATGTATGTCGCATGGAAGAAATCCGACGGCTCTTACGCCTTATCTTCCAGACATACACAGTATCATGATGCACCAACAGTCGATACCACCCAAGATGGTAAAATTGTAGCGCTGGCCGTGACGCCTAAATCAACCAGCCAAATGGCTGTATCGTTTTGGAGATCTGCTACACCTAGTGGTCTTCCAGCCATAACGAATAACATAATGGATTTCATATGGGCAGTGTCGTCTACGACACCGACAAATCTAAATGATCCAGCATCAACATTCAGTAGCCACAACGCTTTTGGAGCCTTTGAGGCCAATTTGTTTAGTATCCCGACGCCCGTGTCTGGTACAGTGGCAACTCCTACTGCTGTTGCCAATAAAAACTCAACCAGTGATCCAGTCGCAACAAATCCTGCAATTGTAGGAACCAATTGTGTAGATCTGGTGAATTCGTTTTGTATATCGACCAGCATACAGGGAGACACTGTTACATTCACCATAACCACTATTTCGATGGGATGGGTCGCACTGGGTATGAGTACTTTTCAACGTCGCTGTTTTTAGTTTCTGACCACACTTCTTGCATCAGGCATGGGCGCTCAAATGAATACCGCATACATGTATATTCTCTGGAACAGCGCCGGTGCCGCTGTCATATCCGAGCGAACCACACAAGGACACGGTGCTCCAACTCCAACAACACTACAATCAGCCACATTGACAATAACGAATGTGACGAGTAAAGTAGCTACATCGACCCAAACATACGCATTCAGCCGCCCATTAGGCGATATTCCATATAACGGAAAGACAAATACTGTGAATGCAAATGGAACCTCTAGTTTTATCTGGGCTGTTGGGTCTGATATACCTTCGAGTCCAAGTGCCAGTTTACAACAGCATACAAGCTATGGAGGCTTCCAGTTGGATGTATCGCAGAAATCGAATCTCGGGCTCGCAAATACTGATTTTTCGACTGACAAGTATTTGTGGATTAAGTGAGTGTGACATTCGAATATGCCCAAAAAACTCGCTCGACCCTCTGGTATTCTAACCGAAACGCTTCACGTAGAGTCCACGCCCTTCTAATGAGCGCCGCATGGCTCGCTGCTCCTGTAGCGGCAGTTTTCGTTGCCCGATTCTGTAAGCAGTTAATGGGAGCATGGTGGTTTAGAATCCATTTCGCAGTGCTATTCTGCGTTACGGGATTGGGAACTCTATTAGGAGTCGTAACTGTATATCTTATAACAGCAGGCCCACACTTCCAAGGCACTCATCGGATGATGGGTGTTTCGTTGGCTTCTGTTATGGTATTACAGATTGGACTGGGCATCATGGCAGATAAATTATATCTAGTGAAACGACTATCAACACCAGTATTCCCAGACCGTATTCATCATTATATAGGACGGATTTGTGTGCTGATGGGGCCAGTCACCGCTCACTTTGGTCTGAATTTATATAGTCAGTTATACGGAGAGCCCGTAATGATATACATTATCGCAATGTGGAGCTGGGTAGGATTATGTCTCCTCGTTTTTGTCTTTGCTGAATGGAGACGCCGAGCGGGTGATCATGACGCAGGAGTAGGGTACCTTAAACGCCAACTGAGTCGCATGTCAACCGTAACAACAAACTATACAGCATCGACAACAGGAACACGTAAACAGTATCGAGATGCAGAGGTACACCAATATACACCACAGTATAATGAAAAGAAGGGATTCTCAAGGCCGGATATGCGGCAAGTGTATGCTGCTGAACCGTATGGAGTGGATCCCAGCACGTATCACGTGGATGAGAAGGATGATGATTATTATCTGTTTGGTGGGAGTGGAGAGGCGTATGCTATGCTGCCGCAGCAAGTAGCACCACCGCCGTCTGTGTATCCCGGGTATCCACCAACGTGGCCTACACAACCTTTAACGACGTATGAGGAATCGTTGCTCGCCATGTCAGATAAATCAATGCAGAGCTTCGCATCGTATAGACCGCCGATACCCGTATATGGCCCACCACGTAGACCTCCACCGCCAGCATATATCGCACCACCAATACCTACAACAACATACGTCGGACCGCCAACACCAATAATACATGGTAATACTCGTGTCCCAACACTCCCACGGTCAGCAGTAACTGACGCCTCATATACATCACTGCAAAGTAATCTCGTACAGCATTTATTGGCTTCTTTGGATGAATCTGCAACTGTTGCATCGAGTAACCGTGTACGTCGTGTTGATCATAACGTGCCGGTAACTGCACCACGTAATCCAGCGAGACTGAATAATGAATTGTATGGAAGATCTGTAATTACTGCACCTCGTAATCTTTAAGTATTGTGACATTCTTAAATTCTTGAATAATAATCTAGTTTCTTGGTCTAATAAGGATACCGCAAGATCTAGTTTGACCTTTTTGGTGCGCCTCTTTGCTATTTTCGATGTTTGAAATAGGGCAGTGGTCTGCCATAGTGGTATAACTCGAGTGCCAAAGGGCTTTTGTGACAGCTGATGTGGTTGGCATGTTTGCAAAAAAACAGCAGCAGTCACTTCTATGCGATCGCCCATTTTTAAATCATTTAAGTGATAATGATAATACTTTAAGAGCATCTACGGTATTGCGGTTCCATTTTATTCGCTAATGCTAATTTGGACTCTGAAACGTATCCACCTTGGATTTTGTCGAAAACATGCGTCGACGCGTAATATTCCCTAAGCTTCCTAGCATCTAATTAACTTGCGGACTTAATAGCCAGCGTACCTTGGTTCCTGAACTTCCCACGTCAGCAATAAACCAAAGTAAGGCTGTGTGTCTGGCTTTTTTTCCTTGACAACGCTCCTGAAAAAACCTGAACTGTAAAAAGGGACTTCCGCCTGCCAAAACCCAGCTAGCTAACAGAATTCTGGAACCAAAGCAATCCGCAGCAACAGCTCAACTCTATTCCTTCTTTTTTTTCCACACTGGACAATAATCGCTCGCACACTGCGAGACTCCTCGTCCATATGTCGTCAACTGATTTGAATGGTGTCGAGACATCGAGAACTTCAGCTGGATCAGGGAGACAGTCTTCTGGGTCGCTGCAGAGGAGAACTGTGAATCCAGCTTCGGACGTCCAGGATGGTAAAGCTCTGGAGGAAAACGGCATCGCTGGCAGTCCAACGACCCACACATCTGAGAAACCCGAGAAACCAACTACTGCTGCCTCGCTGAGGAATCTAGTGACGACTAATTGGTATGCAGGCCATTTTATTGAAGGATCTTGCGATAGTTTTGCGATCCGGTCTCCCATCTGGGCACTTGGTGCGCATGTTTCGTAGTAGTAGCTAACCATCTTTACGCACATACAGGTATTTCAACATCTTCCTCATATTCGTGCCTATCGGCATAGCACTCGGCGCTATAAACAAGACTGGAGATGTGTCCATGTAAGCCACAGAAGAATTTTCTCCTATGGTTTTGGGAATGCTGACCAACCAACGTTTTGACACTTTAGATTTATTATCAACTTTTTGGCTATTATACCGTTAGCAAAAGTGCTGAATTTTGCGACAGAAGAGTTGGCTGTTGCTTTGGGACCAACTGTGAGTGTCGTTGTCAGGCAGAGGGTTTGTAAAAACCGAAACCTAAAACGCATGCAATGATAGATCGGGGGCTTATTAAATGTTACTTTGGGTAACGCTGTAGAGTTAATAGTGGTAGGTTGGCGTTCGTGTCTGTTCCTCGACCGTTTGGGGTACTGCCAAGGCTTGTATCTAAGGCAAATTTTTGGACCGGCCGCTTGTAGGGTATCATTGCTTTGAAAGAGGGCCTTGTTACAGTCGTGCAGGCTTCCGTATTGGGATCCATTCTCTCCAACCTGCTTTTCGTTTTGGGGTGAGTTTTGAAAACAAAGAAAGGTACACCCGTGGATTGCACACTTACGGTTTGCCCCCGCTTTATAGCTTTTGCTTTCTCTGTGGAGGGATATATCACAAAGAGCAGCAATTTTCAATAGGAGCTGCCAACACATCCGCGTCTCTATTGTCTCTGACTGTTTTGTCGTTTTTGTTACCCGGTGCTTTTCATGCTCAGCTAGACGCATTGAACAAGACCGATCTATCTGAAATAACATCGTTATCACGGGCGGTTGCCATTCTGCTGCTCGTTGTGTACGGCTTGTATATCTTGTTCCAGTTTAGGACGCATGCATATCTTGTAAGTCTGGTGTTCAACACTTCTTTTACATCCGAACGCGAAAGCTGACCTCTATTCTCTCGATAATCTTTAGTTCAAACCAGTCGTTGACGAAGAAGAGGAATACAACACTCTCACACTCCCAATTGCATTCATGGCACTGATTGGGGCTACCATTTTGATTGGAGTGTGTGCAGAGTTTCTGGTGTCGTCGATTCAGGTACGAGGCAGTTGGTGTGGAGGCTGATTGCTTTGGTAGCTGACATGATTCCCGTTGTGTGTAGGGATTGGCCACAGCATGGAATTTGGTAAATATTCGGTCCTTGAGTCATCAGTGCCTTTTGGTCCATTGTGAGGCTTACACACTCTCTCTTCTCACAGACGGAAACCTTTATTGGTTTGATCATACTGCCAATTGTAGGCAATGCCGCAGAACATGTTACAGCTGTAACAGTAGCCATGAAGAACAAGATGGATCTCGCTCTGAGCGTAGCGCTTGGATCGTCATTGCAGATTGCAATCCTCGTGACTCCGATCTTTGTGCTTATAGGCTGGGCTCTAGGTTTGTTAATTGAAATCGTCAAGAAACACAAAACATCATTTTCTAAACTCCTTTATCGATATAGGAGTGAATCTTACACTAGACTTCCCTATATTCCAGACAGCAGTAGTATTCGTGACAGTGTTTATTGTGACGCAGTTAGTAAATGACGGAAAGAGTAACTGGCTTGAAGGTGTCTTGCTGCTGGTTGCCTACCTCATTATAGCAGTGTCATTCTTTTACATACCGGCTTGAGGAGTTATTGAAATATAATGTAGCTTATCTGTCTCGTATGTAATATCTAATATCTCTGCCCGCTTGGAGTTCAAAAACAGTTTAGTAGATCCTGCACAAATTCACATCGAGTCCCCTACAGAAAGAGTGACGATAGATTTTATATTATGGCGTTCGTGAATGACTGTTCAGGATACGCGAAACGTCCGCGTCAGTTTGCCAAAGGAATATTGGTAAACCTTGTGATTATAACCAAACACCACGATGGCGAAGAAGAGTAAGAAAGACAAGAAAAAGAAGCGAGATCGTCGTTCGTCTGATGACTCTGACGTATCTGATGAATGGGTCGAGAAGCCTGCGGCAGGCAGTGAACAAAATGTCACGAATAATGATGGACCTGCAGCAACCAAACTAGTACGAGAAGACTGGCTATTGAAACCACCAGGACGAAATCCATTCGAAATCACTACCAAGGATGTAGAAGAGACCAAGCCTGCTGCTCCCAAAGAGGTAATAGGAGACATCAAAACATTTTGAAGTATGTGATTTTACGTGAATTCAACAAGTAGCTAACGAGCTTTTGCTAGCCATCGTATGCCTCCAAGATGGAGCTAAACCCATTCTTCGCTAACGACGGTTCTGGCTTGCCACCACAAGAAGACGATTCTCTGCCAGCTTCCAAAAAGAGGAAGTTCGAGTATGGAGACTCTGGATCTAGTTGGAGGATGATGAAACTGGACAAGGTGTCCAAGATTGCTGAGGACGAGAAGAGGAGGGTTGAGGAGGTTGCGCTGGAACGTTATGGGGTATGTCTGAGCACAACCAAAAAATGTGGATAAGTACCCATGTCACTCTCCTGACGCTGACCATCTCTGATCTATATCTAGTCATTGGACGAATACGAAGACGCGCTGGCTGAACGCTCGTATCTCAACGAGCAACGTCGAGGTCGCTCCCGAAGCGACGAATGGAGACAGCCACGAACGACATTTGCCTTTGGTAGTGGGAATGGAGAGAGGTTCAAGAGGCCATCTGACGATAGGGTCATGTCGCCTCCTGATACTTGGGGTCGAGGACGCAGTTTCCAGAGTCCTAGTGATGGTGATTCTGTTGTTGATGGTGAGAAACGAGTTGCGTGTATAACATTACACTAGCCTTTTTAATCTTTTTTTTCTCTCTCGCAGTGGAAGAATCATCAGACCGCCGCCGCCGAAGCACAGCACCCACGCCCGACGAACGAGACATGAAACGTGGCCGAGATTTCACCCATACACCTATAATACCAATCCTATCCTTATCTCGATCTTCATCTACGACTCCAACCATCCCTGCTGCTCATACTGGCGGCTCTTCAGAACGCACGCTATCGATCAACGAACTTAACAGCATGCATTCCAAAGTGCTGAAGGCTAAATTGGCTGGATTGAAACAGGCTGAAGTGGAAGCCATGGAAGAAGAATATCAGCGTCAAAAGGATCGGTTTGAGACTTCTCAGCTGCAGAGCAGTGAGGATATTGTTATACCGAATATTGATTCGAGGGGGAGGTTGCAGGATACGGGTGTTGCTGCGGTGCCGTTGCCAGCTGGTGTTCGTAGGAAGAAGGAGAAGGTGAGATGCCAATGAAATATTGAATATGTGAATTGAAAACGTGATTTCCGCAAAAAATGGCACGAAAAATTATGGATAGTTGAAACATTGTTCGTTTTAGGTCGTAACACATGATGAGACTGGGCAAAGAATCCGATACTTTGCTGATGACGATCGATCAGAATTAGCTGATATGGTGCTCAAGGAAAGGATGGCTGGGAAATCATATGATGAGAGTATGGCTGAGAGAATCGCCGGTGACTCGGCCTTCAAGGACGATTTGGAGTATATGGATGAGAGTCTTGATAATATGCCAAAAAGAAGTGAGCCTAATGATGCAAAGAAGAGGAGTATGGCTATCAACGGTGAGCATTAACAAGGATTCGCAGTGCGGTTTTTTTTCTCATGGAGTTTTGTCCTCTAGAGTATCAAAAGACACAATCAGCACACGATAAATGCTGGTACTGCATGCAGGAAGGTCAAACTCCCAAAGTGCCTGTCTTAGCGGTCGCAACCAAGACTTATTTGGCACTACCTTCTACGATACAAATGACGCCTGGACATTGTCTTATTGTGCCTACGCAGCATACATTGACTAGTTTGGAATGTGAAGATGATGTTTGGGATGAAATACGAGTAAGTTATGTTGCGTGCCATACATTCATTCAACCTGTAACATCCTTGCTTGCTGTAGAATTTCATGAAGTGTCTTATACAAATGTTTGCTAAAGAAAACAAGTCGGCTATATTCATGGAACAGGTTGTCAATTTGAAGTGGCAAAGACACACTGTCATTGAATGTATACCTATTGATGCTGACTCGTTTGAGGATGCACCCCAGTTCTTTAAGGTAAAGCCAAAAAGAGACTTCGAGTAAAGTACAGTAAGAGCTGGTTGGTCAACACTCGCCACCGCATATACATACATATGTAACACTCACACCACCTTCTGTATCTACAGGAAGCAATAAACAGCTCTGACGAAGAATGGAGCCAACACACCAAACTAATCGACACATCCAAATACGGCTTCCGGAAATCCATGGTCAAGAATCTCCCATATTTCCACGTATGGCTCGACCCAAACAAGGGCTACGGCCACGTTATCGAAAACGATAAAGAATGGCCTGAATACTTTGGCAAATCAGTGCTGGCATCAATGATGGATTTGCCACCTGATAAATGGAGGAAGCCTAGGAGGATGAATCGGGATGAGGTGCCGGAGATTGTCAAGAGGTTTGAAGATCAGTGGAAACCGTTTGATTGGACGGCCATGTTGCGTGATGAGTGAGAGGGCAGGGTAATGTTATTTTGTTGCATGAGTCGACGGATTGATGTATTTTTTCTTCTTTTGTACAAAGTGAAAATAGCACTTGTAGAGGATTGAGAGGATTGAGTGTGGGTGTGGTTCCGTTGGTTTGTATGAACAGGTTTGAGTGTTTGAAGTGGTGTGAGAAGAAGCAAAAAACAAGCCCATACAAAGGAGAGAAGACGTAGTGTTTGTCACGGGAATGGCATCTACTGCATTCAACGACAATTGAAACTCATGTTGCTTTACGGTTAGAACTAAAAAGTTGGACCATCAAGTCAAAGATTTCAGAAAGCAAACAACAAGACCGTTCCTGTCATTTGTAATTAAACATTGGTTTTTTTGTGGTTTCCAAACGGTTTACTTCCAAGTCCGTGGACTACAGTGGAAAGAAATATCTGGACTGGAGACTTAGCCCACTTACTCTCTAATGCAGGAACAAATTCCAGTGACTCTTCATCCAGTTATCTTTGTTTGCCACCTCAAGACAAGTCCCTGCCACCTTCAAATAGCATGCACGAGAATGGGCATTCAGGACCTAGGGTGAAGGGACGAGGAAACTGGATCAGATGTTCAATATTGCTAGATATATCATTCGCAGATTTGACTGTGACCCTTTCATTTATTTTTATTCAGTCATTTTACGAGTGTGAAGACGCACTAGCACAACGCTGATACTTGAACGAGCAATGTGGTCGATTTCGAAGTGACGGATAGAGGCAGCCACGGGTATGCTTTGCTTTCGGAAGTGGGATTGAGAGAGGTTCACGAGACTGTCCGACTATAGATGCTTGGAGTCGAGGACGAAGTTTCCTGACGCCTAGTAATGGTGATTCTGATGTTGATGGTAATAGAGAGAGAGAAAGATGTCACTGCTGACATCGAATCTGCATTTCAGATAATTTTATCGCCTCCTTCTTTATAGTGAAGGTCATCAAACTGTCGTCGAGGAACCACAGCACCGCCATCCAACGAACGATGCATGAAACATGGCCGAGATCTCCTACAACACCTATAAAACACCTAAAACTCTGTCTCGATTCTCATCAACAAATTCCTACCATCCCTGCAGCTCATACAGGCCTCTTATCAGGACGAATGTTATCGATTAACCTGCTTGCTGAAGTACAGAAAGCTAGACTGGCTGGATGAAACAGATTCAGTCTTTGCTGTACAATCATATTATCTCGATCCAAGTCCCGCAACAATGTTTAACAGGATCGTCTATGCGTTCTTCGTGATCCTGGCCATTTCTTCGGTCTCTCTAGCTTTGTTGACGCTACGCCTGCCCCTATGACTATGGTGAGTTATCAAAATTTGCGTTGGGCGTGCAAATAATCACTGCAATGTTAACTTTGTTTTGGTATTCGTCTAGGCAAGCGGAAACGGTTTGATTGGGCGGACATCCAACGTCTACACGTCGCTTTCTTTTTTGTTTTGGGTATTCAACTCTTTATTGAAAGTATTTTACGGAATGTGTAGCTTATATAATCAGTTGTACAAAACAAGAAGTATTCTCCTTATTCAGCTGTGAGCGCTTCAGCAAGCACATCTCCAAGAGCGATAACTCCAACAACTTTCTTATCATCGTCAACAACCTGGTTGAAATGAGCAAGTGAGCACAAAACAGGATGCGCAATAAGAGCAATTTGCAACGACAAATAAGTTTTCAAACAACTTACCCATAAACGATGAATCTTATTGTTGATCAACGAGACAATAACTTCACCGATAGTATCCGACAATGAGCATCTCACAGCTGGTTCAGATGCAGCATCATCTCCTCTTCTCCATACAGAACGAGCAAACGTGGCAGCATCCATACTGTAAATCTCGTTTACTTTGCTTGCGTCCGGTGCGATTTCTCGGATATCTCGAACGGATATGGTGGCCTTTGCGAAAAAGAGACAAGGGGTTCGTTAGGTTGGACGCAAAAAAGGAGTGATCCATGTAGATGGATACCTGAAGTTCATAGTTGACATCAACAATAGGCACAGCCGATATATTGTTCTCCACAATCAGCTTGAATGCGTGAATGGCCTTTGCCTTCTCATCACACACAATCACGGCATTGATATCAGGTGCTACGGCGTGTATTGAGGCTTTTATGATTGACAGGTCACCGACTCGTTTATTCAAGAATGATCCCTATGTGAAGAATTTCGTTGGCAAAAACCGGCACGGAGCAAAAAACGTGAATACAAATACACTCACATCGATTTTTTCCATATGATCAAATATCATCTGCACGACTTCAGACTGCGTAACAACATGAACTACTTGTCTTGATAAATCAATGATGGGGACTCGATGGCCTCCCATCTGAACCGAAACATGAAAGTAAGGGTCAACCATTGAATAGCCGAAACCTTGTTCGAGTTTTAAAACTTACAGAAACCATGATTTCAGCAGCAGTGGCGTATGAAGAAGTGTATGGTATCATCATGGCAGACCTAGACTTGTTTGATACGGATTTGTGGAAGTCTAAGACGTCTTGGACAACTGCCAAGTTGAAGGCTACGAATACGTCTGCTTGTCGGTATGCTACTGGATCTACGTGGTGAAGAAGGGAGATTTAGCATGGTGGACAAAAACAAGGAAAACTACGAAGAGCAAGTATACCTGCAATGTTTTCCGAGTTCGAGTCAATAATGAATCGAGTCAAATCCACCTAATTCAAGTTTTTAATAAGATTATTACCCTTCATTACCCTTCAATAGCAACGATGCGGTATTTGATACAGTAACGCATCACTTCTGGCACTTTCCAACGTACCATATCGATCATTGAAATAAAAGCACCATCGGCGTCCACGACAGGTGCGCTTAATATCCTTGCCTCAACCAGTTTCTACATGACGTCAAAGTTAGTACTTGCACTGGTAATGTCTATGGTTGATATGAGTCATTTATGCTTGTTTTACAGTTGATCCAACGAGTTTCAACATAGTTCTTGACGCGACGCATTCAACAATTGCTACACTGAATATATGAATTGATTTAGACTTACAGCAAGTACATCAGGCAACTTGTCCTTTGGATGGACAGTGATGATTTCTGATTTTGACGAACGTGGAACGGGTATTCCACTTAGGAGAGTCTTGACGGATGGAGAGGCCATGGCTTATTGTATGCTTGGATCTGTTGGTTGACTTTTAGTATTGGGATGTGGTTGAGAAATTTGCAGTTGGATTGAATGTACCGTAAGTCGATCTGACTCATGCACCCTTAATACACCAACTCGGTGAAACTGGTGACAAGAGAAGAAGATATTTTCAAAATATTCAGATGCAATAGATGCATACCTGCAATGCTACAACTATGTACAACTATGAGATCCTGATCTCAATACACGTAAAAAGTCGTGATTGAAACAAATGATGCGCTAAACGCGTATTATTTGGCATGAATCATGCTCCAATCCATACAATAATTATAAAAATCGTCCTCAACCGCGTCCTTTTCACCTTATTCCTCTCGTTCTTCTCCCTCTGCTCCATTGCGTCTGTCCAAACCCTCCAACACACCAAACACCAGCGCACAATCCAAATCATACAAAACCCGACAAATCAAATACCAAAAGAACAAAACTCCAAGACAAAATCAAGTAAGTACATCCTCATCATATCTCCTCTACCATCTGCATGCACTCAATACACATCCTGCAACACATACTAACTTACACCGATCGCTCCTAATAGAATCATGAAAACTCTATACATCTTCTTCACGATGCTCGTCTGCATCTTCTCAATGAGCACCATGGCTGCACCTGTTGCTGAAGAAGCTGCTGCAGCTACTCCTGTACCAGCATCATCAGTCGACGATCGTGCTCCCATGAGTCAAGACGACGACAGTGAAGCTGATGCCCAATATGTCTGTAATGGGCCTCATTGTCGTCGTCCTGAATACTATTATCCTCCATACTATCCTCCTCCATACTACCGAGGTAAGCTCGAAAAACGGGTGCTTGAAGAGTGCATGCTGGACTCACAACACACATCCGATAGGTCGTTGGGGTCCACGCTATTGATCTCGTCACGGTGGTCTCAAATCTTTTGGTCTTGACATAGTGTGGTGGTATTTGCTAAGATTTTGTATAATTTGCACATAAAACGTACATTCTGAAAGAACTTTGGTGTGCTTGCGTGCGTCCCTGGATCTTGAAAGCTTGTAAATTTTGTATGTAGGTGTTCTTGATTGATTGGTGGCACGTGAAAGTGAGCTTTTCAACTCAGCAATCACAACCTTCCAAAATCACTGCACAGAGTTTATTTCCAGACAGCTGCTTCCAAGCGTCACTTGAAAGAAACTCACCACCTTCAAGCAAAAAGAAAAACAATACAAGCAGTTTTTTTGCAAAGCAAAGAAAATTGTATATATATGTAGGTAGTGAGTTAAATGTTCAGAGTCTAAACAAACATCATGAGTGCCCTTCACTTGAACTATACAAAAAATTACCTAAGCTATACATTTTCGAACAAAAAGCCCTGCCCCTGCAACACCAGCAAATATGCCAGCAAAACTAGCTAGACTTGCGCCTCTTCGGCTCCATTTTTAGGCGACACTCTCAAAAGACTCTTGAGAGTTTGACTCAAATGTGCTGTATCAATTGAGTGTGTATGTGTCGTTTGACCTCGTGCAAATGCAGGTGATGTTGTAGGTGGTGGCATATGCATAGGTGTTGGGATTATGGGATGCTGTGGATGTTGGTGATGGTGATGATGATGTAAGAGTGGTTGTTGGTGTGGCTGTTGTTGAGGAGTACCAATATTTCCTGCAGTCATTGGATTTGCATATATATGTGGATATGATGGTGTAACTGGGATGGGAGGTGTACCTCGGAATCCAGGAGGTTGACCTTGCCACTGTTGGTTCATGACTGGCTGAGGCGCTATTGAAGGAAAAGGGATGAGTTGCAAGAGAGAGAGAGTGTGTCAGAGAAAAAAGGAAGATAAAGAAGAGACAGGCACGAAAATTGCA